TATTAACAACTATTTCCGAAGTACCGCTTATTACAATGTAGTTTCATAAAAGAGCTCTAACATAAATTAAAACACTAAAGAATCACTGGTAATTAGTTTTTTCACAAAGTTTCAAACCAAGCCTAGGTTAGAATTTATTATAACAGTAGAGAAATATTAAAAAAAAATAGTAAACACTGGATATTAGAAGCATTTGATTTAACTTTATTAAAAAATCATCTCCAACATCTGAGAAATAAAACTTGAAAGAACCGTTTCGACCAATACTATCAATATCTAATATGACTTTTGAAATATACAGTATTATATTCTCTGGGCTATTTTCACTTAAAAATTATAGGATAAAGGTGTCGATTCTGGCATGAATCTCTAAACTTAAATCTAGATTTAACACACATCACCCAAACTATTAATGTCCCCACTGCTGGGGCACAGGCTTATGGATGGAATACGAAGATTGGGCCACGACTCCCAGTGTGGAATGGTAGGTGCTAACGACTGCAGATGCAGCCGGGACCAACGGCTTAACGTGCCTTCCGAAGCACAGAGGAGCTCGAGATAGTAAATTTTTGGTCACCCATCCAATGACCGGCCACTGCGAAAGTTTCTTAACTTTAACGTTCGCAGCCGAACCCGGTAACCACTTGCGCCATCGAGCTCCTCAGATTCAGAGATTTAACATCTCGATTTAGCGTCAGTGTCATTCTGTATGGAGATTGACAAGGATACACTTGTCAATTAAAATATTATGTTTAAAGAATCATGCCATATCGACATGAATGTCAAACAAATCGGTAGTCTGACACTAAAGGTCGTGTAATTCCACTTTGACAAAAATATAGTCTTTTTTGGCAAAATAAAAGATAATTACTGTTCAAGCGAATTTCGGCCTAAAGTGAAAGACCTTTAAATTCTTTCGACTTAACATTAAAGTTTTTAACCGTAACGGTTTTTATTACAATAATAATAAATGTAATTTATAAAACAATCTTAAATATACAAGTTTAGATACATACTTTTTTTCACCAACCGATCCCAATTAAAATAAAGTCTAAATAACACAATAAATTTTTGTTATTCCCGTAGTGTTATTTACATGCATTATGGCGGCTCATATCAGAAGTCAATTTGAGACAATTCATTTACAAGTAATATATTTTTTTTTTTATATCCGATACAATTATTTATTACTTTTGTACACTTTCCGTATCAAATATTAAAAATTTACCGATAATAAATTTTGTACATCTCTTATATGTAATTTCTCAAAAAATGGTTAACAGTTTTTTGATCGTCAAATACGGGTTTCTCGAAAAATTAAGATACAAAAAAAAATGCAAAGAAATTAATAGAAAATAAAGGGGCATTAATGTTTCTCAATAACAGCTCGTAAGCGGCGAAGAGTAACACGAAATTTGAGCTTTATCTCGTTCGATTGCGTTAATGTAAACGATCTTCTTCGTTCATCATCATTTCATTGTACATTTATCACCATAAGTTTTTTTGTTTTTATCAAATCAATTTTATGATACAAGAAATTAACAAATTTAAAAATTACTGCACCATTTAATAAACAGTTTTGGATGGAATGAGATTTTTTTATTGAAGCAAATGTCGCTACTTCAGATTCTAAAGTGCTTTACTGGATTTTGTCAATTATTACTATTATTAAGAATATATTTCAATGAAATACTGAAATGGTACTTGTCTTAAGGAAATTGGATAGAGTCTGTGCGGAAAGAGAATGGGATTTAGATTGGAGGGCGCTGTAGTGCTTTTCTACCGTATTTGTAAGGTTTTACCCCGACAGACATGATTAAATACAGAAAACCGCAAGAAATCACAACAATAAACAGATCCGTATCAATACAAAACTTTGACGTTTTACAGATTGCTGGGTTTAATTGCCAAATAAAAATCTTAATGTTAGTTCCGTTTTTCGCCACGCCCATTCTCTTTCCGCACCGACTCTACAAATATTATTTATAACATGGATTTATTTACAAAGGACACGCTTTATGTAGCCAAATATTTAAGTTATAATAAAAAAAACGTAGTTTTCGAGCTATGAGTAGTACTCAATTTATCTATGGTAATAGTATGTTGTTTACATAAACGCAATCAAGTCATACAGAATTCCACACAAAAGCTATATGATAAAGTGTTTCACATAAACATATTTTTGAAGTGAAACTTCTTTACGCACGCATGACTTGGGGGGTAAGCTGGCGAATGCGTTACGCGTTACCAAAAGTGTGTTCGGGCGAGGCGAACGGAAGTTGAGTGGGGGATATAAGCAAGAGAAAGCAGTGCGCGCGCACATTTTCTTTCTCTCTATCTCTTATGATATATGTTTATGTACATACACATATATATTGTACACACACATATATATATATGTATATACATACAGATGGGGCTAAAGAAGTTTCACTTCAGTCGTGTGGTCATGAGCACACTCGTTTTTTTAAGTGTGGTAGTTTTTACATTAAATCTTTTTTTATAAATTGTAGTATATTTATTCTAGCAACACTGGTGAGTACTGAGTTGGCATGTATTAGCTTAATTCATTATCAATTGGTTATTTTAATAGCAGATGGCTTTTGGTGCCAATTACAAAACAGGATAATAATTGGAATTTCCTCAAATTTAATATCCATAAATTTGATAATAGCATTTTAGTAGATCGTCTTATTTATTTTAAAAAGAAAAACGAAATTCAAGTTTGCCACTATTCTTATATGTTTATCAATAATTATTTTATATATCCTAATGATTTACACAGGTTATGACTTTCAACTACAAACAGCCTGTAAACTTAAAACTAATATTATATATTTTCTCAATTATATATGTATATTATATTACACCTATACAAATTATTCATTATAAATATTACATAGCTTTTTTTTTATTAGGCATACATACCTATTTTAGACAACTTTTCACAATATAGTAGGATTTATCAAAACTTCCAAAGTAAATTATGGTTTTTTGAAATTCCTACTGACGAATGTTTTGCCGTCTATAAAATTAATTTAACACTAATCATTATGCTGCCTTATTCTTAACACATTAAAAGTTATTTTCCTATGTTAAAATGACTTGTGAATCTGCGTTTATACTGAAGTAGCGGCCTGCCCTCGCTTCGCTTCGGTGTAGAGCTGAAGTGTAGACTACACTTTTTGTTCTCAGGCTTGTATTATACACAATCACATTCATCTATGATTCTTCTTATAACCTGCATGCAAAGTCTCAACCCGATCGGTTTATTATTGACAAAGTTTCATACAAACTTTCATTCCCTATTTTATCCCCTTGGGGGTAGAATTGATCAAAACCCTTTCTTAGCGGATGCCTAAGTCATAACATCTACCTGCATGCCAAATTTCAGCCCGATCCGTCCAATGGTTTGGGCTGTGCGTTGATAGATCACTATGTCAGTCAGTCACCTTTGAGTTTTATATATATAGATTATTGAGTAGGTGAAATTAGGTAATTTAGTGGCTGGTAGAGACTGGATCACCAAGGTCAAAGATAGAAAAACTTGAGAATTAAATGGAGGAAGCCTTTACTCGCTGAGGGGTCCTTAATAAACAGAAAAATATGTATTCATAATTTTTGAAATTATAATTGACATGTATGTAATGAAATTAATTAATTGACCTTATATTTGAATTGTATTGAATGGATGACATGTATATTTATTAAGGAATTAAAAGGCTATAATAATAATTGAGAAGGTATGCTAAGTAAAACTAATTAACTTCTTAATTCAATGAAAAATCACTTAGATTAATGTAAGTTTAGAGAAAGCAAGTCAATTGAGATTGTTACTCGCAAACAAAGGACTCTGTACCTTTTATTTGAATGAAATAGACCGTTTGTTAAGATGGAGAAAGAAATCTCTGAAATAAACTTACATTAATGGGAATAAAGTTTTTTTTTTTTTAAGTTTGGCTAGTGTGATACTTTAGGTACGGAGCCCTAATAACTAACACTTATCAACTAGTCAATCTATAAAATAACTGAATATTTAACTAAAATAACATAAACGGCTTGATTTGTAAATCTAAAGAAAATTTTACAAGACGAACAATGGGGATGATGACAATTTTTTTTTCTTCGTTTATCAGGTAGATTATGAAAAAGTATTGGACACGTATTTTTTCTTTTTCACATAATATAAACATTGCAGAGATATATTGATTTGAAAAGTCGCATGACGTCACGTTTTGGTTCAATTTTCACTCAAAATAGACGTCACGAGCCCCTACTCCCAAACTTTGACGCGCTATAACTTTGTAATTTTTTGGTTGATTGCCCAAAGAAAAAATACGTGTCCAATACTTTTTGATCATCTAACTGACGAACTAAATAGAATTTCGTTTACAAAATTTAAAAAATAAAATTCAGTAGTTGGTTATTAAATGGCTAATCATATAACTGGATACTATTATTAATGGATATTATCTTGATACTTGAATAGTGCTAATAATGATATTAATACTTAAACGTAACCAAGTAATTATTGATGATAATACTTAACAAACTCTTAATACGCGCTCACAAGTCATGTTAACCAGAAAAAAAGTTTGACTAAAACTAGAATATATTTAATAAAAATACTAATAATATAATATTAAAAAACTACCAATATTAATCAAAGCAAATATCACATAAATGAAAACAATGGAAGAAATTAAAGGACAGTGTTCAGTTTTTAAATAGCTAAAACAATTTGCCACGTGGTACACAATCTACAGAATTAAATTTTACATTTTTTTTTATATAGTATGGACGAATTCATTTCGAAGAATTATGACCCGTATTGCTTGGAGAAAATGGTTTAGTGTGCTGTGTAAAATGGCAAGTTTAAAGTTTTCATTTAAAAATTTAAATTGTTTGTCCATCGCCTAAATTATCAAACTGTATAATGGACACGTATTTTTTTCTTCTTTCACATAATCAAAACATTACGCAGATATTATTATATTGATTTGAAAAGTTGCATGACGTCACGTCTTGGTACAATTTTTACTTAGAAGTGACGTCGCGAGCCCCCTTTCCCAAACTGGGCAATTTCTCGAAAAAAAACAAAATTAGTGTCCATTATTTTTTGATTATCTTAATGACAGACGAAATATAATTTCATCCCCTATTAAAAATAATATAAAGATTTCTTGATAAATTATCCGATTGATGGTAAAACCGCATTAAAATCCGTTGTAGTTTTGGAGTAACTCACATGGCTTCCTTAACTATATTCTTCACAGCACAGTTTTCATGTCTGGTATTTAGGGGTGAGAATGGCTCGACCTCTGATATTGAAACAGCACCAAATCCTTCAAACAACCAATATCAGAATTCAAGCAATTGTGACCCCAAAATCATTATAAACTCTTCAATTGTAGATTGTGTACATCGTGACATTAAATTGATTATTATTTATTCATTTATTATACACGTAAATTCGTATTTTAAAAGCACATACATAAATCACAATCATTTTGTTTTTCTTAATATTACATTTAATAAAAAGGCACTTTAAGGTGTCACTCGTTTGTCAGTAATTGTTAAGTAAACACGTGTCGATCATCTGTATTCGAGTTTCAATCGCTCCATCTCTTTCTATCTGCTGGAAGCGTCGTATGAAAGAGCGAGATAGTTTGAATGACTCTTCGATAGCTTTAGCATTTTCTCACTTCATGTAACGGTTTATCTATGTGTTGAAAAGAGAAAGAACGATGAAAAAATGCCTTACAATTTCGACGTGGATAGGTACTTGGTAGATCCGTTACATTCTCTTGTAAACATTCAACCTTATTACCGTGTTATTAAGGTGCAAAACGAGCACGTTTAATCAAAACCTTTTTGGGACAATCTTAGCGATAAAGCTTATCTCAAAAGAAACTCTCATGTACTATCAGGATCGAAGGCAAGCAAATATTACCTAAACTGACATACCGCAAAATTAGTCAATTGCATTGGTAAACCATTTGTATATTATACAAATTTGACGTATTGTAAATACCCTAGATACACCACGTGCGCTCAGAATGTGTCCCAAACAGGAAGTGCTTGAACACCCAAGCACTTCTTGGCTCACAGTCACACGTGGACCGTTGAAAGGACGAAATGCCGCAGAGCAGCGCGAAAAAATTCGAAAGAAAATCTTATAGTAAGTAAAGTGTCATATTTTCGACATATATCTAATCAATGTCTGTTAATTTAACTCATTTGAAGCAAATTTTGTTCTCATACTTACTATAAACTGATTTAATACATAATATTTGTAATATTCAAATGCTAGGTCGGTTAAATAGCCGTCTCGTTTCCTCGCGGTCCGTACCTGCTATATTGCTAACAGCGCATTCAGAATTGCGCGCAGAGCCATAGTAATAAGGTAATAATTCTTTCGCATATAGCAATAAGTCGTCAAATTTACGAGCTTGCATTTCGAACTGTCATAACTCTTTGACGCATGCGTTTAAATTAAGACCTTACAGGTGAGTTTCAATGTTTAAATAATGCCTCATATTGTTTTTGACAACGCGATTATCTTACGGAGCTCACTGGATCGTCCAATGTACCTTTTGGACAAGTTTCGGCCACGATTTTGTTCCTGATGTTGTATCTAGGGTATTTAATAAAAGTAATTATAACATTAATCTGTTGCAATAACGTTGATACGCACATAATGTAATCAAACCAAATTATTTTCTATTGAAATCACACTTAGTAATCACTGTCAGTAAATACCAGCGAATATTTTGTTAATTTCAAATAGATTTTTATTTTTACATTAATTTTTGTACTTTTGCAAAGTCCATTATGTTTAACATGTATTAAGGCCGTGTGCAGAAACGCTAATAGGGTAGTTGACAGTATTAAAAATAAAGTGCCAATTGTTAGCATCTGTGTTTAGAATGAATATTGGCAGGGATTTTCACTATTTTTACAGAAAAAAATATTCATAATTTTACTAAAAACTCACGAAAAAGATAATAGTTTTCTTATCTTTTGTCACGTGACCCAAAACGCTTGGGATGGGCAGAGCCTAAAATGACGTCACACGCAAGTAAACTTCCGGTTAAAGTGACATTTGACTGTATGGTTTGACGTTTTAATGACAGTCGTGTGACGTCACACACCAGTGAGACGCCATATTGTCCAGAGAAACGTTTAGCGGCAACTTGAAATGGAGTTTTTGATTTGATTATTTTAACTGAAATACACAACAGAATGATGAATATCCACTTTTTTACGAACTCCATGAACATTAGTCAATAACTTGAGATCGTTTTCTAAAACTTGTCAAATACCCTACTAATCTTTAAATTTTTTCAAAGTTCAACCTGTCTGTTTCTATGCTACAGCAATAGAATAAGACAGCACGTCACTTCAAATTTAATTGACGATTCTGTGAGCGTTCTTATTGATTTTTTTATACGCATATAATACTGAGATTATACATGAGGAGCTGACGAATAAAACGGCATAATTACGCATCCGGTCAAACAATTTTTTTTACAGTCCAGAGGTTACGGGCCCGTTGAATTTGAATCTCAAATAATTTTCAATCAAAACCGCCTAAAACAGTGTTAAAAGGTCTAAATTTATAAATTAAAAACCATGCCAAAAGCTCACTGTAGGTATGTCATTCAGTTTTAAACAGCTCCTGTAAATAGTACATTACGATACGCGTAACCTAAGTTGCCTATTAGTAACTTTACTATAACTTTACTACGCCAATCAAGTAACTTTACTATGCCAATCAAGGAATAAACGTTCATGGATACATTGAAATTCTATTTTGTTGTAATGATATTTGATTTTTTCCTTTTGAAATATACTTTCAAAATGGTAATCTGAACCGGAATTCTTTCTTTTCAGTTTTCAGTTTGACTTGCAGTCTGTATTGTAATTCTTTGTGATTGCAATACATGAATTTTACTTTCAAAACACTAATCGCATCCCCCCCCCTCTTGCCCGCGTCCGGGGCGGGTTTATGTCACACTTCCTATAAAATAGTATACGATACTTGTGGCCTAAGTTGTCTATTACTGCACGGCGTTTAGCACCGGGCGCTAACTTCACGCCGTGCAGTAATAGGCAACTTAGGTCACGCGTATCCGTAATGTACTATTTATGTAATTTTACCGTTTTGTTTGCCGGCACATCGAATGCCGGCAAATGAAAGTTTGCATGTGTCTGTGTTAGTATGTTTGTAACTCAATCACGCAAAAACTACTGAACAGATATTCTTGAAATTTGATATGAATATAGTTATATTTTTTTTTTTCGAAACATGTAACTGCCTTGATGTTTAATTGTAAAGAAAATATAACTAGAAAAAATTCCACGCGGACCAGGCAGCAGACGGGACTCGAACCCGCACCCTTCGCAATCCGGGCGAATGCACTGACCAATTATGCTACCGCGGCCCTCACGGACCGCGTCGAAATTCCTCCAGCCATTCTTAAGCTGCAAGGCAGCGCCATCTCTTCGTATTATAGGTAACCCACAATGTCAAATGTCAAATAAGAGACGTTTTATGTTTATTTATAAATATCGCGAGTAATAATACGCACTACAAGAATTTCAATGTCCAATCCATCCGTTTGTAATTTAATCCCACTAATGTTATAAAGGCTAAAGTTTATGAGTGTGCGTGTGTGTACGTTTGTTACTTCTTCGCGTCTAAACGGCTGGAGCGAATTTAATAAAATTTGGTATGGCGTTAGCTGACACCCTGGATTAATATACGTTAGGCTACGTTTTACCAAGGGAAAATATCCATAATAAACTGCGGGTAACAGCGCGGGGCACCGCTAGTTAGATATGAATTTGAGATTGTCCTTAGCCAGTTAGTAAATCGTTTATAATCCTTAAAACAAATGCAATTTGAATGCGTTTATGGGGTTGAACGATCGATTCGTAGAAACGCAATGAATTGAGATAAATTAAATACAAGTATTATACATCTAGAAACGAATTTAAATTTTCCCACAACCGTTAAAAAATTACAATTTACTCAGTATTTCCAATTTGTCATCGGAAATAAATTTTTTCATGCATGTTTTTACTCAAATTCTAATATTGTGTAAATCGAATTACACAGATCTAATAGAACAAGATTTGCAACTATTCAGACTGTATGTGAATTTGTAATGTATATTGTAATATTGCTACATAGTTTGTTTGTTTTCCATTTATCATCGGAAAAAATATTTTTCTATGCACATTATTACTCAAATTCCAATATTGTGTAAAACGAATTACACAGATCTAATAGAACAAGATTTGCAACTATTCAGACTGTATGTGAATGTTTATAATTTGTAATGTATATTTGCTACGTGGTTAGTTTTTTCAATTGTCTTGTATCGTTGAAGTTTGTAGAATTTAATACGTTGGATTTAGACGACAGAAACACAAAATAGACAGTACAGAAGGTAATCTACACACAGAGTGCGCTCGAGCAACGCATACATAGACACCGCTCATGGGCACGATATCTCGGACCGGTTGGGACCACTGCGAGCTTGAGACACGTGTCTGTGAACTTTTTTATGCAAAAATGGAGGAACAAAAAACAAGTTGTTATCTCTGCTCAGAAGACGGCGTTTAAATTCAGCGTCAAACTGTAAAGTGTCATTTTTTTCCATGTATAATATAACAAATAACATTGAAAATGAAATATTTTAGTCATTACAATGGTTTATAATTTCGTTTTTACTAAAATGAAATATATAATTTACTCAGATTGACTAATTGAAAGCTGTTTTGAATCGTCCAATAGTTTTCCTAACAAAAAATAAATAACAACTACTAATAAATCAAATATCTAGTTATGAATGCCACAACCATGATGTTCTTTGCTTAACCCAATGCGAATGTATGCATAGTGAAAGTAATTAGCCATGAAATTTTGCTAGTTCCCACAATCTTCTTACTTTCCGGTCTTTTGGAAACTAACAAAGTGAAATACATGCATGAGATTAACTTCTGTACTATCTATTTTGTGACAAAGAGGTCATTTATCTTCGCATATTAAATCAATTGCATAGTCCAGTTAATTGAGTCTCTGATACAGTACCATTTGCTCCATAAATTATTTTCGAGTAACATTTTTTTAAGGTATTTTTAGTTTACAATATTTATATTTAGATTAGAATCACAATCTTTGTCCAAGTTATACGTAATTAATAAAAATATATTTATATAATAAATGTAATGTTAATGATTAATTTCACTGTATAAATTGGTGTTTTTATACCTTCTTCCCTCTTCTGTCTGTCCGTCTGTCTATTCTCATCGGTGACACTGATTGCATGATGTCTACTAGATGAGAGTCCATCTTGGGTTTTTGTAATCGTTTTGCTGACCGAGTCCGGAATTTGGCTGAATCTTGAGCGACCACCAAGTTGGGTGTTAATGATTTTATACATCTGAAATGGGATTTTTTTTGCTATTGTAATGATAATAAATTCTGTATAACTTAACATCAAAAACTTATTCTCAGATTCGGGGATCTTATGAGAAAATAAATAAAGCTCAATTAAGTAAATTTGACCTAATCTATAAATTCAATAAAAAAAATCAAGTTTTTATTTTAAGCATTTAACTGCAACCCAGGCGTCAGATTATATTGACAGCACAGAATTGTTTCTAGTAAAATGAATGTCCTTTGCATTAATAAAAAATGCATTATAATGAAACATCGAATTTTACAATATAGTGCAGCTCCCCAGCGCAAGTGGTAAGAGCATAGATCTGCAATCGTGAAAGTTAAGCAACTTTCGCAATGGTCAGTCATTGGATGGGTGACCAAAAAACAAATTATCTCACTCCTCCGTGTTTCGGTAGCTGTTGGTCCCAGCTGCATCTGTTGGGTCATGGCCCGAACTCCCTATCCCTTCCATAGAGAAGGCCTGTGCCCCAGCAGTGGGGACATTAATAAGCTGCTGATGATGATGATGATGATAAAATCTCACCTAGCTGCCTCCTGCAGTTTCCTCGCCAACAATTCGTTCTTCATTTTCGCGGCGGCCAACTCTCTTCTGAGCTGCGACTTGCTTTTATTACAAGATGGGTACAGCAATGGGTGTTTACGTAGTCTAGAAGCTGAAGGTCTCACGGTGGGGTCGGGATCTACCATTTTCTATAATAAAAACAACATATAAATAAATATTGAAAAAAATATTTCCATTTTTTTTAAAGCATTTAACTGCTTGATGTTTAAATCTAAAGAAGAGTTTTACTAGAAAAAAATCCATGCGGTCCAGGCAGCGGACGGGACTCGAACCCGCACCCTTCGCAATCCGGGCGAATGCACTGACCAATAATGTTACCGCGGCCCTGATGGCCGCGTCAAAATTTTCCTAAGCTTAAGCTGCAAGGCAGCGCCATCTCTTCGCATTGTACGTAACCCTCAATGTCAAATAATTCGATGTATTTTTTTTTCTAGTAAAACTTTTCTTTAAATATTTCCATTACACCAATGAGGATCCGTGAATGTTTTAGTTGAGAATGCAGATTTATAGAGCTAAGGATTCCATTAAAATCCAGTGGTAGAATTTTTGTTCTATGACAAATATTGACGAAGCTATGACCAAATTACTAAACGAATTTTCGGTTGGCCGCGTGGTGGCTGTGACGTCACAGAGCTCTAGCGCTCGGGCGCGAGCGTGCGTAGAGACGCTACTGAAGTTCGATCGGAGGGAACCACGATCGAGCTCTGTGACGTCACATGTTTCGGCCGCTGGTGAATATTGGCACAGTGGATCAAGAATCAAACTGACTGTTAGTACATACCACTCCACAGTGGAACTCGTCGAAATAACGTTAATATTTTTAAGCATTTAACTCGGAACTCGATGGCGCAAGTGGTTAGCGCGTTCGGCTGCGATCGTTGAACTTAAGCAACTTTCGCAGTGGTCGGTCATTGGATGGGTGACCAAAAATTTACTATCTCGAGCTCCTCCGTACTTCGGAAGGCACGTTAAGCCGCTGGTCCCGGCTGCATCTGCAATCGTTAGCACCCGTCAACCCGCACTGGGTCCGCGTGGTGGGTCATGGCTAAATCTCCCTATTCCATCCATAGGGAAGGCCTGTGCCCCAGCAGTGGGGGAAATTAATAGGCTGATGACGATGATGAAGCATTTAACTGCTAGATGTTTAAATCTAAAGAAAATGTTAGTAGCCAACAATTCCACGTGCACCAGGCAGCAGACGGGACTCCCGGGACGGATCTCGTCTGGAATATTTTCCAGTAATTCTTTTTCTTTCTTCTTCTTTGGCGCTACACTCTTGACAGTCACATCAGGGTTGGTGGCGCGCTTCACAATACTCCGCCATTCGTCCCGCACTGCGGCCTTTCTAGTGCACTCGTGAAGTGGACCGTTCAGTGCCGCTTTTATCTGGTCAGTCCAGCGCATTGGTGATCTGCCGCGTGTTCTTACGCCCTCGACTTTGCCCTGCACCACCAGTCGTTCCACTGACGCATCTTCTCGGCGTGAGATGTGGCCAAAGAAGGTTAGAATGCGACCTTGTATGATGGAAGACAGACGTTGTTTGATGGACAGTTCCTGGAGGATGGATGCATTGGTTCGGAATTGAGTCCACTGTATGCCAAGCATTTTCCTCCAGCACCACATTTCTAGAGTTTTTTTTTCTTTAGAGTTAATGTTTACCTTCAACAGCTGATTGAACTCCCTGGACAAATTTGGCAAGTCTGGCAACTTGCCGTCGCGGTAATCGTGCCACTGTTGCCCGTTCTTTGGCAACGGCCCGCCCCCGCCAGCTTCGAACAATGTCAAACCTTTGGGAAGAAACAGTATGAGGTTAATTCTAACTAAAGGACAAATAATTATATTTGTTTCTTAGGTTTTCACGCACATCACTCATTAATAAAACTAGTTTTTACGGGTTAATGCACGAAACTTTATTTATTTATTGACGTTTATTGTTACAGAAGCCTGTAAAGGCTACGAAACGTCTGACGACGAAGCCTGTAAAGGCTACGAAACGTCAATAAATAAATAAAGTTTCGTGCATTAACCCGTAAAAACTAGTTTTATTTATTTACAAATAATTATGTTGAAAAATGGTCGCTTCTCGACCCACCAGTATGAATAGTAGCGCGTTCGGCTACGATCGTTGAAGTTAAGCAACTTTCGCATTGGTCGGTCATTGGATGGATGACCAAAAGTCTTCCATCTATAGTTCCTCCGTGCTTCGGAAGGCACGTTAAGCCGTTGGTCCCGGCTGAATCTGCAGTCGTTAGCATCCGCCAATCCGCACTGGGCCCGCGTGGTGGGTCATGGCCCATTCTCCCTATTCCATCCGTAGGGAAGGCCTATACCCCAGCAGTGAGGACATTAATAGGCTGATGACGAAGATAGTGATCACGTGATCACGAACTAAATTAGCACTTTTTAATTCTTCTATCAAACAGTCATTGTGTTTCAAAAGCATGGTAGTGTGTGAAATGGTATTATTATTATATTAAATGCTTTTAATTTAACATTAAAGCAATGAAGTTAAAAATTAAGGGCGCGCGCTGCGTTAAGCGGGGACACGGAGCGTACGTCCACTTCGCGTGCAGTTTCATGTTATTTAGCAGCGCAGCGCACACCTTAAACCGGTGTAAAATGCTGGGTTTTATTAATAAACTTTCAACTATAGCTAATTTTTATGAATGGATTCTTTTTGTCATGTAAGATGATGCGGCAGGATTTGTCTGGTGTGCAGCCTTTGAAGTCTCATTTTAATTATGAATTGACAATTATTAGAGAATTCACTGCCTTGACTATCATTATCTGATATGTAACCTTATCTGGTTCTGATAAAGTACAAAGTTCTAATAGATTATTTGTGTGTACGTACAATGCGTGGTCAATAAGGAGCGATTTGTATCTTATTGATAAGTGATTTTGTTTAAGGGTTGTACGCAATTCTGCTTTCGTAATTTGTATAACATAACTAGCTGTGCCCCGCGGCGTTACTCGCGATTAATAAGGAATATTTTCCCGCATTAAAACGTAGTAGCGTATCCAGGGTGTCATGCAGCTACCTCCTTACCAAATTTTACTAAAACCGCTCTAGCCGTTTAGACGTCAACAAGTAACAAGCATACACACAAACAAACTTTCGCCTTTATAATATTAGTGTGATTAGTGGTGGTAATTTACTTCCGACGTGAAATTAACCGGTTCATTTTAAACAATTTCATTGATACATTTTTAAATTTTAAAAATCCCATAATAAAAATACTCTACACTAAAACTTAGTTTAACTAGCTGACCTGGCCACGCGTTGCTGTTATTCTATTATAACATTTAATTTGTAAAAAAGCAAACAGAAATTCTATCTTTTGAATTCTACCAAATCACACACAGATTGCATCTAGTTTATGCAAAAAAAGACAATGTATATTTTATGAGATTTATCCATATTAAATATAGTAATGTTTAATAACGTTTTCAAAAGTGAGATAAAAACACAACATATCGGCTTTGAAAACTTTCAAAGCCACCACAAACTATGAGGGATATTCATCATCAGCCTATTAATTGTCCCCACTGCTGGGGCACAGGCCTTCCCTATGGATGGAATAGGGAGATTGGGCCATGACCACCACGCGGGCCCAGTGCGGGTTGGTGGGTGCTAACGACTGCAGATGCAGCCGGGAAAAACGGCTTAACGTGCCTTCCGAAGCACGGAGGAGCTCGAGATAGTAAATTTTCGGTCACCCATCCAATGACCGACCACTGCAAAAGTTGCTTAAATTCAACGATCGCAGCAGAACACGCTAGCCACTTGGCCATCGAGCTCCTCGAGGGATATTCACGGAATTATTAAAAACATCTGCCAAGTTCGAGTCGGATTCGCGCGCGAACGATAACTACAATTGCTATTTCTTCTTTCAAATGTTTAATACTTGTAAAGGTATACATTTGACATTGTGGGTTACCTATAATGCGAAGAGATAGCGCTGCTTTGCAGCTTAAGAAAGGCTAGAGGGAATTCGACGCGTCACGCATAATGGTCAGTGCATTCGCCCGGATAGCGAAGGAGCAGATTCGAGTCCCGTCTGCTGCCTGGCCCGCGTAGAATTTTTTCTAGTAATATTTTCTTTAGATTTTAACATGAAGCAGTTACATGCTTAATAAATAAAAATTATAAACATAAGACACTATAATTTATTATATCCAGCAAAAAACGTTAAAAAAGCTCCCTCTTTTGGGAGCCCCCGTTAAATATTTATTATTATTATTATTCTATTATTAGTATTTATTGTTACAGCAGCATTTCAACTGTCCAGCTATCACGGTTCACGAAATCCAGCTTGGTGGCAGACAGACGGACAGGGGAGTCTTAGTAATAGTATCGCGTTTTCGCCCTTTGGGTACGGTACCCTAATAAGCCGACTAAATCAAACACGAGGTGTATTTGATTTAGTCGGATTTTAACTACGTGGCCAAGCGCAGCCCTAGCTTGCACCTTATCTTTAAAACTACATCACAGATCAGTCTACGGCCAGCCACGATGGTCAAAGCACGCAAGTACGTAGTAAAGAAGACCTTCGTGGGCGTTCCCAAGCGTGACGACTTCGAAATAGTCGACTACGAAATACCACCAATAAGGAACGGAGAGATCCTTACTAAAACCGAATGGGTGAGCGTGGACCCCTACTTGAGAGCTTACAATAGCCGTTACCCAGTTCCTTACGACCAGTTTGGGTTCAACGTAGCTACGGTTTTGGACTCGAAGAACCCACGGTTCCCTATTGGCTCTAAAGTTGTTACACATAAAGGATGGTGCGACTACAGTCTCGTGAACGCATCAAATGAGTCGTTGACTGAAAGAGTTTACAAACTGCCGGATTTGAAAGGGTTGAGTGATTCTTTGGGACTGGGAGCTGTTGGGATGCCTGGTGCTACGGCTTATTTTGGTCTGCTGGATTTGTGCAAGCCGAAGGAAGGGGAAACGGTTGTGGTGACTGGGGCGGCTGGGGCAGTTGGCTCTATCGTTGGACAAATCGCGAAGATCAAAGGTCAGTCTAGTTTTGTTTTAGTGTTTGGTAATTAAAATCATTTATTCAAATTAAGGCCTTCGATCAATAATACTATAGATAAGGGGTCAGTTCGTAAAATACGTATCGGTAAATAGAGCCTCACTGGAGGCGTGAGATCTTATTTTCAATTAGTTCGGATGTTACCTCGCACTCTTTCGCCATAACATTCGCCTCCTACACCCTTACTGGTTGACTGGCAGAGAATGCCTATGGCATTAAGTCCGCCATTTACTGTATTTTGGTAAAAAAGAATGAAATAAATAAATATATACTAGGGGGGGGGAGTAAAAACTCACGAAATTAGTGTGACGGTACTGTATGGATAACCGCTAATAAACTAATTGATGTGATTATTAGATATAGTTAGCGGCAGAATCTGCTGGCTAACTACTCTATTTATTCCAATTATTCTTCCAAGTGTGGCAGAATATTTAAATCAGTACCAGTACAGTAGATTACTAGTAGAGTAGATTTTGTATTTTTAATATTTTTTAACTTCATATTTCCAACACTCACACCAATTAGCCTAGCCCAAAGTAAGCACTGTAAGGCTTGTGTTATGGGATACTAGGGTAACGGATAGAATAGATATACTGTACATATATAAGTATATTTATATAGAAATACATATTAAACATCCATGACTGGAGTACAAATGCTCGTGTTCATCACACAAACATCTGCCCCCACCGGGATTCCAACCCGGGACCTCTCGAGTCGACGACACCATGAAACCACTGCGTTCAAACCACTCGGTCACGGAAGTCGTCATTGTATAGGCAAAGAAAATTATTAGGTTAAAATTTTTCTTTTTTTTAATATTAGGATTGTTAGTAAGGGCACTTTAGAAATCTCTTATCTATTAGACAAGTCCGTCCGTCCGTCCGTCTGTGGTGCTGTTTCAGCGGCCAAACCGTAAGAGATAGATAAAGAGAATGTTAAAGTTATAAGTTAAGAATAGTCTGATAAGACTACAAACCGGATTTGAGTAACGAGTTCGAGAAATCACGAATTTCAAACGAAACCACACAATATCTCCGAAGTTCTCAATTAATTAAATACATTTTTTTTTAATCAGGTTTTGGTGAACATTTGGTTCACTGGTTTGCTAGTATTTATTAATTTACGGTATTTTTATACAGGTTGCAGAGTAATCGGCTTCGCGGGCTCCGACGACAAATGCAAGTGGCTAGAGAGCCTCGGCTTCGACAAAGCTCTGAACTACAAGACCGTGGACCCCATAAAGGCTTTGAAGGAAGCTGCACCCAAAGGCATGGACTGCTACTTCGACAACGTGGGCGGGGAGCTCAGCAGTGCTATCATAAGTCAAATGAACCTTTATGGTAGGGTAGCTGTGTGTGGCGCCATTAGTTCGTACAACGAAACGAGCATGCCGAAAGCGACTTTACTGCAGGTGGGTTTAAAGTTGCATTTAGATTTTGACTCGTGAGAAATTACAATAGTGCTCATAGTAGGTTAGGTTAGGTTAGGAGGAACTAGGGTTACCATCCGACAGGATATGTACGGACATGTCCAGACTTGTTGCTTTTAATTAGATGGAATATGAGTAACACTACTTATTAAGTTATATCAAATAAATCAATTAATATTTATTAAGTTCTCATTAATTTTAAACAAAATATAAATCATTCTTAAAAATCCACAACAAGACCTCGCGATGCGAGCGTCTAGGGTTACCATCCGTCCGGATTTGTCCGGACATGTCCAGACTTGTTGCTATTTGTCAGGCTTTTTTTAATTAGATGGAATATGAGTAACACTACTTATTAAGTTATATCAAATAAATCAATTTATCTTTATTAAGTTCCCATTAATTTAAAACATAATATAAATCATTCTTAAAAATCCTCGCGATGCGAGCGTCTGCTACCACGCGTATAATATCACTGTAACTAAGTGGGTAATGTTTGCATTTTGTGACTAAAATGTCCGGACTTTTATGGTAATGTCCGGTTTTTTGTCAGGACTTTTCAAATTTTTAAATAGTAACCCTAGGCGGAACTCAGTAGTGCTATCATAAGTTATAGGTTAGTCATAGTAGGTTAGGTTAGGTTAGGGGAAATTCATTTAATTTAATTATTTATTTTCAAGCTTCTACCTGTTGCCGTTATTATTAGAGAACCGAACCCTAAAAACTAATTATAACGTGTTAGGCCCTGCCAGAATATCAGCGCCGCAGCGGCCTTAGTGTCACTGTGGCATTATGCTGAGGCAGGGACCTAGTTGACCTTATTCTGTGCTTTTATTTCTATTTTTTCAATGTTATTGATCAATAGATTATTTCTTTCTTTCAACTATCTCTCTGCACTCCTCTAACACACTTTTACCGTGCAAAAATCTACAAATGCCCAAGAACATAAATGAAGCCATGAGCCACTATGGTTAGTGGCCTAACTCATTTTTTACAATATTGAGTTAATGATTAGTTCAAATTGATCATTTAGATAGAACCAGAGTGGTCTAAAAGTGACACAACGAATATTCACTAGATGGCAGCATAATCACTGTTACGGTTTTTAGTCTGTGATCTAAATTTGAGGTGCCATACTGGCCTTATTAAGATAGGCCACTATGATTACAAAATGGGTTAGGCCACTATGGTTCTCATGGCCTTATATATACAAAGTTTTTCCTATTATATCCATTTATTCAATATTTCGCAGTCATACATCGTGTCCAAACAACTCAAGATCGAAGGTTTCCTAGTGGACAGATGGCTGGGCCAATGGAACGTGGCCTTTGCCGACATAGTGGGTTGGATAAGGGCCGGCCAGATCAACACTCAGGAGCACGTCAGCGAGGGATTCGATAATATATACGACGCGTTTGTGGGCATGCTTGCGGGCGACAACTGTGGCAAGGCCGTTGTTAAACTATAAAGGACATTGGGCAAAAATGTATGGACGCTGCACCCACGTCCGCCACGACTTAAACTACATTTTTTTGAAAGGTATTATAGTCATGATTATCTGTGCCAAAGCGCATCAAATTCTATCCCGGGGATCTTTAGTTATTTTAAGTTAAATAGGTAGTATCTGGTTGTACAGTACGATATGGCACATTATTATGGTTACTAATAATATAAAAAGAAGGTACTATAAAATGAATTTATTTAGCTACTTAAATATGCCCATGTGTCATATCTTTTAACTACCAAGATATTTTTTAAAGGTGTCATATCTTTTGACTACCAGGATATTTTTTTATGGTGTCATAATAAAAAAATGGCTAGTTTTTTCGTAGATCTATCGAATCATACTAATTACATTGCTGGCGGAGCTGGGTGTGTTTTGCCCATTGTCCTTTATAATATATAAACCCAATATTATCTTAGCTTTTATTTATATCATCAAATTTTTACCAATGACAATGACTCATACACATGTACTGTGAAAATAATCTTTGATTGATAATAATGCGGATAAATTGTTTTTCTGCCGCCGGATACTGTATCCAAGTAAGATATGTTATCTACCAATCATCGTAGTATTATTTACAGCATTACTGTTTACGTAGTATTTCACAATCGCAATAAGTTTAGTTTGGTACTTAATCAAGTTATGAGATATAGAAATAGTATTTGTGTTATCTGTAACATAGTTTGTTATGTGACTTCCAATTTTTATTTAAAGTAATGTACGCCTTCCCTGCCTTCTTCAAAGGTCCTGGGTTCGAAGTCCTTTTAACACTCGGCGTCGGCTCTTTGAGCGAACACAATACTGAACTTAGATCCTATTTGACGCAGGCAGGTACTGTCTACCAAGTTTTTGAAGTGAAAACTTCTTTAGCGGCGTTGTACACTTTTTTTTGTATGGGTAAAAAACGTTAAACTCGCGTCAGGTTAAACGCGTAGGCTGATCGCATCATGACACACAATAAAAATGGAAAGGTTGTTGACTTTCAATATATTGGACGAAACATAGTAATATTTTAATTTACAGTATTATAATAATAAGTTTGATGAGATGAAGATGAGAATGAAGGTTATGATTACATGGAACTTGTGTAAAATTGTTTGTGTTGAGAAAATAAAATTCATTATTATTATTATTATAATAATAAGTCTCTATCTAGGACATCCACGTGGCAGCTTTATTACGAAGAAAATGCATTTTTTATGTCGCTAGGTGCGCTTAAATGTGATTCATGTAAGTTGATTTCTTTACAATAGATGTCGCTAAGTACGCTTAAACGTGATTCATGTAAGTTGATTTTTCGGAGAGGTCAACTTTTTTAATGTAATATACATTGTCATGTTTGCGTACGATAGCGCAATAAATAAATATTGTATTCTACCACATACATGATAGCGACTTTAATACTGATAATTAAAGCAATTCGTGTAATTTCCCTAACCATTCCAAAATATCAAATATGCACAACGTTAATATTCAAGTTTTCACTTCTGCCGGCACTCCCGGAGTGCAACCCGTCGTTTTTTTTATAATTAACATCTTTTTTGATTTTCATAACACATCGTTCTTCACTATTGATCTATATATATTCCTTTTATGTAATTGCATGTAAACTGAAAATGTACCTATTTTAAGCCTACTGTGTCAAATAAAATTGTTTTGATTCGATTTAATTTGATTTTTAGCTAGCATGCAATTAATTATTGGTAAATATAATTAAGCTAGCTTCTACCCCCCGACTTAGTACGCATTATAGTTAGTTTTTTTAAGTATCCCATAGGAATCTATAATATTGCCGCAATAAAAAGTATACTGTATATGTATACTATTTTATAATTCCAATCTTATCCAATAAATTCATTGAAAGTAAAGACTAACTTTTGTTGATTACCTAACTTAGTCTAAGTTTCATAACCTCAGGTATGTAGTAACATAGTTCTAATGACGATTGTGAAGTTAGCGCAAGTCGCGGGATGCCACTGAACTGACCCCTAAGCATAGTTTCACTCGCTGCTAAGTTAATCCAAATTTATATTATAAACACGAAAGTGTGTCCGTCTATCTATTATCTCTCGCGCATAAACCGCTGCACAGATTTAGATGAAATTTGATATACTGATAAGAGTCCTGGGACCTTTCCCAGGACTCTTATCACTATATCAAAAAATGACCTTTGTCCTTACAAAGGATAGTTTTATTAAAGAAATCATATTTTAAAGGGGTGATACGGGGAAGGCGGTTCACCCCTTCCACCAAAGAGTCCCGGAAAAGGACAATTATTTATTTATTGCAGAACTCATATTTTAAAGGGGTGAAATAGTAATGTCACTCATCCCCTCTAAAATATTAATTCTGGAATAAAAACTGTCCTATATCCTTTTCCGGGACTCTTTGGTGGAAGTCGTATTATAATAGTAGATGAAGGCACGTTGAGGCACCAATTCGCACTGGGCTCGCGTGGTGGGTCACGGCCCAATCTACCTATTCCATCCATAGGGAAGGCCTTTGCCCCAGCAGTGGGGACAACTAGTAACTTTACTAGTAGTAACTGTAAGTAACTCACCGAATGCAAATATATCAGCCTTCGTTAGATGAGTTAAGTCTTCTTGTAGTACTTCCTTAGGTAGATATCTGCAGTCACCTTCTTCCACTGATGGTGATGATACGCAAGTCACATGACCGAGGTCACCTGGAAACAAAATATACAGTTAAATAATCGGTTTTTTTTAGGGTTCCTTACCTCAAAAGGAAAAAACGGATCCCATATAGGATCACTTTGTTGTCCGTCCGTCCGTCTTTCAAGACCGTTTTTCTTAGGAACGCGTGGAGGTATCAAACTGAAATTCATATCTAATACTCATCATGTCTACTGTCCCTTGGAGCTGTGAAATCAAACTTCTAAGCCAAAGCAATCAAAAGATGCAGCCATTTATGCCGCAAATTTTCGAAACTCGCATGGGAATCAAAACCTACAGGGTACTTCCCGTGAACTTAGAATCTTGAAATTTGGTACGTAGTATCGTCTTAAAGTAAAAAATATTTTTGTAAATTCAGGTTTGTACGGATGTAAAGATTTTTTAAAACTTTATTGTCAATATATGAATTTATTAGCAAAATTTAATCAATAAAGCACTTTTATTTCATTCTTTTTTAGGATTTTGAGTTTTTTATTTGACCTTAACTACCGTAAACTGTGTGTAAAAACCTAAGAAACAAATACAGGCAGTCCTCGACTTACGTCGTTTCAAGTTACGTCGAACAATGTTTTGACACTATTCCTCAATCATACGTCAAATGTTTCGATTTCCGGCATAGGAGAATTCACTTTTCCGAGGTCAATGTCCGTGGGGATGTCTCGACTTACGTCGTTCCGATTCACGTCGCGTATTTTGAGAACCTAACATGCCGTAAGTACGAGGACTGCCTGTATATTAAGTCTCATTCAGTTCTAGAAACTTTCTTGTTATTATTTAACTCACCAATCTTATAAGAGTGTGCCGAAGTAGGTGAATCCTCTCCGTAGCCGTCGTCCGAATCATTGGCTCTCTCCGTCTCGCCGGCACATATGAATATGTTGCCAGGTTTCACGTCCATATGTGCCAATTGGAGGGAGTGTATGTAACTGTGGGACAAAACATTATTATTTTAGACTAGTGGCCCGCCCTTGCTTCGCTCCGGTGTAGAGCTGTAGTGTAGAATTCGATTTTTTTTCACTTTTTAAACCTTCCCTAGACCTCCACGAACATTTCAAGACCAAGATAAGATAAATCCGTTCAGCCGTTCTCGAGTTTTAGCGAGACTAACGAACAACAATTGATTTTTATATACAATGATTTTTGAGGATTCGCAGTCCTTTTTTAGTCTAGTTTAACGAGGCGGTTTCCGCACTTTGTCCTAATTATTGGACCATTGTGCTTGTCACGAGGAGCTCGATGGCGCGGGTGGTTAGCGCATACGGCTGCGATCGTTGAAGTTAAGCAACTTTCGCAGTGGTCGGTCATTGAATGGGTGACCAAAAATCTTCTATCTCGAGTTCCTCAATGCTTTGGAAGGCACGTTAAGCCGTTGGTCCCGGCTGCATCTGCAGTCGTTAGCACCCACCAATCCGCACTGGGCCCGCGTGTTGGGTCATGGCCCAATCTCCCTATATCGTGGTGCTCATGCTAAGGGGGGCTGGATTATCATATGTCAGTAGATAATAGATTTAAACATACCCTCACGATAATCCATCGGCTATATGAGCTAACAGTAATAACAGTTCGCTCTCAGCCAATGGTCCTTCATCGAGCTTCTGTTGTAACGAGTCACCATATATGGCAGTATTTGTTCTGTATTATCATATGACGAGTTGGTGAACAAAACGGTATAATTACGGTCAAACTACTTTTTTACAATCCGGAGGTTTCTCAAATAATTTTCAATCAAAAATGCCTAAAACAGTGTTGAAATTACAAAATTTATAAATTATAAACCATGCCAAAAACTCACTGCAGATCAGGGCTTGTTTACCGGTTAATTTTCAGACCTAAATCAGTGTCAAGTACATTAGGAGCGTTTTATTTAGGTTTGGCTCTACCTTAACCTTAAAAAACCGGTTTTCTTAAAGAGCGAAATCAAATAGGTTTTAAATCAATTTAGCGGTTTTAAAAGGGTTTCATTTCGCTCTTTCTGACGGCATCGATAATAAATGAATAACTTGACCCACTAGACGCTAGCAAACGTGTCAATAAATACATCAATCTCTGAGCATTAACAAGTTGTGACTTGATTAGTTCAAACGAAAAAAAATGCCGACGCGTGCACGTGACGCTCTGGATTAAACCAGTTTATTACGGTTTTAGGTACCGCTTTTATTTCGGACGCACTCCGAACGAAACCTTTACTAAAAACCGGTATTAACCTTTATTTACCGGTATTTTCGAAACCGGTTACAAGCCCTGCTGCAGATATGTCATTTAGTTTTATACAGTTCGTGTAAAATTTAATTTTATGTAATTATACCATTTTGTTCGCCAGCTCCTCAAATGTGAGTAAATAATAGATTAAAACTCACGATAATCCATCGGCTATATGAGCTAACAGTAATAACAGTTCGCTCTCAGCCAACGGTCCTTCTTCGAGCTTCTGTTGTAACGAACCACCATCGCAGTATTCGTTCTGAATTATCATGTGATCGTCTTCCGCCCACGCTGAGTAGTATCTGCATTGAAAGGAAATATAAAATAAATTAATACAATTCAAATGATTACAAATAATCCTAGCTTATGCAGTTATTTTGTCAATTTGAAAGAGAATGTTTTGGAACTTTCTACGAAAACTATGCTGCGAAGCTACTTCCGTCTTAAAAGCTGAGGAAACTAATTGAAATTTGAAGTTTACATGGGGAACGAGGACAGAAAGCTGATGTTTAATTACAAAAGTGTCATTAAACATACATATAATTCAACGATATTTAATATCCCGAGATACACCATGTGCACTCAAAATGTGTACCAATCAAGAAGTGCCTGAACACCACTCTAGCACTTCTTGTTCACTCCAAATCTATCTGTCTCTCACACACACTATCTCTCTGTCTCTCTCACACAATAACTCTCTGTATTAGTCTCTCACTATTTGTCTCCATCTCTCTCACACTTTTTCTGTCTCTCATTATTTCTGTCCTCGTCTCTCTCTCGCTCCCTCTCTCTCTTTCTCACTCTTTCTGTTTCTGTTTCTGTCTCTAACTATTTGTGTCTCCGTGTCTCTCTCACTTTACTTAACTCTCGCTCTCTTTATCACACTCTTTCTTTCTCTGTCTCTCACTATTTCTGTCTCCATCTCAGTATAGTTATCTCTCTTTCGCTCTATCCCCTCTCGCACTCTTGCTATCCCTCTCTCTAACCCTCTTATTTTTTGCTTTTCTCTCTCCCTAATCGAGTTGAGTAATACTCATAACAGTTGTTTTTTTCTAAGGATTTGTAACTGAAAAGTGTCTTTTTGTGTTTATACAGGGTTAATTTTAAAACACCTACAACCACTTAGGGGGTGATACTACCCATCGACAGGAACAACTTTTATTAGGGGACCTATGCTGAAATCGCGAAAAAGAAATATGCTATTTCTTTTAAAATTGTATCAGCTAATCGAGCGAATATTTTTTTTCGCGATTTCAGCGTTGGTCCCATAATAAAAGCTATTCCTGTTGATGGTTAGAATCACCCCCTAAGAGTTTGTGTCTTAAAATTAACCCTGTATATACATTATAGTAGCCCGCCCTCGCTTTGCTTCGGTGTAGAGCTGTAGTGTAGACTATAGTTTTCGTTCAAAGGCTTGTATTATACAAAATTACTTTCTTCATAATATTATAAACCTTCCATTCAAAGTAAAAAATTCGTTGCGTAGTTTAGGACCCCTTGTACAGAATACAACATTGCTCTGCTGTTCCGATTTGAAAAAATCTCTTTGTCTTGGCCAGTACATTTATCGAGGAAGGCTATAGGCTATATATTACCAGGCTATGACCAGAAGCAGAGGAGTATCGATGGAAAATGTTACTAAAATGGGTAAAAATATTACATTTGTGAGATTCCGTTGCGTCCGCTGGGTAAACGATTAACGTTACACAAAATCATGTATGACGGAATTTTTTCTCTTTAAATTATCTGTAAAAAAAGTCCACAACAGCCTATGTCCATATTTTAAGTTTGACTCACTATAAACCTCTTTCTTCAAATTATTGCGGGTGAAACCGCAGGGGAACTCTAGTTTTGACATAACTGTAATAGTTAGACATATGGTATCGCTAACTTTTTTGTAGATATTGGTATTCTTTATAAAACTTTAGTACATCACTTTGCTCTATTGTCAATGACTTCCGCAGCGTACGCGATATAAGGCTATTTTTTGGTATATTTATACACACGTTAGGTTACGTTATCAAAGTTTTCATACGGAACTCTAACTTTTTTGAAAATACGCTAAAGCCTATATTAATCAGTGATAATTAAGCATTCAAATGGTGAAAGAATTTTTAATATCAGCCCAGTACTTTTTGAGCCCATTTGTTACAAACATACTTACATACAAATCTTCCTCTTTATAAATTTAGTATAGATAAATGTACTAACCTGACCACATGCGCATGTTTCCCTAACGCAGCATGTGCATAGACCTCAGTAAGGGCGGCCCTTTCCGCGGCCGACCCGGCCACAGGTCTCAGAGACCGTTTCAACGCGTAAACGCACCCGTCCAGCTTATTCACGCATTTGGTCACTCGGCCGAATTGGCCGCGACCAATAACGCCTAGCTCAACGAACTCGACATTGTAACGGGATATGTTCGACTCCTGCTCGGGCAACAGAGAAAGTTAAATAAAATAAAAGTTTAATAAAATAACATGCTTAGAAGAACTAAAAAGTTGATACGTCAAAGAACAGTCGTAGGACCTCATTCAGTCAAAGACAGGGTTGATAAAATTAAGGTATTTATAAAATAAATATTTTTATAAAGAAACAGAGAAAATCCTCAATTGACGGATGTCAAAATTCAAAGCATTCATTAGTTGAAGGAACAGGCGTAGATACGACGTTACAGACACTTTGGTTGATTTGATTGCATCAAAGTACTGAATTAAATCATTGTTTCTTTTAAATTAATTAATTATAAATAAATAAATATTCCTAACACACACAAATTAGCCTAGCCCCAAAGTAAGCACTGTAAGGCTTGTGTTATGGGATACTAGAGTGTCAGATAGATGACATATACTGAAACATCCATACTTATATTACTTATATAATATTATAAATGGGAAAGTATGTTTGTTTGTTTGTTTTCTCTTCACGCCTAAACCGCTAAACCGATTGTGATGAAATTTGGTATATGTATAGCTTGAACTTATGAGACTGCTATAGGCTACTTTTTTATATTATATATATATATATTTAAATAGAAATATACATATTAAACATCTATGACTGGAGTACAAACGCTCGTATTCTTCACACAAACATCTGCCCCCACCGGGATTTGAACCCGGGACCTCTGACACCATGAAACCCGGCGTATAAACCACTCGGCCACGGAGGCTGTTGAATACTCACCCTTAGTCTCTTAGCTGGTTGTTCAGGAGTAGCGTCCCACGTCGGTGTTTTTGACAAGGCTCTTTTCTTTTTATTCAACGCTTGACCTATGAACAAGAAATACATAATAAATTGATTTAAGTGACCAGACGATAACCAGAAAGCACTAAAAAGTAAAAATGAATACATATTCTTTATGATTTTATTTATTTTTTAAGCATTTAGCTGCTAGATGTCCAAATCTAAAGAAAAGTTTACTAGAAAAAAAATTGCCTTGCAGCTTAAGGCTAGGAAAATTTCGACGCGGCTAATAGGGCCGTGGTAGCATAATGGTCAGTGCATTCGCCCGGATAGCGAAGGATGCGGGTTCGAGTCCCGTCCGCTGCCTGGTCCGCGTGGATTTTTTTCTAGTAAACTTTTCTTTACATATTCTTTACTTGTATCTAAAGTACATTTGAAGTCTGGGTCGGGAGGTCTGAGTTACCATTTCAAGACTAACTTGAGTCTACAAGGTTTTGTGATTAACCCGAGCAGTGTGGACATTAATGGGCAGATTATTATGATGACGAATTGTAGACCAGTGTTGCCAGGTCCGATGTTTAAAAATCGGAAGGCGTTATAGAAAGAAACAGTAGTGTATGGAAAGATCTACAAGAAAAACAGTAGATGCCCCCCCCCCCCCCCTAGAATTGGTAAATCAAATCAAGATAAATAAATACCAGTAACGAATGTGTGAAAATAATAAGGTTGCCTACATTATTAATGGCCGAAAATGCAACTCAACATGCAATTTAAAAAAGAAAATCGTATTCTAAGAAAAACAAGAGATTCATGTAGAAAAACAGTAGTACAGGAGAAAATTCAGAAAAACAGGTGATCTGTAAAATCTGGCGACCTGGCAACACTGGTGTAGACTAGTGATGTAACGAATGTCATTTTTTGAACATTCGCGAATGCGAATATTTAGTTTTTTTTTAAATTGGCGCCAGTTGTCTATGGCATGGTGGCAGTCTCGTTCGAATTGCCGAGTTGATATGAACTCATCCGACTGAAGTGTCATTCCGCTCGCACCGGTCTTTCCGTAAACAAAACAAGTGAATTTTGAGGTTAGTGATTGTGAGCTTCGATCGAGATTGTGTGATAGATCGATCGCGGGACCCTGGGCACTTGCCCAAAGTGCCCACTGGGAAAGACGGGTCTATCCACACTAGAGGTCTTCATCATCAGCCTATTTATGTCCCCACTGCTGGGGCGCAGGCCTTCCCTATGGATGGAATAGGGAGATTGGGCCATGACCCACCACGCGGGCACAGTGCGGATTGGTGGGTGCTAACGACTGCAGATGCAGCCGAGACCAACGGCTTAACGTGCCTTCCGAAGCAAGGAGGAGCTCGAGATAGTAAATTTTTGGTCACCCATCCAATGACCAACCACTGCGAAAGTTGCTTAACTTCAACGATCGCAGCCGAACGCGCTAAGCACTTGCACCATCGAGCTCCTCTAGCTAGAGGTCTTCAGTGGTGACAAAAAATTGTTTTTTTTTTTATTGAGGGCTTCTAGTTTCTTTGAAACACAAATTAACGAAAAAAGTAAGACATAGTCATAATCAAAATCATTTATTCACTTTGGGCTGTTACAAGCACTCATGAATGTCTAGAAGCTACGCCATCGGTTTGTAAATCTACGGCGGGAGACCTTGTACTGAGAAGAACCGGCAAGAAACTCGGCAAGGGCTGTTTTTTTCTTCCTGTTTTATTATTTACAGAATCGTCAACTTTAATAAATAAATATATATATATTTCTAACACTTGCACTCCAATTAGCCTAGCCCCAAAGTAAGCACTGTGGGCTTGTGTTATGGGATACTAGGGTAACGGATAGAATACATATACTGTAGTCGTACGGAATTTTATTGTGGGGAAACGCCGCCGACATTCAAACTATTTTCGTGCTGCAGAAGAGAGCTATTCGATCAATTTATAATCTTAAAGTTAAGGATTCCTTAAGAGATAGGTTTAAAGAATTTGGTATAATGACGGTCGCATCACAATACATTTACGAAAATTTATTACTTGTAAGAAAAAATATTAATTTGTTTCTTAAAAACAGTGATGTTCACACACTTAATACAAGAAACAAAAATAAACTAACTTTACCTGCTACTAAGCTTCACAAAAACAATAATTCATTTAAAGGTCTTTGTGTTCGCTTATACAATAAAGTCCCAAGCAATATCCAAGAGTTAAGCATAAATAAATTCAAAGATAGTATAAAAAAAGCACTTATTAAAAAAGCTTATTACAAAGTGTCTGATTATATTACAGACAAAAATGCTTGGGTTTGAACTGTTCCAATCATTCCAACAGGTTTTCTATATTAAATAAATCATGATTGTATTGACGTTGTAACAACATAATGATTTGTAAATGTTGTTACATTATGCTTTTAATGTTGTGGAATTTTTTTTGCTCGTTTTTCTCCGCAGCTAAAATATATGTCCAATAACGAGTGGTAGGGAAAAAAAATGTTTGGACGATTCAAAAGTGTTGTACTATATCCAATTTGAATAAAGATATATTGATTTCTGATTTCTGTACATTTATAAGTATATTTATTTGAAATACATATTAAACATCCATGACAGAAGTACAAATGCTCGTATTCATCACACAAATATCTGCCCCCACCGGGATTCGAACCCATGTATCCCGGCGTACAAACCACTCGGCCACGGAGGTCGTCAAAATTGAAAAATGACTTCAGAGATGATTCATGAAGTCACCTTTCATTACATAATGCTTAAATATACATTAATTGTTTACCTGCATTTTGATTGCTGTGTTATTTATCTCAAGTGTAACTAAACATTAACATCTTCAATAGGAGCATAGAATCAGTATAATTATATTTTAAGTATGAAAATAATTTCTTTAGTGATAAAAATCTATGAGAAATCAGTCTTAATAGCCATGATAATTCTGACTCACCGTCTGGTGTGAACGGGTTGATATTGGCTACTGGACGCAGCCTGGACTCGTCCATTTCATCAGGGGGAAGACTTCCTAAGGCACTGTCCTCGTCGCCAGACGGCGGGTGGAGGTGGTGACTGGAGCCCGATGGCATGCCTGCGAACAATGGCGAAGTAATTAATTTAACCTGGTATGATGATTGCATTGCGCATTGGCAAAATTAAGGTGAACGCAGACTTGGCCGCACCGCACGCGCTGCAGTCTTCGCATTTGAATTCTTTATATGAAGTTCTATGCAACCTCGCAGTCGCCGCAGTCCCTGAAACGACCGAACTCCCCAAGCCGCAGCTGATGTCGTCACCAACGCCGGCCCGCACGCAGCGGTCGATGCGGCTAGCGCGGCGCGGATGACGTCATTCACATCAACTGAATAAAAGAAATCAAGTGCGATGCGTGCGGCGACGGGAACGACTGCAGTGACTGCGGTGCGGATAGATGTGCGAGGCCATTAAGGGTCAATTCACACGTACCACAACCACACCACAACGACGCCATGTGGTCGGGCGTATATTTTGTATTGAAAATTAATATTACAATTTACACGTACCACATTTTGCCGTTGTTATCGACCACCTGTGTAATACGACCACATCGCAACCACATCGCGACGGCAACGCCACCACCGATATACGCTGATGTCGTCGTCTTCTTCTTATTAATAAAAGCCATAACAAGGATAGCAACAACAATCTTTCCTCCATGACTACGTTCAGTCAAGCCGTGTTTCCTCTACGAAAGCCGGAGTATAACTGCACATGACCACGTGGTTACCACCACGCAACGACAGCGACAACGCAACCAAATCGACATTTTGTCGGTACCAGAACGCAACTGCAAAAAGCCGCTGCGACACTATTCACACGTAACCACAGCTTGACCACATTTTGTCGCTGCGACGTGGTGTGGTTGTGGTACGTGTGAATTGACCCTAACACAAAGCGATGACTGCGGAGACTGCGGTGCGGCCAAGTCTGCGTTCACCTTTATTGTGAAGAACGCAACGATATTAAATACCCTTAATACGCCACGTGCGCTCAAAATGTGTCCCAATCTTAGATTAAAACAAGAAGGGAAGATACGGTCCGCTCATACTGGCATCAAATAATATATGAGCCGACTCAACTAGATAAGCAACTCACACAAAGACCACTGGGAAAGACGGGTGTCTTTCCCAGTGAGCACTTTGAGCAAGTGCCCAGGGCCCCGTGATCGATAGGGGGCCCCTCAGATCACAAATACAAAGTCCCTAGTTCTTGTTAGATCACCAAACGGGGGTCATAGGGGCCCCATTATCCTAATATGCCCAGGGCCTCTAATAGGTCAAAGACGGCACTGCTCACACACGTACACGTCTGTAAATAAACATTCAATTGGGCGAGCGAGACAGAACTGTACACTTCGACGCAGCGCGAGCGAAACGGCGAGTCTGCACGGATGTATTGTTGTCTTTCACGACAATCCGTGATTTTTGCGTTCTTGATGTGTAACATCTTTCCTCTCGCTTTTCTGCAATTTGTGGGAGTGATTTCGTGATATGGGACGGAAGTGTGTAACAGGAAGTCGCGAAAGCGCACGCTATATGATTTGTTTTTAGAACATAATGTTCAAATGGCTTATTCCTTTGAATTTTATTTCTTTTTTTACTAATATAAGGTGAGGTTTCAAATGTAACACATCATACGTACGTTTTTTTTTACGGTTTTACGAATAAAAATGTTGCTGAGGCCAGGTCTTGAAACCGGTTTCAAAAATACCGGTAAATAAAGGTTAATACCGGTTTTTAGTGAAGGTTTCGTGTTTTTTAAATGAAAGCGGTACCTAAAACCATAATAAACCGGTTTAATCCAGAGCGACACATGCAAGCGTCGGCATCGCTTGAAGTTTGTTTTGTTTGAACTAATCAAGTCACAACTTGTTAATGCTCAGAGATTGATGCATTTATTGACACATTTGCTAGCGTCTAGTGTGTCTAATTATTCATTTTGTAGTTGTGTATTTATTTATACCGTCAGTAAGATCGAAATGAAACCCTTTAAAAACCGCTAAATTGATTCAAAACCTATTTGATTTCGCTTTTTAGGAAACCCCTTTTTTTTAAGGTTAAGGTAGAGCCAAACCTAAATAAAACGCTCCTAATGTACTTGACACTGATTTAGGTTTGAAAATTAACCGGTAAACAAGCCCTGGCTGAGGCATTGAGTGCCTATCTATCGCTTGATCCGCGCTCTCGCTTGCACGCTCAGGCTCAGCCGGAACGTGACACTTTTTCGTGCGCGCAGCCGGTGTTCATCGATTTATAACACGTTATCACGTCAAAATACTGACCTGCAACTGCGTTTAATTTGGGTGGAAACAGCCTGGAGCGGGGCGGGTGGTGCGAGGGCGTCGAACATTTCTCAAGCAGCGACTTCGGCGTGTGTGGACTGTCGAATAATCTGAAAATATACAACGTTATATAAAGTTTTTTTTTTTCTAGTAATATACTCTTTAGACTGGACTGGTCCACCAGTTTAAAGACGCTCAGAGAGCTATGGAAAGGGCTATGCTAAGAGTATCCCTGAAGTACCGCATCAGAAATGATTTAATCCCACAGAGAACCAGAGTCACCGACATAGCCCACCGAATTAGCAAACTGAAGTGGCAGTGGGCTGGTCACATTAGCCGCAGAACTGACGGCCGATGGAGCCGTAAAGTTCTTGTATGGAGACCGCGACTCGGTAAACGTAGTGTGGGACGCCCTGAGACAAGATGGGATGATGACATTCGTAGGCTGGCTGGCGTGAGCTGGATGGGAGTGGCAGAAAATCGGGAGCAGTGGCGTGCATTAGGGGAGACCTATGTCCAGCAGTGGACGAGCATGGGTCGATGATGATAATGATACTCTTTACATTTATGCATCTAGCAGTTAACTGCTTAAAAAAATATAACTATAATTATACAGTGGCAGGCGCGCCACAGTTACGTGTGAACAAATGCTCATAACTGCTTTTGGGTGTGAGCGCCGATTGGTTCGAATGTTTGATGTCGCGTCGTTTGATTGGCTATTATCTACTCATCTGAAAGTCTGAACTCCACCCGTCACCTAACATTAGCCGGTCTTTTGGTTAACTTTTTTGACATTTAAAATGTACTACCAAAGAGAAAATGTCATATCCATCGATGCTTTTAGAACAAGTATCTTAGTGGCGTTATAATAAAGCAGTAGTGGATCACTAAATGGGTCGGTGATTATCACAGCCATCTGTCGATAGCAGCTAGCGAATCAGCATACAGGTAGGGTGGAGTCATCTGATGTTAAGTGAAGTTAGATGGTATAACAATTTTAGCAAACCAGTATTTAGTGTGACAAGAATTCTAATAAATAAATATTTCCAACAGTTACACCAATTAGCCTAGCCCCAAAGTAAGCACTATAAGGCTTGTGTTATGGGATACTACGGTAACGGATAGAATACATATACTGTACATATATAAGTATATCTATAAAGAAAAACATATTAAACATCCATGACTAGAGTACAAATGCTCGTATTCATCACACAAACATATGACCCCACCGGGATTTGAACCCGGGAGGGACCTCTCGAGTCGGCGACACCATGAAACCCGGCGTACAAACCACTCGGCCACGGAGGTCGTCAGTCGTCATAGAAAAAGTTTATAAAAAACCCAATCGAAACCTAACGAATCCGGCGGTACCAATTTTTGTTTATTTGTTCCGCACGGAGTATTAAACGGAAAAGATAACAATTATCTGAAATTCGTTGACTCAGTTATGGAGTCTGTTCAGGTTAACAGAAAAAGCATATGAGAAGTTAAAAGATTCCTAAGTTTTGCACCTTGTCCCTTGCCCTTGTTAGATATTATTGTTATTAGCACAGCACACGTGAATGTTGCTTCTTTTGTGACAAAACACACCTGAAGTTAATAACAAAAGGTTGCATTTTTTGTTATCAATACAAGGGGATGTTTCGAGAGAAATGAGAGGCAATAGGTTTTTTTTTGGAAGCCACAGTTATTTCCGCGATATCTTTCATTTGATAATTGGGAAATAAAATAAAATTATAAACCAAAACCCTTTTTCGAAGTATACTTGTTTTCGCGTTGGTGGTAGAGTTAAGGCATCTCGCGCACTAGACGGCCATTATCACGGCTAGTCGTGGCCGTGGTCGCAACCTTGGTCGTAGAAGATACGGTTGGGCTGCAGCCAAGTTTGCGGCCACGACCACGATTAAAGCGGCCGCAGTGCTGGTCGTTTCTTTATTTCATTATTTAATTTAATTATTTAATAATTAATTTAATTAATAAATAATTTAATACTTAGGTAATTTAACTTTGAATCAAAACTCATTGCAGAAAAAAAGGTTATCGTATTGACTTGTGACACGGTACGAAACGTGTTCACTCACGAATAGTTAGCATTCCAGAAAAAAGAAATGCGTTAACAGTATGATTGAGTAATGTCATCGCCATTACCTAATTATCTGCGTTTTCGCAAAATCCCTAGGAATTTCGTGTAAAAATTCGTTTATCAAAACATCGAACATAACAAAATACTAGTGGGAAGTAAGTATGTAAAAATTAAGTAAAATCTTAAATGCTAGCGAGTCTTAGGCCCGTATTACAGAATGACAACTAAGTGTTGATCTTTACCCGAATACAGTTAGAAAGGGATATCGCTATGTGCTTTATATAGAGACATCCCTTTCTAACTATGCTCAAGACTAGATCACGGAGAATCTTTCTTTAATACCGGCCTTAAAGAAGTTAATTGGTATTTTTTTTTTCCTTAGAGGCAAATTGTGATGTTGGAACGTGAATATTTCAGCTTGATTTGGGGGACTCGTGTCGTGCGTAAGCAAGCCGAGTAGTGACGAAATATTCCGAACACCTTTCTAAAATAGGTATTACAATGATTGGCATTGCAGAATAGTCGACCGACTGGTCGGCAATTCGAAAACCGATTAGTCGGCTAGTCGATAAATACTCCCATCTCTACTAAAAATCATTTTCAAAATAAATATTACATATATACTTTCTAAACACAGCGATTCATCAATGAAGAATACATAGGATTAACAAAATTATTGTCATTCCTGTTTTCATGTTAATTTTATTAAAGGTTCACAATCCCACTATAAGATTAGACGCATGAGTGAACTCGCCCTTTGTACCTACCTGCGCACGATACAAGGCAAGAAACACTGTACTACAAAAAGAATAGAGTCCAAAATTCACCACACAAAAAGTTGCAAGTCAGGTAAAAAGACTTGCTTGAACCAAGGCGTAGAGTTGAAAATCGCCTAACTGACTACGTTTTTTTTTAAAGCAAGGTGATTCATGTCAGTTCCATTATTGGTGCATGTGGTGTAGGTGTAGTATTTTTTACGATGTTTAGCAGATGTCAGCTGTTCGGAAATCAGATGTTTCTGCTTTTGTAGTGGAGTAACTGTTGTTTAACCGATTTTACCCGAAATATTCGCGATTCGTAAGCAATTATTATTAACTAGGTACTAGCGACCGCTCACGACTAACTTTAGTTTTTTGAGGTTGCCAGAAGAACCTAACATTTTATCCAGAATAAAAAGTATCCTATGTCTCAATCCAGGTCATGAGCTTTAAGCATACCAAAATTCATCCAAATACAATCAGTAGTTTATTCGTGAAAGCATAACAAACAAACTCATTTTTTCATTTATGATAAGTATTAGATATGATTACAATAATAATAACAATGTTTTTCAGAATATACAGTCCTATATAACAAAAAATACATAATGGCATACACCGAGATATGTATGAAGTCATGTAATTATTTGTTCCTTAGTTTTTATACAAAAACATAGAAGAACTTGAAATGTATTTGTAAAAGCTTAATAAAAACTCATTATGACATAACACCATGACTAATCTTTGAGACAAAAAAAAATATAAAAAAAAACAGCTTTTAAAAAGTTAAAGAGATAACTGTTTGGAATAAAACTGGTTATTCAAGAACTTGGGAATGTAAACAATGTAGGTTTGGTATGATAAAGGATAACAACAGGCAAAAACCAGTATCACAGGAATGTGGCGATTCACCAACTGCCCATCTGCTAACGGGGCTGACGTAAAATTAGGACAGGACAAGTATCAACTTGTGTGCGGTCGCTGAATCTGTGCAAACATGTATCAACATGTCTAAATATGAGAGCTTTGTTGATTTCAAAACAAAGTTATTGCTTGGTACTGGCCGTTATGTAAACGAAGCATTTGAATTAAGTTATAGATAAATTCTGATTGAGATTTACATTTAATAAATTTATTTATTTTGGAAAATTGCGGCAGATACACGTAAAAGAAAAAGCTAGTCAGATAAAAGAATATTTGGTACTTGAACAGTATATATCTTCTAAAGACTAAAGAATTTTTGAGAGGCTAACTTTGGTAATCAAACAATTTTTAATATATTACTAGCTGTGCCCCACGGTGTTACCTGTGGCTTATTAGGGATATTTTCCCGCAGTAAATCGTAGCCTAAGTGTTAATCCAGGGTGTCAGCTAACTCCAAACCAAATTTTATAAAATTATGTGAAGAAGTAACAAACACTCACAAACTTTCGCCTTTATAATATTAGTGTGATAGTTTACCTACCAATCTTGCCATATTAAAGGAGGAATGTGAGGTGCCCCAATATGGTTGTTTTGGTAGGTGGGTATAATGTATGCTGTTATGCCGATAACTTTAACAGCTCCAATAGGTTTAAGATGGTAAGATCTTCATCTAAAAAATAGCATAAGTGACTATCTAGGATGAAGCCATCTCGGTTCAGTACCATCATCAGGTTTAGCACATATTGAGGATTAAATAGACCTTGAGCCTGATGAGTGTGTCAGCATAACCAAAGCACATCGCATCTATCATTATATATTGTTTGATAAATAATTGGGTTATTTAGAAATTATTGCTAAAAGGGTTAGCGTAAACACTGACTATTTATCAAGAGAAATTATTTAGTGCGAGTTGCACCACAGAGTTAGTCAAAGTTACACTTTACTATAAGTTTATAAACCATGAATCTGACAAAGACCAAGGTCATGACCAATGGTTCCAAAATAAATATTCTAGTAAAAAATGAACTTATTGAATATGTTGATAAATATATATATTTGGGACAAGTGATAGCAACAGAACTACAAATGCAAATAGAATTACAGCGTAGAACTAATAACACATGGTCAGGATACTGGTTCCTGAATAAAATAATGAAAAACAATTATATGCCTAGCCTACACAAAAAAACAAAGTATTTGACACTTGCATACTTCAAGTACTCACCTATGGATGCCAAACATGGTCCTACTCAAACCATACAATACAATGGTTAAAAGTATGCCAACAAGGAATCGAAAGAAGTATGCTAGGTGTCAAACTAGAAGACAAAATACGTCTCTCTCATCATCAGCCTATTAATGTCCCCACTGCTGGGGCACAGGCCTTCCCTATGGATGGAGTAGGGAGATTGGGCCATGACCCACCACGCGGGCCCAGTGCGGATTGGCGGGTGCTAACGACTGCAGATGCAGCCGGGACCAACGGCTTAACGTGCCTTCCGAAGCACGGAGGAACTCGAGATAGAAGATTTTTGGCCACCCTTACAATAACCGACCACTGCGAAAGTTGCTTAACTTCAACGATCACAGCCGAACGCGCTAACCACCTGCGCCATCGAGTTCCTCTGCGCCATCGAGCTCCTCATCGTCGTCTCTCTACCATAAGAAAAAAGACTAAAGTAGTAGATGTAACCAGGAAAGTTAGAACACTGGAAGTGGACATGGACTGGGCATATCATGAGGTTGCAGAGGGCCAAATGGACAAGAGATATCATGGTGTGGTACACTCAAGATGGTAAACATAGAACAACACAAAAGATGGGAAGACGATCTACCCAAAAGTTGGCGACGAGCAGCCAGAGATAGGAACCAATGGACCAATTTGTCAAATTATGAACTAATTTTGAATATTGTCAAATGGTGCAACCCATTTTTTAACCGACTTCAAAAAAGGAGGAATTTCTATGTTCTTATCTTTCCCGTGCTTTTATACTGTATGACACAGCAATCAAAATGTGAACGGATGTTGTATTGGTAGCAACATGTTTTTTTTTTTTTGTAAATGTTGCTGATTCTGTTAAATGCTGATGAGTTTCTTGCGCCTATTCTTCTCATCGGCTAATTGGTTTTTCTATTGGTCAAATTTTATACTCACAACATCAAAATTTAGAAAAATGACACTAAAGACCTAAGACTTCAGATATTCCCAATAAATGCAATATAATACTACTAAATTGAGAAGTAGTGACAAGTAAACAATTTATTTCGTAATGGGAAGATTTGTTTTCGGTCTGGTTACATGGGTAGTCTTCACTCACGATTAAAAAAGTTTTAGAAATGCTATAAGGATTGGTCCCATTAGATTTGAAGTTGGTCCCGGTGCAGAATTATTGCTTCAATTTATATCTACTAAAAGTATCAGCATTTTCTCCTTCTACTTTTAAAATTTCATCATAACAATACATTTGCAACAAAAACTTGGAAAATTGTAATTTTACAATGTGCACAATTATGGCATGATAAACTTAACTTCAAACTAAATTTAACTTAGCACTGCATTATTAATAAGGTTTCTTATATAAAAGATATTTTTAGGGACATTATTTTTTCCTTTATTTCTTGCAATCAGCTGAAAAGCTTTGAATAGATGTTTTCCACTGCTCAGTACTTGGATGGCTGATTTGCCATCAAGAATCATTGGTTTTTCTGAGTAATAAAATCAAACACAAAATATCACTGCATGAAGAATTATATCAATTCGAAGTTGGAATAAGCTAGTGTTTATAAAAAAATCAGTAATACTTCAACATGTCCTTGTTTACTAACTACATTGACCCAATATTACAGAAAGTGTAAGTTACAAAATCATTGAAATTAGTTCCTATCATAATACAAACTCCAGTTTTTAGTCTACTTCAGCAATAAATCAGAACAAAACTAAACAAATATTTAAAGACCACACTTAAGAGATTTAATTTAAGTCTTGATGTTTAATTAATTTGTCCTATTCCATTGTCCTTACATAGAAAGTGCCAGAATGAACTATGATTTATACTTCAACTGATGTCTCTGAGTAAAACTGTTTTAAATGAAAAAACTTAAATTTATAAATGTGTTGATCTTCATCATCTTTTAACTCGCGATGAGTGTCATTAATTCCCAAATACTATTTATGTACGATACACTAAGAATATTATAAGTCACAATTTGGACACACTATAATGTATTCTTATTGATTTCTGGTAAAAGTGCTGACTAAAACTTTAAATGGGGATACATAAAACGTGATCTATTTGTATTATTGTGTTATTTATATGCAAGGCGAGTGGTAACATCGTCATTTTACAGTTTCAATTCTATCAAGTGAAAGTATTAGCTTACCTGAGAGCCCGGACTCTTTTGTAAGGTGGACTAAAAGTAGGAGCCGGTGAAGCATTTCTAATGCCGTCCTCGTCATCCAAACTGCTAAAATCCAGCTTCCTAGGCAGTATAGAAGCCGGTATCGGACTCAAATTATCCGAAAACATGTTGAATGATTCTGACATTTCACTAGATGTTTCCACTGATAGTTCCGAAGAATTATGCCGACTGTTGAATCCGTTTTTCATCCTATACCATTCACTCATATTTAAACACTCATTTGATACACAAAAAGAAAACTTAACACTGATTTTTTACCAGATTTTAACAGCAAACAAAGTACACTTTCTCAATTTCACAAGAACAACGTTATGGCGGATGACGCATAGCACCTGTTCAAGTGCTCAACCAATCACAACAGTATATTTGACCGGTAAGATGAATACTACATTCCCATTGGTTGATACTTTTTTTTTAATTGGGACTTCATGTATTTAGTGCTGATTGGTTGTAACTATTGACGCATTCAGTTTTAAAATAATTTAAGAGCAAAGACATGAAGGATGCAGCCGTAAGAAAAGATCACAGACATGAAGGATGCAGACCAAGAAGCTTATATACAACACTGGAGATTGCATGTAGAACTTCTGTATGAAGATGAGTTTATTAACCCCATGATATGTTTTTTATCTCTCTCACACACTATCTGAAATTACCATGTTAAATACATGAAATTCCAATCAGAAAGTGAAAATAAACAGAACTATGCAAGATATCAATCAGTTTTACAATCTCCAGAAGTCCTACTCTTGTATTACTATTATAAGATGAGTGTGACAAATTCTAACCAACTACTTTGAAATCAATATTTAAAACTAAATAATAAATACGCCCTTTATTTCCCTGTTTGCTGGTTGCTACCATTTTGGTATAATAGCAACACTAATTAAAAAATCAACTGAAGAATATCTCCGATCTGTCAAAAAAAATCTACCGCTTCGAATGTTTAGATTATTATTAAAAAGTGTTAAATTGTTCAATTTGCTATTTATAATATGTATTGTGTTGCGTGAGATTGCAGAAGTGTTTGGGAACCAAATTCCAGCACTAAATTTCACAGGTAAGTCTATTACATTACGCCAATACCGAAATAAACATATTCCTATATTTTTATGTTGTAATCATAATAAAAGGTTAGTATTTATAAATCATAGTGTCCTGAGGCTATAAATTAACGTTATTCTTGTTTTATTCACTACATTTGGTACCATATTCAGCAGTTTATTAAATTAAAATAATATAAATTTTGGTTTTGTAGGGTAACCATTATCACTACACTTGAGATATTTTGAGAAAGTTAAAATACATAAGTATTATTGTAAATAGTAATTATAAAGTTCAAAATATGAAAATAAGTTTATAATAAATACTGTAGTAGATCATGTTGATTAGATGTAGAAAACCTATTTAATAACAGCTATCTAGCAGCGGTCTTATACCTTTGTTTATGTTTCAGCTTCCCGAAAGATATCATTAAAAGAAATTCTTGGTTGTCCATTATACTGTCACAAACGCTCTCGAAACGGAACCGCGAATGTGCTAGAGATCAAATTAGCCAGAGCACCGCGGGTCGCAATAGAAGTCGAGTAAGGCGGCTCATTCTAAAATGAGCCTTATGCAGTGCGACGTAAAGGAGAAAGTGCAACGATATCTGTACTTCTTTACAAGTTATGCGTGTTACTTGCGTAGGTATAAGTAGGTATTTCGTACTCGCGGGTGCTAGGTAATTCTCAATTTAACAGGTACTTTCTAGAACTTCGACTTTCGACGACCTCCGTGGTCGAGTGGTTTGTACGCCGGGTTTCATGGTGTCGCCGACTCGAGAGGTCCCGGGTTCAAATCCCGGTGGGGACAGATGTTTGTGTGATGAATACGAGCATTTGTACTCCAATCATGGATGTTTAATATGTATTTCTATAAAAAAAATATACTTATATATATAAGTACAGTTTATGTATTCTATCCGTTACCCTAGTATCCCATAACACAAGCCTTATAGTACTTACTTTGGGGCTAGGCTAATTGGTGTGAGTGTTGGAAATATTTATTTATTTATTTACTTTCTAGAATGCATCGATCGGCGTATATAAGGGCGATTGGCGCCGCGCAGAGACAGTTGAGTTTCAACAGCGATTTCGGAGCGAATCCAAAGGCAATCAAAGTGCAACAAAAGTGTTCAAGTGAGATTGTTTAGAGACTTGTATAGTGAAATACAGTGTTTAGTGAGTGTTTTGTAATTAACATTGTGTGTTAATTGTGTGAACTGTGTGGTGAATAAAGAACTGTCAATCGTGAACTGGCATATAATTTCGAACCCCATCCCGACACGTAACAATACCATTAAAAGGTCAATTTTATTTATCAGCCAAAATATGTAGCTTAGAGATTCTAGTCCGTTCTTAGTAAAAGGCATTTCTGGCGATTTTAAAAAGGGTTTGCATATTCTTTCTCGTTAATTTTTTTATAAATGTTTTTGACATGGCATAATATAAGACGCATCTAATATGAATAAAACGATTTTTGTACTTGTGAATTTTATTACTATTAAATAATGTGTTCCCAAGTTCCTATCAACTCCAGCGCTTTGATTTATAAATTGTTTAAAGACGATACCAGTAAGTATGTATCCTAAACGTATATTCCAACATGGTCACCCTTAGAAAGAGATAACAAACATATGTGACGTCATTCAAGGCCATATTTTTTCACTTCAAGGTATTGTTTGCACTGCAATCTCCAGTGTTGTATATAAGCTTCTTGATGCAGACGTACTCCAATCTCAGATTTGATTTCTCTAAACCAAAACGTGATAATCGTGTATCCTTGTCATTCTCAGAATGAAAACAAGAAACTGATATTTTTAGTTTTAAGTTTAGATAATCATGAAGCTCGAATCGACACCTCGTCGTAAATCTTTTAAACTTTAAAGGTGCTCCTTCCTTCATCGGGAGCATTCTTCTGCAATGTAACATTTTAGCTTCAATTATGAGATAATTTTGTGCGAGCGAGTGATTGTAATATTATTACGGGTTGATCACTGCAATGCTTGGTTCTCCCATAGACTTAAGTTCTACAGATCTTAAATGGTAATGTTTTTACTGTAAACGCAGTGCTGCAAATCTGAGGTATCGGACCTCACAAACAATATTTTTGAATAAAAGAATGATATTAAAAAAGGAAAAACAAAAAAAAAAATATTAAAGATGAGGATGTATGGACTGTGTTTTCTTGGTTTTCTCATTAAAATATTGTACTTATTTAAAAATAAATTTGACAGTTGACACGCTGATTTTTTAACCAGCGTTGCCATTGTGGAACTTTTGTTTCAATTTCGGAATTCTTGAGTCCTTGGCAAAATTATTTCTTAGCTTGGCTCTTTCAGTCTTTTTTTCGAGCTGCTTGTCGTTTGATTTTGTATGCAGTGGCTGCTGATTCTTTAAAGAATCCAATTCCATGTGAATTTTTTTTAGATCTCTTAGCTTAATATATAAGCCTAGGAAGTTGATGAACATTTAAAATAATATTTCTGTCTCAACAGGGAGGGAGTCTAAATTTCATTGGATGAAATATAATAAATAATTGATAAAATAAAAAATATTTATATCACGCCCAGCGCCGCAATTAGGAATGGTACCCAATAGACCCATTGCTGCGTTGGATGGCAAGGCTGATCCGTTGACCAAGATAGCTGCCAGCCTATTTATAACCAATCAATTCGATGAGCTTTAATAATACTTTGAAAAGTGAACCAGCACTAGGACCTCTTGAGCCCATCCCACAGTCTCAATACCATTCGGAACTAATATGTAGTTCTCATTGAAAGCTGAATATATTTATGGGTTGATTTTCATACAAATATAATGCTGTTGAATTTGACGTTTAATTGCTTATTAGGTTCATTTGATGTTTCATAATATGTCTTCTCATTTTAAGGATTTCAATAAATGAAACATTATGAACAATACCTGAAGCATGCAATCTCGCTATTTTATGTAGTCCCCCTGCCCTGTAATTTCCTGACTTCGCACGAAACTTGCAAATAACACTATGACACACTGAGGGACCTTATACCTATTTTGAGGTCTGTGTCCGCTTCACTAGATTCATTATAGTTTACTTATGAAAAGAAAGTTACGAATCTTTTCGTTACAACGAACTTTATGTCATCATCATCTCATTCATTATTCTCTCTAGTTGAACATTTTATTTGTATCTAGCTCGCTCGTTCAAATCAGCCCAAAATATCAACGAAACTATTTTATTCACCTATTTCAATTAAGTCACGTTTTGTTTGTGTTAAAAAGAAATCGTTTGAGAAAATTTTATTCTTTGTGGTAAAATGTGTTGCTCACGGCACTTACCTAAATTCTACTAATAAAAAAAGGGAGTGTGCTTATGACCACACCACTGAAGTGAAACTTCTTTAGCTCCACCTGTATGTATAAATATATATGTGTGACCGGTGACACTTTTCGTCACTCGTAATACATTCGCCAGTTTACCCCCCAAGTCAAGCGTGTCTAAAGAAGTTTCACTACAAAAAATAATTAAAAGTTTACTAGAGATAAAATATGTACTAACTAAAGATACACTTTACCTTTGTCAGTGTCCTAGTTCATTTTCATCATTCTTTCGTGAATTACTTAAGCAAGTCTAGAGTTCCTTTATCTTATTTTACTTTCAAGCATACTATCGATCATGGAACTTTTGGGGTAAACTATCGGAACAATAAGTATAATAAGTATTGAGTATCTGGTAACACTAATTCTGACGTTTGCCTGCCTACCTACTTGCTTTTGTTTGACAAAAAGTTGTTTTTTCGCATTGCAGAGAACACTTTGAACTGTTTTAGCATTTTTATTTGTTTACGTTTAAATTAAAAAGTATCGTTGTGTAAACTTCTGTCGTTACTAGCAGCTGTTAATCCATGTTAAATCAAAATGAAGATGATAGTTGCAGTATTACTGTGGTTTAGTGTTATTCTAGGATACCCAGTTTTCGCGCAACAAACCAAAGATAAAATAATATTTCACTATAACAATACGTAAGTAACTTTCACAAGTTAAAGTCAGTGTTCGAAATATCTCACTCTCAAATTGTCTCTTTTAGTTATCACTTGCCTTTCATGGATTTTTGTAGGTGCTTTTTCTATATTATATCATATGCCCTTTTGCTATATTATATCACACATAAGTTCAAGTACCTACTTTTGTTGTGGTCGTTCTGTAGGTTTAATCACCCATTGTTTCTTACACAGAAACAGAAATAGTTTCTTTTTACCCTAATTTATTGCGACCAATGTTGACCATTCTTAAATCTCTAAATTTTCAAAGAACCGTTCTGCTCTACTTATTTTTTACAAGTAATTATGATAATGAACTTGAACAAAGCAATTTTAACTAAATGCAATCCTTCTTGTTATCATTTAACTTAAACGACTTCACTGTTAAGTTTTGAAGTTATAAACAGGATTTTAATAGACATTTTTGTATGAAAAGTTTGATTATTCAAAAGTCAAGATTGAAGAAATAATATCTGTGCAGCATAATTAATAACAAAGATAAAAAAAATATTGGTTATAATTGATGCATTTGTTAACTTGTTGAGAGAGAAAAATGATAAACATTGATTGAATTGTGGTCAATAAATAATGACAAATGTGTTTACAGATATAGGTACAATGTTCCCTACACAATGAACATCAACAGGAATACAGAGTACATTATGGAATTTGGCGGGGTGAGTAAGATCTTATATGTATTTTCTTAAGAAAATATAACTAGAAAAAATTCCATGCAGATCAGGCAGCAGACTGGACTCAAATCCGCACCCTGGCTCAGCTTTCCATTATATGTAATTGAGTTGCAAGCTGAAATTTTTGTCACGCAAAGTATTAACTATTAAAAACACGTACACGAAATCTTTTTAGGCGGAAACGAATAGAACTCGAGAAAAAAATTATTGAAAATTAATATTTTTGTAGGTTATGAGTCAATTTTGACAGCAATTTTGATCAGTGCTGCCATTTTTTTATGCAAAAATAACATGATTCTCGTTGTCTATGGTAAATATAAGTTTATTATGTTGGTACTATTGTCAAAATGTGACAATTTACCGCCATTAATGAGATCTGTCTGTCAGTGTTTGTGTTCGTCGCAGTTGAGAGCTTTTTCGTACTCCTGTTGATATTAACATCGTCTGACTACTATGGCATCCTCAAAGCCTTCGGCCTCGAATTCTGCTGTCCCATCGCCTGAAGAGTCGAGTGTAGTGCGAGTTTTGGACTCTAATGAGCCACTTGTGTGGTGATACTTCACACTAGGTTAGGTTAGGTTAGTGTTGTGACCTTAACGCGCGAGCCGAGCGAGCGAAGCGAGCGTGCCGCGGCAGCGGCCGGCGAAGCGCCAGAAAGAAAAACTCGTTAATAGAGACTTTTTCTACAAAAAAAATCAAATATCACCTCTAGGCCCTGGAAGTACAGTTTTACCTTTAAAACCCCTCTAATTTTTTATAATTATCATTTCTGTAAAAAAAACGACTCTTCCCTCTGAGGGGTCTTCCCTAATACCTATCCCCCTGAAATTTCACTACATATAACAGATTTAATGAATTTTTAGGTTAGGTAAAAAAAAACTGCATTTCCGCCAAAAATCTTTTATGGCGGGGGGGTCGGGGGGAGCCCCCCCTCCCCCTCCCCTACAAATTACCGCGAAATTCAATTACATATAATGGAATTAAGTACCCGCACCCTTCATTATCTAGACGAATGCACTGACCAATTATGCTACCGCGGCCCTGACAGCTGCGTCCAAATTCTCCTAGCCATTCTTAAGCTGCAAGGCAGTGCCATCTCTTGTAGGTAACACAAAATGTCAAATGAATACTTTTACAAGTATTAAACATTTGAAAGTAGAAATAGTGATTGTGGGTTACCTACAATGCGAAGAGATGGAGCTGCCTTGCAGCTTAAGAATGGCTAGAAGAATTTGGATGCGGCCGTCAGGGCTGCGGTGGCATAATTGGTCAGTGCATTCGCCCGGATACGGGTGCGGGTTCAAGTCCCTTCTGCTGCCTGGACGCGTGGAATTTTTCTTGTTATATTTTCTTTAGATTTAGACATCAAGCAGTTACATGTTAAAAATAAAAAAAATAATTTTATCTTCTTTAAAGCCGTAGAAAGCTGAATGTCGCATTGTTGAGATGTGGCTTTTTGAGTGTGTTGTAGGTATGTAATCATTAATGAATCACATGCTACATGGGATCAAACTGTTATTTGTAATAGATAAACTCTGTGGGAGAGTGGTATGTACGCTTGTTATCAAGGTCCTGGGGGCCAATCACCTAACAGGATTGCTATGACTAACACTGTCACTTACGATTTCATTTTGTTATTTCTGTCAATCGAAGGTTTTTAAATACCACACTGTCATTTTCTTTAATAATGTTATTACCAATGCAAAAAAAGTAAAAAGTAGAGGCATTTGAAAACCTTCAGCGGTCAGAAATAACAATATGAAATCTTAAGAGATAGCGATAGCTATAGCAATGCTGTTAGGTGATGAGCGCCCTGGGATTAGAGTATATTTAAATATAAATACACATTAAACATCCATGACTGGAGTACAAATGGTTGTATTCATTACACAAACATCTGCCCCCACCGGGATTCGACTCGAGTAGGCGACACATTGAAACGCGGCGTATATACCGCTCGGCCACAGAGGTCGTCGAATTTATGTACGTATTATATTATAAAGTTAATGCCAATATCGTTACATAGTGGAGTCCCGAGCGGACTTCCTCCGGTCCGCGTGCTGTTGACATGTTTATTACATAATAATAAATAAATCTTTCCAACACTCACACCAATTAGCCTAGCCCCAAAGTAAGCACTGTAAGGCTTGTGTTTCCGTTACACTAGTTTCTCATGATACTAGGGTAACGGAAAGAATACATATATTAGTATATTTATGTTGAAATGCATATTAAACATTAATGACTGGAGTACAAAAGCTCGTATACATCACACAAACATCTGCCCCCGTCGGAATTCGAACCCGCGACCTCTCGAGAAGGCGACACCATGAAACCCGGCGTACAAACCACTCGGTCGTCAGAATTCATTCCTGTATATCATAGAGCAACGCTGCGTGAGGCGCATTGGCTGCGATGGAGCAAAGAGCGGGTCTCCGTGACGGACTTCAGCTCCGTGTTCCCGCTTAAGGCAGCGGAGGCTCTTATACTAGGATTCTTCCCGTCCCCCACGACAACGGCTAAGTAGAGCCGAGTTCCGAGTCACAGAGACGCCCTCTAGTTGAGCCGACCCTCTCTGGTTCGAGTGGTCTAGAGGCTCCAGACGGAGAGGAGACTCACCCCGTGGGGAGATGCCATCCTCCTGGAATACCTGTAGAGGCACTCGCCAATTCTCGGCTTGAGGTCCCCTCAGGATCTCGCTGTCCCCAAACCCGGTGACGCTGTACACTCAAAAGAAGTAAAAAAACCAGGACTATCACATTCTTTTATTGCCCAGGACTCGGAGGAGGAGGCGTATTACACTCCAGCCCGAGTGACGGTGGCCAGCGACTTTGCTAACAGCACTTACCCCCTGTTCATAACAGCACGTCAGCAAAAAGGTGACGTTTTATCTTATAACTACGTAGCTTCCGCATGCGACTGTTTTTTTTTATGTTATACGAGCATACGAGCAGACTGCTCACCTGATGGTAAGCGATCACCGTCGCCCATGGACACTCGCAACACCAGGAGTATCACAAATGCGATGCCGCCCTTTAAGGAAGGAGTACGCTCTTTTTTTTGAAGGTTTTTGGGTCGTATTGGTCCGGAAACACTGTTGGCGTAATAATAATATATTTCACAGTTTTGTCGTGCGATATAGATTTTGAGAATCCCACAGGAACCTTACTTTTTTTTTTAAACAAAAAAGTATGTTATCTCAATGCAGGTGGTAATAAACTTAAAAAAACGGATATGTGATGTTCACATGCAATAGAAATGAAACCTACAAAAATGTGGACACCTAAAAGCCCTCCATGACTGGGTACTTCTTAAAGACAACACCTGTGTTAAAATTCAACTCATTAGGTCAAAATTAAATATTTAATACTACTTAAATAGTTACGAAAAATTAATAGCTTAATAAAGTGAAAAAAAAATCAATAAAAAGAATTTACGGAGCTCAGGATCGAACCACCGATCAGTTGGTGTCGACCTAAAGACCGTAACCGTTGCGCTATCCGTCTCTGAAGGTGGACGATAAAATAACGGATACCTGTCTTGTGTCAAATATCCTACTTCCGTTTCATCGGATTTCAAATTGTAACGCTGCTAAAGAAGATTGCACTTAAAAAAATAGCCCTTGCTGAGTTTCTTGCCGGTTCTTCTCAGTACAAGGTACTGTAGTTTGGCGAACTGATGGCGTAGTGGTGTTCATAAGAGCTTCTAACAGCTTAAAATGAATGAAGCCTGTATCCTAAAGGCCCGTGTTATTATCGCTGTTTAATGTCAGGTGCGTTATTGCGACATTTCATTTGAATTAGAAATTTGGAATCAAAAAATGGTCAAAAGAAAATTTTACTTTAAAAAAATCTATGCGGATCAGGCAGCAGACGGGACTCGAAGCCGCACCCTTCGCTATCCGGGCGAATGCACCGACCATTATGCTACCGCGGCCCTGACGGCCGTGTCGATTTTTCTCTAGCCTTGACTGCAAGGCAGAGCCATTTCTTCGCATTGTAGGTAACCAGGTCTGCTGCCTGGTCCGCATAGAATTTTTTCTAGTAAACTTTTTTTAGATTTAAACATATAGTAGTTAAATGCTTAAAAAGTTAAAACAACTATCCTAAAAAGGTATTGAAAAGAAACGTTTTCTTCCAGGTGTGTTCTCATGGCAACTGCCCATGTTGGTTCAAACCCCTGACAGCCTAGAACAATTCACAAACATATCGAGGACTCTGTGTCCACACAACAACCTGTTCTCCGAAGACATGGATACGTGCGGTAAGTGATAGATTAATCTTCATACTAACCGTTGCTGTTTTTTTTTTTTTTTTTTGATTCCTCCCAGGCGGGGGAGCGGGTGTGAAATCCTCATGGATACCTTACAGCCGGCTGCAAGGTTATGTCAGACTCTTACTGACTAAAACACACCCGTAGATCATGCTTATGGCCTGAAGGGCCTTACAAGCTTCATCTGAAGCGATTATCCCCTGAGAGGGGGATAATGCAGTAACCGTTGCTGTAAACACACTCTTTTATGTATTGTTATTGTGAAAATTCTATAGCGCGATTCAGCGACGGCTGTGAAGTTAGCGCAAGTCGTGGTGTAGTCAACGAAATGTAGCTTGCGTGTTATACGTGCGCGCGGAATGTCACGGAACTGAAATTAGCACATATTGCACTCGCTGCAGCTTCACAACCGTCATAAATTTTTAATGGCATTATATAACATATATTTATTTGTATTTTTTAGCGATTAAAGGAATGGAATGATCATGAAAGATCTCCCTTAATCTGTTTTCCCTGACCGTTAATATTTATATTTATAGAAACTTACCTTACTTAACTTATGACAAATAAAAATATAAATTTGAATACCTGGTCCACTAAAACTAGCCTTAAGTTTAAATGTAAAGAAATTTGTTACTAAAAAAAAAACTACGTGGACCAGGCAGCAGACGGGACTCGAACCAGCACCCGTCGCCATCCGGGCGGATGTACTGACCATTATGCTACCGCGGGCCTAACGGCCGTGACGAATTTTCTCTACCTTTTCTTAAGCTGCACGGCAGCACCCGTCACGTCTGCTGCCTGGTACGCGTAGAATTTCTTCTAGGTTTTTTTTTTAATAGAATATAACTAACTTGTTTGACATTGGTGTCGATTCTGGCAGGATTCTCTAAACTTAAAACTAAATTTAAGATCAGTCTGTCCTTTTCATTCTGTATAGAGAACGACAGGGATACACTGTTGTCAAATTTAAGTTTGGCTTTAGAGAATCATGCCAGAATCGACACCACTGTCATTCTATCAGTCATCAATGTCGCAAGCAGTTACCTAAGCAGATATACAGTCTGGGCCGGATTTAGAGGTGCGGAGGCAAGGACGTAGCTAGGCAATGCCTACCTTACTTACCTTAAAAGATACCATTGAACTCATTTTAGGGGGGGGGGGGGGGGGGGGGGGTAAAAATCCTGCTCATGCCCTAATACAACTCTGATTACGGCCTTGTGTGGAGGCCCTGGGTCAACGAAGGAATGGAGACCGCTAACGAGGGCGTATTGTAAAATCTCACATCCGATTTCGGTAGCTGCTATTTTAGACATAACTTTGATATGCATTACGTTATTACACGGCAAAATGTCGCTTTGTCTGTAGGAGTAGCCGGGATAAGATATGAGGAGCTGGCGAACAAAACGGTATAATTACGCGTCTGGTCAAACTACTTTTTTTTACAGTCCGCAGGTTTCGGGCTCATTGACTTTCAATCTCAAATAATTTTCAATCAAAACCGCCTAAAACAGTGTTTTGAAATTACTAAATTTATAAATTGAAAACCATGCCAAAAGCTCACTGGAGTTGTGTCATTCAGTTTTTTATTCAGCTACAGTAAAATTTTATTTTATGTAATTACACCGTTATGTTCGCCAGCTCCTCATATTTGACATTTGTCAGAAATCCGAATGAAGAAAATGAAGGGTAAACCGCTTCGTTACGTAACGCGTTACGGGGCCAGTCTGTGTGGCTTCCTTTCCTCTTACGCATACGGCAGCAGTAGGCAGGCTCCTCTCCAGTGCCGTCTTTGACCTATTGGAGACCCTGTGCATATTAGGATAATTGGGCCCCTATGACTTCCGTTTGGTGATTTAACAGGAACTAGGGACTTTGTATTTGATCTGAGGGGGCCCCCTATCGATCGCGGGGCCTTGGGCACTTGCCCAAAGTGCCTACTGGGAGAGACGGGTCTGTTCCTCTCTCAATCTAACCCGCAGAAGGTTTTCAAATACCTCATGTTCTTTTATTATCTTTTGCATTGGTAATAACAGTATTAAAGAAAACTAGCAAATCAATGAACCAAATGTTCACCAAAAAAAAAATGTATTTAATTAATTGAGAACTTCGGAGATTTTGTGTGGTTTCGTTTGAAATTCGTGATTTCTCGAAAACCGGAAGTGCTACGTTACTCAAATCCGGTTTGTAGTCTTATCAGACTATTCTTAACTTATAACTTAAATATTCTCTTTATCTATCTCTTACGGTTTGGCCGCTGAAACAGCACCACAGACAGACGGACGGACGGACGGACTTGTCTAATAGATAAGAGATGATCGTGAGGCATTTGAAAACATTCGGCGGTCAGAAATACCGAATGAATAGTTAGCAATAGCCATAGCAATCTCGTTAGGCGATTGACCCCCTGGGCGTTAGGTATTTAGTGGGTTGGGCCCCCTTCCTCTCGAGCAGCCGTTGAGCCAGTCCTCGGATTGGCTGAGCGGGTGGGCGAGAGGAGGTGGGGAGGAGTCCCACATAACCTCAACGTACTCCCAAGGCGGTGGGGTAAGCGTAACGCATTTTCCTGACGTAAAAAAACAAAAAAAAAAGGTAATAATAATCATAATAATAATTCTTTATTTCTCACCATAATCAGTTTCTTATTCCATTAAAAACACTAAGTAAAAAGGTCACTTATCTAATTATGGCGGGCTGACACCTGAACTAGGAAAAAACCTCAGGTTATCAGCCCTCCACTCTTTAAATGTAATGTAATACAACACAGTTTACTGTAATTTGAACATATTGATTAATATTATTTGCTAAAAAACTAATTTATTTGACAATAATAATATTGGATTTGAGGGTAGGTAGTGTGAATACGAGTCTTTGATATGCGTGAACAAGAAAGGTGCATGACTGTTTTTACTTACACGTTGTGTATTGATAAAAGTGCATAACTCAAGGACGTTGTCGTGTGGGTCAAAGCAAAAGCGATTAGCGTGTAATACTGTAAACATTAGATAGTTAAATAAATAAAGGTAAATTCGATAACACTGTAAAACTTTAATAAGTTGTTTAAATAATCCTAAGCATAGTGTAAGAAGTAGTATACTACAACACAACAACTACTTTACAATTTCAACTTTGGTATATTTCAATTGTTAAAATTTTATCTAGCTTCCCTATTATATTTTGTGACAGTAATTTGGGTCATAATTATCACCTTTTTAACATCTTGTTAATAAAACTAATACTTTAAGTTTCATTATTTGGTTGAGTTTTAATTTCAGTCTTGTAAATATAGCTAATATTTTAATCTATGATACACTTCTCAGTTTTACATTCTTGTAAGTAAAAAAAAATACATTGTTTTAATCTTTCATGGTCACTAACATTATAGTAATATAAGTTATTTACGGGATTGTTACCATGTACCTTGTTCATGGCGCCTGCAACAGTGCCGAAATATCGGAAACTCGCTAAAAACAAGGTACATGGTAACAATCCCGTAAATAACTTATGTTACTATAAAAAATATACTCCAATTATTTACATTTTACTCTCATTTTTTCCTGGGAGTTTATTGTAAATCGTAACAGACATATTATAGGTATTTTTCGAACATAAATTTATAATTACTATCTCGAGCTCCTCCATGCTTCGGAAGGCACGTTAAGCGGTTGGTCCCGGCTGCATCTGCAGTCGTTAGCACCCCCCAATCCCAACTGGGCCCGCGTGGTGGGTCATGGTCCAATCTCCCTATTCCATCCATGGGTAAGGCCTGTGCCCCAGCAGTGGGGACAGTAATAGGCTGGTGTGTTTCATCCGGTGCGTAACACGGGGTCATAATTAACATCTTGTTAATAAAACTAATACTTTAAGTTACATTATTTGGTTGAGTTTTAATTTCAGTCTTGTAAATATGGCTAATATTTCAATCTTTGATACACTATTCAGTCTTGTAAGTGAAAAAAAAAACTTATACTGCAATTATTTACATTTTACATTCCTAATAATAATAATACCTAAAGCGAAAATACAAAAAAGAATATACAAAATCTAAACTTATTTTTTTCTTAAGTTTGTAACCTATTAAAAATTACCTCTAACGCATTTGCTACCCTCGTATGAGCTTCAGCTATACGATCGGCAGCATCTGCGAGCCGGTCAAAACTTCTGCTGGCATTGGCAAAGGCCTCTGCAGTAAGCCTCTCGGCCTCTACGCGCTTTTCCTCTATTCTTGCCATACGGTCCATCTCTGTATCAACACTTCTTGACAGCAAACGTCGTGACCGTCGACGAGGACCATTTGTAGCGGAATCTTAAAACACAAAGGACATTGTTCAGCGTCCATACATAGTTAGCCTAAGAACCAACAATCATGAAATATTATTTTCTAGGTTCAAAATCGTAAGTAAATGACTGTCAAAACAAAGATTATGACGGACACTTCTGAGAACTTAAATTATTAGGAAAACTAAAAAAAATTTGAGGTTATGTTTAATATTCAATGAAACATAGGTCAACCTATGAATTTAGTATGAACTCAGTATGAAGAGAATTAATATTACAACTAACTCATTTTATTCGGTGCGATTTTAAAGAATAACTATTAGGAAAAACTTGGTTAGGTAGGAATCATGAATAAAATAAAAACTGTATTTTTGCTTCTTATTTATTGACTATTTTTCACATAATTGTATCATATTGTTTATAGTATTTATTTGTTTAACACATGTACATTGTGTAAATATGCAGCGTGAATGTGTATCAGGTGTTCTTGAATAATTTGGCAGTATGATCCTCTCAGGATGTTGTGGCACAGGTTCACTAGCACTTGGTAATAAGGGCTCTGCTCTTTGGTAACATCGATGGCATATTAGATAGCCGAAATAGTTAAATTAAAGGAAAAACAATCGCAAATAAAGACACACCACAGGTAATCCGAAACGAGAATGCACTTTCCGGGGTATATTATACTACTCTTTGGAATGCACGAACGCCCAGCCGCAGATTACTACGAATGCAGACTGCATGCACCACAATCACAGAGTATCGAGTTTTATGCTTTCCCTTCACTTGACAATAGTTTGTCCTTGTCATGCTTAATAAGGAATGAAAAGGACAGACTGATATCATGTTTTAAAATAGCAAATACGAATAGCCAAGTGAAGTGCCGGCATTAGGAAGAAAGAGTGTTTTGTTTGCAGCGTTGCCATAGATTATACACATAAAATGGTATTTATTGTCTCAGATAATTTTTTAACTTTTTAATATAGCTTACTTAACTGGAAGTGTCCGTCACAATCTAAATACTGATAATTACCGCAAAAAATATACTAAGAATTATCATAAATGCCAAATTGGTGTTGGTTCTTAGGCCAATTTTAACATTGTCCTTTCATACTAAATAATTTGTTACTAATAATATTCAAAAACATATTTATAAAACACCACATTAAAGAAAAAAAAGGTCTGCGTATAACTCAACACTATCCTAACAAGTGGGTCCCCACTGTTTTTTGACATTCCAATCCCAAGATCTCTTAAGTGTTTCGTCAATCTGCTTGTATAGTACTGTATTAAAGGAATGTCTCTTGTAGTTTTGAAAGAATTTGACGACCTCCGTAGCCGAGTGGTTTATACGCCGGGTTTCATGGTGACACCGACTCGAGAGGTCCTGGCTTCGAATCCCGGTGGGGACAGATGTTTGTGTAATGAATACGAGCATTTGTACTCCAGTCATAATATCGTCTAATCTAATATAGTCATAAAACATGTATTTCTATATAAATAAATATAATTATATATGTACAGTATATGTATTGTATTCGTTACCCTAGTATCCCATAATACAAGCCTTATAGTGCTTACTTTGGGGCTAGGCTAATTGGTGTGAGTGTAGGAAATATAAAATTTATTGAGGAACTCAATATAGGTATATTTTAAATTATCTTATATGCAAGGTTTTTTTTTTCTTAATATTTTTATTCGATTATTTACAATATGTCTTTTTAATTATGTAATTCTTAATCAAATTTCAACGTGTTTAATAATATACTGTCCGTGCTTGAGGCTGCTATTTGATACAGCTAATGGCACGGGCAGAAGTCTGAAAGAGGAAGCATAGAAGGAAAGTAAAGACTAAAGATAAAAGTCGGTATACAACAAAATAGGGAGGTGAAAAAAAAAGTAAAGAAAAGTTGATTCACATTAGTGCCGTTAAATACTACTCGTTTGCTTCGAGTTGGCCGTCGATAGCCAATCACAGGCACATCAACTGGTACCATCGTCCAATAAGGTCGACTAATAGGGACTGTCTAAAGCGCGGTGTTCTGAAGCTGGGAGGGTGGAAGCAGCCAATTCGAAGCGAACGCGTAGTGCTTTATATATGCAAGGTTTAGAAAAAATTACTTACTTGATGGAGATGGTACCGGGCCGGCGGCAGTAGAAGTATCTTGAGTTGAGGTCCCAGCTGTGAGGAGTGGAGGAGGCAGTAAAAGCTCTTCGTCCATTATCTCCTCCCTCCCCAATGATAATATGGCATCATTTGCAGAAGTGGTGGGTCTCTCCCCAGCTTCTGTCATTAATTGCTGAAAAGTATTGAACTTAATGTCACAAAATATAGTATTTTTTATATTAGTATTAAAATAACTATTTTTGTTTATATTTATTTTTAGGCATTTAACTGCTAGATGTTTAAATCTAAAGAAAAGTTTACTAGAAAAAAAAGAAAAAACACGCGGACCAGGCAGCGGACGGGACTCGAACCCGCACCCTTCGCAATCCGGCGAACGCACTGACCATTATGCTACCACGGCCCTCATGGCCGCGTCGAACTTCTTTAGATTTAAGTCTATTTAAATTAAATATAGAGCAAGATAAATTATTTCCATAAAAATACCTTTGACCAACCGGGTCCTTCTTTAGTGACACCTCCTAGTGCATTTAAAGATATAGCAAGTTCGGCCCACTTCTTTTTGCTTTCTTGTTTGCCTTGCGAAGTCCTTAGATAACCCCTAGCGATACCGGGATTTTGCTCAAGGAACTCCACGAGAGCCTCCAATTGATGGGAAGTTGGGCGATTGGACATATTTCTAGAAAGATATATAATTTAATTTAAAACAAATTGCATACATTCGACATAAAATCATCATCATCATCATCAGCCTATTAATGTCCCCACTGCTGGGGCACAGGCCTTCCCTATGGATGGACTAGGGAGATTGGGCCATGATCCACCACGCGGGCCCAGTGCAGATTGGTGGGTGCTAACGACTGCAGATGCAGCCGGGACCAACGGCTTAACGTGCCTTCCGGAGCACGGAGGAGCTCGAGATAGTAAATTTTTGGTCACCCATCCAATGACAGACCACTGCGAAAGTTGCTTAACTTCAACGATCGCAGCCGAACGCGCTAACCACTTGCGCCATCGAGCTCCTCAAAATAAATTAATCAGACAAAAATACTTACCTTAAATAATCACTGCTTCACAATGCAACCGCTACACAACAAGACTGCAAGACACGCTGCACTTAACTGAAGTACTACAGCCAAGAATCAAACACTTCATTCGAACTTTTGAAACTTTTAAAACTTATCTCGGAAATACACACTTTTTTTATTTAGGGCAAATGTGTGACGACACAGTCTCAGTGTATTTATAAGATGACTAGCTGACCCAGCGAAATTCGTACCGCCCTAAAAAAAATAGGGGTTGTCCAGCGGACAAAATTGTGAATCTAAACCATTCTCAGATCCCCTTGAACACACACAAAAAATTTCATCAAAATCGGTCCAGTCGTTTAAGAGAAGTTCAGTGACATACACACTCACAGAAGAATTATATATATAAAGATATACAACAAAATATTGCGTTAAATGTATCGAAAAGTAATAGTTAAGTACACATAATTACATTGTTTATTAAATTATTCATTAAAATCAATCATTTATTGTGTTAGAAACAGTTTTTTTATTTTGTGTTAAACGTTTGTCAATACGGTGTAAGCGCAAAGGCCCCCACTATAGCAGAGTTTTAATTAAGCTAACTTCATGCGTATCTTTCCAATAACGTCTCAATCCCAATCTCAATGCAATGCCAATTTTAAGCGTTTCAAGAGTATGGTTTCTGAATTGTATTATTATTGGACTAGCAAACCAGTGAACCAAATGTTCACCAAAACCTGATTTCTCGAAAACCGGAAGTGCTACGTTACTCAAATCCGGTTTGTAGTCTTATCAGACTATTCTTAACTTATAACTTAAATATTCTCTTTATCTATCTCTTACGGTTTGGCCGCTGAAACAGCACCACAGACAGACGGACTTGTCTAATAGATAAGAGATTGGCTTCAAATTGACATTGAGAATAGATTCAAGAGTAAGCGCGCTGGTCTGTTTATACAATTACATAAAACAGTCCAATTATAGTTGCTTGATTGAAATTACCTCCTCCAAATAATTTGTAATTATAAGTTACTTGTAAGGTTGTAAATGAGAGTTAATGTTAATAAATATGCATATGGCCTCGCTGTCGTAATTTTGCATATGAAACATCAAACTAAATTTGTCTTATTAAATTGAATCAAACTGACTATGTAGCAATTAATTTATAATTATTATTGTTCAATTTGACGACCTCCGTGGTCGAGTGGTTTGTACGCCGGGTTTCATGGTGTCGCCGACTCGAGAGGTCCCGGGTCCGAATCCCGGTGGGGGCAGATGTTTGTGTGATGAATACGAGCATTTGTACTCCAGTCATGGATGTTTAATATGTATTTCTATATAAATATAATTAAATATAAAAAATATAAGGAGCTCGATGGCGCAAGTGGTTAGCGCGTTCGTCTGCGATCGTTGAACTTAAGCAACTTTCGCAGTGGTCGGTCATTGGATGGGTGACCAAAACTTACTATCTCGAGCTCCTCCGTGTTTCGGAAGGCACGTTAAGCCGTTGGTCCCGGCTGCATCTGCAGTCGTTAGCACCCGCCAATCCGCACTGGGCCCGCGTAGTGGGTCATGGCCCAATCTCCCTTTTCCATCCATAGGGAAGGCCTGTGCCCCAGCAGTGGTGACATTAATAGGCTGATGATGAACTATGTAGCAATTAATTTATAATTATTATTGTTCAGTTCTGTAACTAAATAACAAATTAGGCCAGACTAATACAATATGTAGCATTAGGCTGTGATTCTACCATAGATTTTAAGAGCCCTTTTATAAAATTGCGCCGCTGCCGTACTGATCGGCGCGTAGGTAGATTTGCACTAGTATATATTGCATTTTACGGGTGATGTTTCGAGTCTTATAAAATAATTATTAACTTACAATAGGAAGAATAAATCTACTGTTTACTTCTTTTGGAAATAATCAAAATCTTTTTTAAGGGGGTAGACGAGGCGCTCAAAAATTACGATTTTTTGCAAAAAATGTGAAAGGGCTCTTAAGGGAGGAAAGGTACAGCCCGTCTGGGGAAGCGACCTCCAACTTACAGAAGACCACTGCTTTGGTATCGACTACTATCTTCTCTATCATTTCACACACACACACACACACACACACTCACGCACGCAGGCACCCACACGCACGCACGCAGGCACCCACACGCCCCACACGCATGTACGCACGCACACACGCACACACACACACATACACACGCACACACACACACACACACACACACACGCATATACCCGTGACGCATTTCCGTTTCATCTTTTCCACAGGTCTTTTCCATTTACACCCCGCTCGGAAAGAAGTTTCATTTCACAAATACTTCGAAGTGAATCTACCACGGTACTTATTAAGTGGGCAGTCAAGTATAGAATACCATAAAAAATACAGAACGTCTCGAGTTAAGACGGTTCTGACTAATTTTCTAACGGATATATGATTCCCCAATCTTAGATATATTTAAAACCACCATTTGACAATTAAAAAACTTGTATTGTCTGTCGTAAAGGTTGCCAATTTGAGAGCTACAAATTAATTTTACTTTTACATAGAAAACATGTGTCATTGAAACTTGTTAAATAAAGTACATTATTGTCTTAGAGTTCTTTAATAGTTGGTTAGCAAATCAGAAGAAATCTAATTCATATTAATTTCTACATTTGAAGATTTCGAGTTGGAGATTTCATGACAAAAATTTTGGTAGAAAACGAAGACGCAAACCTTTTGAAACTCTGAACGCGATTTGTAGTAAGGATACTACAAATCGCGGACTAAAATTAGTCTTGGTTTAAACCTAATCTTGTCTTTGTCTTCTTTTTAGCAAGCAAAAGTGACAGCATCAGTTTGAGTCCAGGTTTAACTTTAGCCTCCGTTTTGTATTCAGGCCGTGGGCGTTTAGCAATGATGCGTCAATTGCCCTAACAAAAACGCCTCTAAGCATCTAGCCAGAGGGTTGAATCTCGTCGAGACATCCTGGCGAGCTCTTCTTTCAGCCGCTCTGCTGACTATGTTATACCTCTCCTCCACTCTTCTCGCCAGATCTGTGTCGATCCAACTCAAGACCGCGAAGCCCCTCTCTCGTATTTCAGCATCAACACCCAACAGCGTGTCACCAAGATTATTACTTAACCTCTGCCTTTCGGAATCATCTTTCAAGATTTGATTATAGAAGAACCACGCCGGGGCCAGGTCGACTGAATTCTGTTCGAATATCATAAATTTCTGACTCGGCCGGCTGGACTCGACATAAGGCACGGGTCCGTTGAATGAGTTGGGGAAAAAGCTCGGAGCATCACGCATATTGTCTCTCACGGGTGGCTTGCTATCCCGCGTGTAAGTCAACGCGTGCAGAGGCATGTTCACTTCTATTCTGTTATGATTTCTGCCCAATCGATGGTTCTGAGTGTCTCGGTACGCAAATCTTCTTCCTTTGAACATAGTGTCCACGGGCCCGGGAATACCAGGCACCATGTTCGCAGGATTGAACGCGCTAAGCTCCACATTTCTGAAATGGTTATCAATGTTTTCATTAAACACCAGCCTTCCTACAGTGACAGTCTTATACGTCCCAACTGTCCAAAGACGTGTGACATCGAAGGGGTTAAAATTGAGTTTTCTAACGTCGTCCAAATTCATGACGTCCATTTCCAGTCTCCAAGTCGGGTAATTTTTGTTGCCAATGGCGTTATACAGGTCTCGGCTGAAGAATTGCATGTCCTGACTAGCGATAGCTTGGGCTTGGAAAGTCGTCAGATTGGCCAATCCCAATTCTGTGCGGAAGCTGAATTTCGCGAGGAATCTCTCGCCTTTCTTGTTGTGTATTTCGTAAGAGTGGATAGGAAATATGTCCATTCTCCTGAAGCCTTGCGGTATACCGTAATCGGATAATCGCCACATGACAGCGTGCAAACGCGAAGCTCTGAGCAGTGCGAAGTCCCAGTTCATATTGAAATCGACCAGATTAGTCCTGGGGTTTTGTCTGGTAGTCCGTGCGAAGTTTGCGAAGTCCAGCGGGTCTCTGTAATCGTAGACGGGGATGTGGACGCATAAGAAGTCTAGGTTGCCCTCTTTGGTGTACATTTTGACGGCGAGGCCTTTGTGGTCGCGTCCGAGTTCGTTGCCGTTGATGCTGGCTCGTGCCGTCGAAAACCTTCCGAAGACTGGCGTCTTTTTTCCGATGCCGTTGAATACATCGGCGCTAGTGTACATAGAGACATCGTTGGTGACTTGGAAATAGCCGTATGCTCCGTGACCTTGTGCGTGGACGACGCGTTCAGGGATTGTTTCGCCGACTCCATGCGATAAAGTGTCCGTGAAGAATTCACTGTTGAATATGTCCGAATTGATGGTCGTTGCGTCTCTTATGTCCACCGGCGCTCCGGCTTCCGTTGTTACAACTCCAATTGGTAACTGAAGGAAAATAAATTGAATATGTTAATTACAAAATTTGTAGTTTATACGGCTAGGATCGTAATGAGAACTTATTAATTTAGAAAACAAGTGTTGCTGATGTCTGTATCAATGTCAGTTATGAATGGTATTTGTATTAATACTGTTATCTCTGTGTTGGATAACGGAAATGGTTGGTTTTTAACAATCACCGTTTTGTGGCTTATTTTATTTTTTGTAGCAATGCTAACTAAACTAATATTTGTTGTAACAATTTTGCTAAATTGGAATTTGTCTGAAACTAGATTTAGCCCATACAATAATGTCAATTTGACATTGACGTTTTGTCATTTTATATGGGTTAAAGCTAGTTTTAGTTAAATCGAGATTTTACTGCAAGTGAGCCTTACGATATTTTACGTTAAAGCGATTTTTTACGATACGATTTTTTTACTAGGATAGAAAGGCATTATACCTCATTTTTATCGAATTTTACAAGGATACTGTATCAGTAGGTATTGATTGAGAGTGAAATACAACAATACAGCGTCTCCTTTTTATATTTATAAAGTTCCACAAATGACTCCACCCTACTTTATGTTCTGAGGAGTTATTTTCTCTTATCCCACCTTCCCCTTTCCTTCAGAGGACCACGCGCGCTGACCTACGTTGTCACCGTCTAACTGTGGCCACAATTCCAACACGTACAAAGAAATTTGGTGGCTCATTTCTTTGTCGCACTATTCGTAAATGGAATGCTCTGCCCGCTCACGTGTTCCCTCCCTATTACAACCTGGGATCCTTTAAAAGAGGCGTGAAGAAGCAACATTCAGGCCGGCAGGGTGAGGATGGCTGGTGTGGCAGGTAGAACTGCTGTATCAGCTATCTTCGCGTCTGGACTTCACCTTCACTTAACATCTGGAGTGGAGTCATTTGTCGGACCTATCTTTAAAAAAAAAATGTAAACTAAAATTTTAAATTATGTTTTTATTAAGCATTTATTAACTGCTAGATGTTTAAATCTAAAGAAAAGAATACTAGAAAAAATCCACGCGGACTAGGCAGCAAACGGGACTCGAACCCGCACCCTTCGCTATCCGGGCGAATGCACAGACCATATTGCTACCGCGGCCCTGACGACCGTGTCGAATTTTTCCTAGCCTAAGACTGCAAGGCAGCGCCATTTCTTCGCATTGTAGGTAACCCACAATGCCAAAATTATAAATTCTTGAATTTGGGCCTTTTGAAAATTTTCATTACATGACGAACGAACGAACGAACAGAAAGGCTAAATGATATAGTTCTGTAGTCATTGTTGGGTACAAAACTTTAAAAACGAACAAAATAATAAAAAAAATGTGTGTGTCAGCTCCGACGCACGACTGGAGTTTACTCCTTAAGTTCGATAGTCTAACCGTTTTAGAGTTTATTTAACTTAAAAAAGATTGATACTGTATGAAAGGGTAAATTAACAAATTAATGAAAATAATATACATATATAAATATACATTTATTCATTTCATATACATTTATTATAACTAATCGACGAAATATTTTACATTAAACTTTTACAATAGTCAATTTCAGATGTGCATAAATATATCATTAGGAATGTTGATAAATTATTTAATTATTATTATCAGACTATTATCATTTTTTTAAATATTAATTAAATCAACATTGTCTGCATTATTAATTACAGTGACAAGTGGTTTATGGTAACTAAAATAAGACACATGGACGTTCGTAGATACGTGGTTCACGAATCTTGAAAATACCGCATCAATGGTTGTACCATACCTCGTTGTCCCCATTGCTCTTTCAGAAACAATATCTAAATTCAGTTCAGATTTAAAAAAAAATATTAATGTCAATCCGTCGTCTTTTTGTCAAAGTTGCGCGACATAGGATGCGCGCCAAAAACGTAACGAGGTCATTCATCGATAGATTTTACTCCTCACATTTTTCTCATACCGGGCCCCTTATATATGCAAATCAATTCTTAAGGAGTAAACTCCAAAAAAAACAACATAAAATATATGTTAGTGTTATCAATGTTACAACTAAAAATGACTCTTATGACATTTGTAAAACACATTTCTTTTCCATAAACCACTGCTACTTACAGGGTGTGCATTTTTGAACTCCCTCAGCTGCCGTGAGGCTCTGTCGATGGTAACATTGTCGTATCTGTAGTAGCCTTCACTTAACTGCGCCCTGTTCACCAGAAAAAAGCACAAGAATATCGACCATTCGACCCGCATCGCGAACAAAATGAACTGCATTGTTTTTCACAACTCCACTTATATGCTTTTTACCGCGAAATCAGTGATGCGTAAGTCTGAATTAAATACAACCTTTGCATGTAATTATGCGAATTACAAAGTAGTTCAGTACAGTTCATTGATATCATTAATTTCTTTAAGTTTTTCAGTTTCCGTCAGCTCCTCTCAGAGGAGCTCGATGGCGCGGGTGGTTAGCGCGTTCGGCTGCGATCGTTGAAGTTAAGCAACTTTCGCAGTGGTCGGTCATTGGATGGGTGACCTAAAATCTTCTTTCTCGAGTACCTCTGCTTCGGGAGGCACGTTAAGCTGTTGGCCCCGGCTGCAGCAGTTGTTAGCACCCGCCAATCCGCACTGGGTAACTTAACTTAACCACCGGTATCAGGGACCCTGATCTTGCTGCCGATGAGGAACTGCATTTTTGTATTTTTAAATACCTCGACGACCTCCGTGGCCGAGTGGTTTGTACGCCGGGTTTCATGGTGTTGCCGACTCGAGAGGTCCCGGGTTCGAATCCCGGTGGGGGCAGATGTTTGTGTGATGAATACGAGCATTTGTACTCCAGACATGGATGTTAAATATGTATTTCTATATAAATATACTTCTATATGTACAGTATATGTATTCTATCCGTTACCCTAGTATCCCATAACCAGAGTTGTGATATATTTGAAAAACTTGTATTTAAAATACAAATACAAAATACGTATTTTGAATTTTGTACTTAAGTACTTTTTTAAAAAGTATTTTGTATTTTATTTGAAATACTATTCGAGACGTATTTTGTATTTGTAAAATGATTTGTAAAATACAAAATACTTTTTTATTCTTAGCTTCATTTCTCTAAAGCATTCCGCGATTCAGTAAAAACAAAAAATGGCTTTTAAAGCCTATGCTCAAAATGACAGATGAAACAAAACGCATATAAAACCTGACCAATAATATATGAGGGACCCCTCTTGACAGTCCTCAAAGTCACTGTTACGTTTTGCAGAAATGTCTTTAACAAAATGCCAAAACAAATGTATTTAAACAATATGCCGTTTAGGCATTAAAACGTTATTTTAACGATTCGTATTTAAGTGATTATAAATGTATAAATGACAAATAAAAATACAGAAATAGAAAAATACATTTATAAAACCGGTACGTATACAGCACTACAAAAAAGATGTCATTGTGGGCATTGTGGCAAGTATGTAATATAATATAAGCTTCGATCATATCATAAGTTAATTTGGTCGTTTTGTGTGCTAATTAACATATAAATCTATTCTATGTTAATAAAAATCTTTAGATTTCAAAATTGTTTACTGTACAACTATAATAATAGTAAAAACAATTAAATCGGACTGTGATGTTTTTTTTATTTAGCACCATTTTTTAAGACTTCACGTTTTTAGTACATTTCGACATAGTTTTAGCACTAAATGAAATTCAGAGTTGGCAACACTGTTTACATGTCATTACGCCGTACGCGCCTTTTCCATTTCATTTTGCCTCGGTTACATTTTATATCTAACCTAACGCCGACAGTTACTATTTATTAATACAAGTAGTGTTTGTATTGTAACTGTTTGTTATCAAAAATATATTATCTATAAAGTACAGAGTTGGATTTGGTGTGCTACCTAATACTTTATATTAAATATTAATCAGTGATTTTAAAATCTTTAATAAATAAAGAAAACCAGTAATTTTACCATAAAGTATTTTATTTCAATAAAGTATTTTGAAAATACATATTTTGTATTTAGTATTTAAATACAAAAGGCAAAAGTATTTTGTATCTTGCATTTGAAATACTATATTAAAAAAGTATTTGCATTTTGTATTTAAATACTTTTCGAAAAATATTTTGTACATCTCTGCCCATAATACAAGCCTTACAGTGCTTACTTTGGGGCTAAGCTAATTGGTGCGTGTAAAAAAAAATGCTATTTTTTTAATGTTATACATTGTAAAACTTTAATATTTAGATATATAATTTTGTATGTATTTTTAATGAAATAAAGGAAATAATAATTTCTTTATTTCAGGCAAAAGACCCATATGACAAAATTGACAAAATTTATAATAAAAAAAATATAATAATGTTAATATGTACATAACAAAATTATTATTAAATTAATAAAAACCACCAACAACACCTTCATTAGCTTAGGTGTGGCTTAATAACTTATGCATGCACTTCTTCGTTAGATTCTTACGTCCTAATTACACTTAATAGTATTAAGTAGAAATCTTTATAAACGCTTGTTTCCCTAATTCAAAGAAAAATACTCGTATGCGCGTGTAACACTTTGCAAATCAACATTATTAGTTATTGCAACATTATGTCATTAGACAATGATTCATGTTTGTAATAAAGAACCTGTTTTAAAACGTACACACCGCCCAGCTAAAAAAACTTTTAAATAAGGGTACCTTACTATCTCGTTCATAAAACTAAGTAAATAACGTATGATTGTCAGGATCTTCAGGTGCGTCGTGGGCAGCAAGATAAAAACAGTTTTATGGAATAAATTAAATTTATTCGTGGAGACACGTTAAAGTAATTTCACAGAAACTGCCATTATACGTGAGAGAGAGAATATAGTAACAAGGACAAAAAAAGAATTCTTGTTGGTGTTGCCAACAATGATGGCTTTTAAAAATTGACCAGTACCCTTTATCACGAACCATTATCGAATTCGATTAGTTTGCGAGTCCGAAATGTCATTGGCAAATTTTGTATGGAAATTTGAATGGCAGTGCCGTAACGAGAACTAAAAATCAATACACATTTGACAATGACATTTAATTATGTTTTTATTAATTTTTAAGCATTTAACTGCTAAATGTTTAAATCTAAAGAAAGGGTAAGGGTTGAATCCCGTCCGCTGCCTGGCCCGCGTGGATTTTTTTCTAGTAAACTTTTCTTTAGATTTAAATGACATTTAATTTTCGCACTCACTAGAAGTGTGTGAATTGAATAGTTATCCAATTTCGATATTGGTTCGTGCAAGGGTACAGTGCTCTGTTGTAGCTTATGACTCGTTGACACTTCTAGCTTGAAGCGGATTGCCCCCCCCCCCTCCCCCCCTCCATAAAATAACAGGATCAAAATCATGGGTGACCGCTGCTCAAGCTGTAAAGAGTATAGCTGTACTTCAGAAAATACTAATTTGCGCATTAGAAAAAAATTAGTAGTGACACGGTAATCTTTATATATATAATTCTTCTGTGAGTGTGTATGTCACTGAACTTCTCTTAAACGACTGGACCGATTTTGATGAATTTTTTTGTGTGTGTTCAAGGGGATCTGAGAATGGTTTAGATTCACAATTTTGTCCGCTGGACAACCCCTATTTTTTTAGGGCGGTACGAAGTTCGCTGGGTCAGCTAGTATTATATATAATACTAGCTGTCCCAGCGAACTTCGTACCGCCATAAAAAAATAAAGGGTTGGTGGTGGAAGGGCGAAAATTTTGGGTTATATTTATTTTTGTATGATGTATCATAAATAAAAAAACTAAAAGAAAATCTAAAATTGAAAAACAAATAGGGGTGGATTACCCTTAACATTTAGGGGGATTAAAAATAGATGTTGTCCGATTCTCAGACCTACCCAATATGCACACAAAATTTTACGAAAATCGGTCGAGCCATTTCGGAGGAGTTTAACCACAAACACCGCGACACGAGAATTTTATATATTAGGTTACCGTGTCACTACTAATTTTTTTTAGTAGTGATTTATTAAAAATACAAATATTTCCAAAACGCCAGGATACTTAGGTTAGGTTACATATAATTATGAGAAACTAACCGTATACACAGCGCACGCAACGGAAGCTTGAAAAGAATTTTTTTTGCAACATTTTTCATTGATGCTTTGCTAATTGGCTGTAGCGTGATGTTATATCTTCAGTAATCTTCACGTAACATACAGCCTTCCTCGATAAATGGACTTTCCAACACAAGAACATTTTTTAATTTCAAATCACAAGTTCCTGAGATTAGCGCGTTCAACCAAACTAGCGTCATGTTATATGTTCACGTAGTCTACAGCCTTCTTCGATAAATGGACTTTCCAACACAAGAACACATTTTTAATTTCGAATGAGAAGTTCCTGAGATTAGCGCGTTCAACCAAACAAACTAACAAACTCTTCACCTTTATATTATTACTAGCGGCCGCCCGCGGCTTCGTCCGCGTTAACTTTAAAATTTTCTTTTTTATTTCTAAAATAAAAGATTTTTTCTAAAATAAAAGTAGCCTATGTTACTCCTTATTACATCAGCTACTGCGCCATCGAGGGGCTCGATGGCGCAGGTGGCTAGCGCGTTCGCCTGCGATCGTTGACGTTAAGCAACTTTCACAGTGGTCGGTCATTGGATGGGTGACCAAAAATTGGCTATCTCGAGCTCCTCCGTGCTTCGGAAGGCACGTTAAGCCGTTGGTCCCGGCTGCATTTGCAGTCGTTAGCACCCACCAATCCGCACTGGGCCCGCGTGGTGGGTCATGGCCCAATCTCCCTATTCCATCCATAGGGAAGGCCTGTGCCCCAGCAGTGGGGATATTAATAGGCTGATGATGACATCAGCTACCTGGAAATAAAAGTCCCGTCAAAATTGGTCCAGCCATTTCAGAGATTAGCCGGAACAAACAGACAGTCAAACAGACAGACCAAAATTGTAAAAAATGTTATTTTGGTGTAATATATATTCATATGCATGAAGTAAAAAGCGGTTATATCAATATTACAAACAGACACTCTAATTTTATTTATATGTATAGATAAGTTCTCATAATTGCTTTTGCGTCTGTCACCCATCTAATGTAAATCTATACAGGGCGTCCCACGGCCATGCCACACGGAAGGCAAGTATATCTAATATTGAAGATTGGATATTTTACTGAAAAAAGACATTTTATTTATAGTAATGAAATAGAACTGCCTTCACAGATTTTTTAAAAATCACCTCCTACGGCTTGAGATCAAACTCTCTACAATATTGTATTATTGAGTAGGTACTATTTAGTTAGTAAATACTTTGCAATGATAATTTTAGTTGTTGGAACAACGATATTAAATACCCTAGATACACCGACACGAACAAAATCGTGCCCGAAACCTGTCCAAAAGGTACATTGGACGATCCACGGAGCTCCGTAAGATGATCGTGTAGTCAAAATCAATATAATTATTTAAATATTGAAAGTAACCTTTAATACGTACTGTATAAGGTCTTATTTAAAACGCATGCGTCAAGGACTTCTGACAGTCCGAAATGTAAGCTCGTAAAATTTAACGACTTATAGCTGTATGCGGAAGAATTTAAACCCTAGTTTTTAAATTTACGTGCAATTCTGAACACGCTGTTAGCAATATAGCAGGCACGGATCGCGAGGAAAAGAGACGGCTATATGGCGACATATAACCAACCATGCATTTGAATATCACAAATATTTTATATTAAATCAGTTTATAGTATTAGATCAAAATTTGCTTCAAATGCGTTAAATTAACAAACATTGACAGGATACCTGTCGAAAAAACGACACTTTTCATACTCTAAGTATTATTTTCGCATTTTTTCACGGAGCTCTGTGGCATCTTGACTTTGTAACGGTCCGGGCGTGACTGTGAACCAAGAAGTGCTTGAGTGGAGTTCAAGCACTTCTTGATTGGGACACATTTTGAGCGCTCGTGGTGTATCTAGGGTATTTAATATTTGCGTTGGAAGCACGGAAAAGTCAGAGGAAATTTTCCTAAACGAAATTCTAATTTCGTGATAGCTTCCTTTCATTTAAAATGCTCTGTTATTTAGGAAAGGAGTTTTAATTATTATTTAAAATAAAACGATGTCTTCTTTCAATAAAATATCCTATCTTCAATATTAAATATACTTTCCCTCCATGTGACATGACCGTGGGACGCTGAGTATATCTTATCTCATCACCCCTGGTCGACTATAATTCTATAGCTGCTGCTACTGGTACATTAAATATATAAATACATATATGTATGAAACTATTGCTATGTTCATCTTAATATATATGTCTCTTTCTGTTCACGCCTCTCAAGTCAGTGGGAAGTGGATTAAAGTCTACTGTGGGCCCCTAATACGTAACTAACATGAATTATATATACACACGAAATTTATATACAGGCTGTTTCTTTTTTGCGACGTACACTTTTAACGTGTTTTTTAAACCAAATATTTTTTTATCGTGATTGTATGGAAATGTGTATTTATTAAAAGATTCTATTTTTGCAGTTTCTTAACGAATGCTTTTCAGTTTTCAGCGTATTAGTGTTTGGACTTGTAAAAAGAAACGATCTGTATAACGCAATAAGTTTACAATTTTGACATTTTAATTAAATCGTTTTATCAGATCTGTCATTGTTTACTTGAAGTAGGCGATGTTGTGTTAGCAGTTTATTTTGATACAAACTGAACAGGGCTTTTAATACATAAATACATGCGGAAAAGTTATTGGCCAATCATTATATCGCACGAAGTATTAAGGCTAGTTTTTCCCACCAATAGGATTGCTTAGCGGCAAAAGGTAATTGAAATGAAGCAATCGTATTGGTGGTTTTTTTCACCGCTTAGCTTTCACGCATATGAGTGGAAAAGTAGTGATTCAATCGAAAGTTCGTAGAATTATTTGCTGTCCAATTGAAATTCCCGTTTGAAGAAGTAACCTTTCACCTTATAGAAGAATAACAGTGCTATTTTGCAATGTAGGGAGTAATACAAAAAATTTTTAGAACTCCAGTCCTCGTAGAATGAGCACCACAGTTTACATTATATCACGTTTTTTATCGCGTCTAAATGTCAAACTCCATAGTAATTTGACAAAAACGCGTTATATATCATATCGCGGTGCTCATGGCCGGGAGGCTGCTGGGTGCGGAGATGCGGAAGAATCCCTAAACGCGGACCCCGCGGTTTCGCACTAAGCAGCTTAGAGGGTATTTGAAGGGTTTTTAGCGGATAATATGCTGTAAAGCGCCCGTAAGAGTTACGGGGTCCTCAGTGGGCAGCCACTGCGGGGGCTCTAAAGGTTTGCGGGAGCCAGGTGTGAGGTCCGTTCGGCGGTGTGCCTCTTAAAGGCGCGGTGTCTATAAATAGAGGATTTGCCTGCGTCACAAAAAAGGGGGCAGCACTCTACGGAGTAGAGGGATAGAGTTAGGATAGGCAGCGTAAATTGTTTCCTACCATGGCCGCTTACCATCAGGTTGACCATTTCCTTGGAGTCATTCAACAAAATTTTGCAACATCGCCACCAAGTAAACACTGGCAGACGCCCAAAAGATCGCAATCAAAAGCCGCACCATCTTTCCAGACATATCATCAGTGAACACGCCAATTGTACACCTGACCTCGTCTTCGCCCGACGATATCCGAGTCACAATTGTGGTGGAAACGGTACAAGACTTCTACATCAACTTGAACTCTGTCACCAACCTCACCAGTACTCCTAGTCAGCCCAAATACTATTTCTACCCGTTCGACCAAGGTCCTAATGGGATGATGGATCTGACCACCCAGAAACTTAAAAGGAAACATATGTGTAATGAGAAACTTGAGGAGAATGATGAGAGGGCGTTGAGAAGCTACTGGAATAGATACCATCTTGATGGCGATTGGCTTTGGAAGCCGAAAAGCGTTATAGTCATGATTGAATCTGAGGACGATATATGCGCGGTGGTTTCGATACAAAACTTCTCGGTAAGGAAAGTTTGATTAAATAATGGTTATTGCCCTCCTTAATTGCATGCACTTTTAATTTTTTATTTTCAGAGGATTGTATATTGCTTATTATAATTTATAAAAAACAATGTGTAAATGTAATCATCATGTATGCACTTGGTATTGTTAAGGCGAAAACTAGTTTTCTGTGGCCCGATATTGCAGAGAGGGATTACTATAATGTCCGTCTTACTCCAACTAGCTCATGTACAAAATGTAGCCGCACCACTCTGCCATCGTCATCAACACAATGGCGATATGACGAGGTGCGCCATCCTCGGACCAGGCGCGGTCGCAGCCTGAAATTTTGGAGGGGGTCACTCATTACACTAATAAAAAAAACCGGCCAAGAGCGAGTCGAACTCGCGCACCCAGGGGTTCCGTACACACCTGAATTTTCAAAAAAAATTTTTATTATATGATGTAACTAAAAATTCACGGTTTTCGCAATTTTTTCTTTATCAGTTGTAGGTACTATAAGACGTTACTTTGTACCAAATGTCAAGATGACCTTAGATTTGGGGGGGGGGGGGGGTCATGTCCCCTGTGACCCCCCCCCTTCGGACCGCGCCTGCCTCGGACGGACAATAGTAATTCTACCTGCATCTCATTGATAACGATAATTTGTGTATGCACCTACTGTCCAACTGGTGAACACGGCGACGGACAAACCTTGCACGGTTTTTGTTCGCCGTTATTACTTATATGTTTTGTTAATGTAATTGGGGGGAAAAAAAATGTCGCTAGCCCGAATACGAGTGCCAATGGGATTCGGGTAAACGTCTAAGTGTAAATGAGCAGAGTCGAGTACGCCCGTTTTCGGGTAGGTTTCTTTTGTTTACCCGACACTGTCTTCCAGCCCGTTCTTCCATTATTATTTCGAGTAATGTCTTTCGTGCACCAAATTCGGGCTGGCGACCAAATGCGCATACATCTGTACCCCTAGCACGAACCAATATCGAATTCGTATCGTTTGCGAGTCCGAAATGTCATTGTCAAATGTGTACTGATTTTTAGTTCTCGTTACGTACTTTGTGCCGCTGCTGTTCAAGTTTCCATACAAAATTTGACATTGACATTTCGGTTTGCAAACTATTCGAATTCGGTAATGGTTCGTGCTAGGGGTACTGATGTAATTTTACCAGAAAGAAAAAAACAAGTACCCTCAAGGATCATACAGGTCTTTAGTCACCCATCAATTCAATCCAATTCAATTTATTGCACTCATGTGGTTACATAGATGGTTACAAGTTACAAAATGCATAAAGTACCTAACATGAACTCTGTCAGGGTATCGCAATATAATAGTGTCTTATATATAAAAATTACAAAAGAGAATTTAATTAATAAACAATTAGTGTCGCACACGGGCCACACGCCACAGCCACAAACGCCACCACGAGAAGCTAGAAGCGGCTACTAAAGTGGCTGAAGCGCGCGACAGCGGCCGACTAAGGTAAGGGAGAGAGGGGTGGGGAATCGCGCGAGTGACGTGTGGCGGCGTTAGGTATCGGCGCATTAAGTGGCCGGTGCGGACCACAAGAAGCGAGCAACGACGATTTGTAGCGTGTGGCGGCCACCGGCGTACCGTGTGCGGCGAGTCCATATAAAATGTATGAAAACTACAAGAAATATGCCGGTGGCGGCGTTTTGTGGTTGTGGTCGGTGGCCCGTGTGCATGAAGAACCTAATTTGTATTAAACAAGTTTATTTCTCAAATCATGCATAAATGTCATCTGTTTTTATCTCCGCTAGGTGTGGTCATTCCCGAGCATGACGCTTGTAATTTGTGGGATTGACTTTAACAAGTGGTCATAACAGCAAAGTTTACAAAGAGGCGTTACACCTTGTTTTTTTAAATCTTTATCTTGCAGAAAATTGCAGCCGGTAACTGTTTGACCTTATCTGATGTTAAGTGTTAATGGAGTCCAGTCAATGGAAACAGAAATGTGCCGCTTCAGCCATCATCACCTTGCCTGCATGTTAGATAGATATTAACTCTTAGAACTCCCAATTTCAATATCAAATTATGTATTCTTCTTTTTCCAGTGTCCAGTATTCGATAACGAAAGAGATATACTCTATGATGGATACTATTTGACTATGACGCGGCGTGGAGGAATAACTTTAACGGTGAGTAAATTACACAATAATCTATACTTATAATAAATCTGTAGAGATGTCAAATCTGTACATGAAATATATTTTTAAAATAACTATCAGGGGGTGATTAGTGATCGATACTGATGCCAAAAATGCAATCAGTAAAATTTTTGTCTGTCTGTCTGTGTGTATGTTCCTTATAGAAACAAAAACTACTCAACGGATTTTAACGAAACTTGGTACAATAATTCTTCATACTCCTGGGCAGGTTATAGTATACTTTTCATCACGCTACAATCAATAGCAGCAGAGTAGTGAAGGGAAATGTTAGGAAAACGGGAGAAGTTACTCCATTTTTTAAGCTTCCGTCGCGGGTGCAGCCTTAATGGTTAAAGTTACATAGAAATCATGTATGACGGAAATATTCTACATAAAATTGTCTAAAAAATATCCCGCAACAGCATATGTCTATCTTTTATGGTTGACTCACAATAACACGTGTAATATAAATAAAGTGATTGTTACAAGTTGTTATTGGCACAAGCCTGAGAACAAAAACTATAGTTTACACTACAGCTCTACACCGAAGCGAAGCGAGGGCGGACCACTAGTATATAAATAAAGGAGGAGGTATGGAGGTATGGCGTGCTTTTTGCAACGGGGCGCCGCCACTGAATCCGGCGTTGACGCTGTAGTAACGGACACGACCACTCTGCCAAGAGTGTAACGACAAAGAAGAAATAGAATATAAAAAACGACGGGTTGCACTCCGGGAGTGCCGGCAGAAGTGAAAACTTAAATATTAACGTTGTGCATTTTTGATATTTTGGAATGGTTAGGGAATCATTTTGCACGAATTGCTTTAATTATCAGTATAAAAATACTATCATGTATGTGGTAGAATACAATGTTTATTTATTGCGCTATCGTACACAAACATGACAATTTATATTACATTAAAAAAGTTTATCTCTCAGAAAAATCAACTTACATGAATTACATTTAAGCGCACCCAGCGACATCTATTTTAAGAAAAAAAATGCATTTTCTTCGCAATAAAGCTGCCACGTGGACATCCTAGATAGAGACTTATTATAATACGATAAAATAACATATTAATGTGTTTCGTCCAATATATTGAAAGTTAACAACCTTTCCAATTTTATTGTGTGTCATGATGCGATTAGCTCACGTGTTTAACCTGACGCGAGTTTAACATTTTTTACTCATACAAAACACAGCGCCGCTAAAGAAGTTTTCGCTTCAAAAGAATTATATTCATTTATATTTTCTTATTCACCACACCATCATCTCTATTACACTCTCTTTTGGGAAATTAAAATTTTACTTTAAGTAAATATACATCCGATTAGTTAAGCGATTCAGGAATCACGTCACTATATTTAAAAATAATCAAAATTTTCTAGCCATTAAATAATTTTTGTAAATATGGATCATCGGATCTAAACACACGACTAATCTAATATAGAAGACCTCCGTGGCCGAGTGGTTTGTACGCCGGGTTTCATGGTGTGGCCTACTCGAGAGGTCCCGGGTTCGAATCCCAGTGGGGGCAGATGTTTGTGTAATGAATACGACCATTTGTACTCCAGTCATGGATGTTTAATATGTATTTCTAGTATACCTATATATGTACAGTATATGTCATCTATCCGATACCCTAGTATCCCATAACACAAGCCTTACAGTGCTTACTTTGGGGCTGGGCTAATGAAATTAAATGAAAATGAAATGAAAAGTCATTTATTCAGTCTAGGCTGTTACAAGCACTTGTGAAAGTCAAGAAGCTACGCCATCGCTTCGCAAAACTACGGCGGGAGACCTTGTACCGAGAAGAACCGGCAAGAAACTCAGCAAGGGCTGCTTTTTTCTCCCTGTATTGATATATACAGAGTCGTCAAGTTGAAAAATGACTTCAGACATACTTCTGAAGTCACCTTCCATTACATTATTTAGGGTATAGATATATAGTTACAACAAATTTTATATTTAGTATATAGGAAGCGGCATTAGATAGGTACCATACTACTGTTACAAAACTGACTCATACCCATCAAATAAGAAATTACAAGAAACACTATGTCCATGCATTAATTGGTGTGAGTGTTGGAAATATTTGTTTATTTATTATTATTTATCTATATTTTTTGTTCCACAGCAAGACACATTCCCGGTTGGTTTCTACATAGTGTTCATAGTCAAAACTTCGGATGACGACTGCAGTGACGTCACCGTTAACTCTACCCTGCCCAAGATGGCGACCTACCTGGGGTGGGGAGAGGAAAAGGTTGTCTATGTGCCTACAAATGATGGAAGAGTCAAACAGTTTAGGTGAGGCAGTTGAAATAAAACTTTTAACACTTCAAAATAAGGTTTAGAATTCGTATTGATTTTTTTAAGCTATTGCATAGATTTTATCGCGGGCTTTGAGTGCGGCGACCGAATCAAGAAATTCCGTAACGAAAATAACCTGACAATAGTGCATATGAACACAATTTTCGGCTTTCCAGTATCGATCGAAACGGCGCAGTGTGTTAAATTTTTGCCACGGGACCAACATTCAGCGCATCACCGCGGTCGTCGGTTCAAATCCCGCACTCGTAAAAATACTGCATAAATAAAATAAATAAATAATTATAATTCCATAAGTTGATAAATAATGCTAATCAATAGCTTTACCGCGGCAGTCCCCGAGTGCCACACGTATTTTTTATTTTTATTTTTTTATTCTAATAACCACGGCAATATACCATTTACAGCAATTAGTAAAAGAAAAAAATTAAATACTGATAATTAAGTAGCTATTTAAAAAACAATCTTTATTATTTATTTTATGGTATAAATTGAACTGAGGAGCTCGAGGGCGCGAGTGGTAGCCGCGTTCGTTGAAGTTAAGCAACTTTCGCAGTGGTCGGTCATTGGATGGGTGACCAAAAATTTCCTATCTCGAGCTCCTCCGTTATTCAGAAGGCACGTTAAGCCGTTGGTCCCGGCTGCATCTGCAGTCGTTAGCACCCACTAATCCGCACTGGGCCCGCGTGGTGGGTCATCGCCTAAACTCCCTATTCCATCCATAGGGAAGGCCTGTGCCCCATGATGATGAGACGTTATTTAATTTAACATACTCAATGTACCGATAACAACGAATCGAGTGTGTCATTCAAAAGCGTCAGTGAAAAATCAAACTGAAAAGGCCAACGACTGAATTTGATTCTTAAGGTAGAACGACCGCCAACCGACGACATTGAATGCTATTCTCAGTATGATAACGCTCAATTTCACTTGCAGCTTCAAGATAATAGAGACTATATCGTATAGGGAATACGCTATAGCGGCCGGGGCAGTGCTAGCATTCTTCTGCTGTTTCTATATAGCGTATCTTGTAGTGGTGTTGTGTCAATGGAAGACTAGTTGGAGCCGATTGGTGGACGAAACCAGTGCCACTGAAGGTAAATATTTCAACCCTTAATATATATTTTAGGTTTTAAACTGCTAGCTTCGTTAATCTAAAGAGAATATCCCGGTTTTGGTTTACGTGCCAGGCTGGAACAATCTTTATTAAAAAGTTAATTATAATGCGATTCAAATAAGAATAGGAAAGCCAATGACCTCCAACAGTCTAATGGTAGCCATACACACTACGAAAAATCATTACGATCAGACTGTACAGTTCGAACGGAACAGTTTATCGTACGTGGCGTACGTATAGGAAACTGTGCAGTTTATTATTAGTGTTTACCATAATGTCGCTTGAAAAGTACGGTTTGCAAAAAAATCTTGGAACTCTTTTTTAGCACTGCTAATTCTTGAAAAAAAAACAAAGATTTGTAAACAAACAATAACAAATATTGATAATTAATATTGGTTGATATTTTTTTTTTCATTTATTGAGCTTTGGCTATATATGGTTGATAACCTAAATCGTCAACCAAATGTCACTTTAAGTTGCGTTCAGAAACTCGATTTAAAACTTTCGTTTACATAAAAGATGCATGTTCATATGTGACCTAGTAATAGTACTACATGATTATTCATAACTACTCCGGCGGTAATGCAAAGATGAGCGGAATTGAAGAGCTACATTCTACTTAATGTTTTTTCTCACACAGTCATAATGAATAAATAATGTTAAAAATCGGTTGTTTTTTTTTCAGTAAATAAATTTTATTATTAAAACATCATGTTTTTTCTCACTTAATCTTAGTAAATAAGTTTTATTAAATAAAAACTTTTTTTGCTCACTCTACCTATTTAGTTTGAATTGACAGCTATGACGTCACAATATGGCGCCCAGTCGGTCCTGTTCTTAGTTGAATCGCATTATAGAAGTTTTTATAATTTGACTGTGGCCGCGATATCCGTATGCCCCACATACAGGGTGTCAGGAAAACTCGACCTATTCCTTGAATGTATACTAGTCATTAACAGGGGTTTTACTTGTCATAAGTAGGTCATTAGCAACAAATTAAGTCCAGTGAACTATAATGTTTTTTAGACTTGCAACGAGTAGTATATTCGGCAGTATACCGAATACCGAATATTCGGTGAGGCCCCTGACCGACTAGCCGAATATTAGGCAAAAGTATTCGGCTGGATTTTAGCGCCAAAAACTTGTACAGACGTGATTGTTTCGCGCTCCTTTGTTTTGTTCTAATCTGCCGTCCTCAAGCTAAAATGCGGCTAAATGACAAAACCAACTTTTGAGATATGGCCAAAAACGGCGCGTAAACTTTAAATTATTGCTGTTATGTAACCATTCATCACATAACTGAATCAATTAAAAACTGTTAACTTGTTTAATACAGAAAATGATTAAATTATGTACCTGTTTTATGTACCAATGACTACTTAATAAATGATTTTAAAAGAAACGAGAACCTTACCCTTCTAAATTTTGATTACCACAGTAATTCAAATACATAGAATCCTCCATTTTTCCAATTCAGAAGATGATTATGTACATGTGTTATGTACCAATAACTACTTAAATGTATATAACAGAAATGAAAATATGAATATATACGTAATCAATCGATTTAAATTTTTCATTTTACCAATTATTTCTCTATGACAAAATATATTATTGAAGTATTCGGTATTCGGCCGAATAATATGTAGATATTCGGTATTCGGTCGAATATAACAAAAGCAGCCGAATAGGCCGAATACCGAATAGTAACCAAATATTCGTTGCAAGTCTAATGTTTTTATTTATCCATGTATATGTATTAATCCATGGTCACATCGACTCACCACATTTACGGTATTTTAGAGCATATAAAAATTTCAGTTCCTAGAATTAATAGCCGGCTGCAAAATCGAAATAAACACTGCCCCCCCCCCCCCCCCCTGTAAGACAAGACGTTATAGGTGCTATATTTATCCTTTAGTATATATCCTTAGTAGTTAGGTAGTTTTAGAAATGCATGTTGTGCTTGCATCTAGTAGGTTGCAAAGTAGTTGAAGTTTTTTTTTGTATGCATATATTTACATGGATATTCCTTGGAACCAATGTTGTGACCAAATAAAAAAGACCTTATAAAGTATGCATTAAAGGTGACTTTCAATGTTCAAATATGCCTTATATTGATTTTGACTATGCGATCATATTACGGAGCTCCGTGGATCGTCCAATGTACCTTTTGGACAGGTTTCGGGCACGATTTTGTTCGTGTCGGTGTATTTAGGGTATTTAATATCGTTGGTTTTAACGTTAAATTATGTATGTTTATACGTTATCTAGCAGCCGTAATACAAGTTATTCTTAAAACTTTCTTTAAATATAAAAATCTAATATAGAATAATTGTTTGGGAATTTTTCGTAATTTCCCTTTATGTAATCGATTTATAGAATTTTACAATTAACAGTTCAAGAGAATGATATTTTGCAAGTCATAACTTTATGGCCGGTAAAACAGCTGAATATACTGTAATACGAGCGATGTCTGCCATCTGCGGGCGACATCTAAAGACGTTTGTACTAGGCGCGTTACAGATTCGATCCAATAGTTAGCGCCACCTGTTAAATAAGTGTAATCCTTTGCTATGATTTTGTTTTATTACAAAAGGTTGGTACAGGTTGTTACAAAAATACAAATAAAGCTTGAATGGCGTTGAAGTACATCGTATAAGGTGTCTTCAAAAACAGTTATTTTTAATGATCCTCGAACTAGAGATGTGTCTTAAAATGATCGATATTTTTATTAATCATTAAAAATATCTTTTTTTATAAAAAGTTTAAACTTCATGCAAATATTTTGAGAAAATTAGAGAAGACTCCTTATATGATGTACTTTAACGCCCTTCAAGCTTTATTTGTACTTTTGTTGTATATGTGGGGTTTATACGGCCGCGAACAATAATCTTAACATGAAAAAATAAATTTGATATTGTCACACACAGAAGGTCGCCACAGCCCCGAAGATGGCGACACTACCAAAGTCCGAAGGCGACGCGTAATCAATGCGAGTGGTAGCGGTGAATCTTCTCGATCGCATCACGCTAATGGAAGCTTCACCCAATCACAGACTAATTCACAGCCCACGGGTAAATATTTAGAAAAGAATAAAAAAAAATAGTAGAAAAAAATCCACGCGGAGGGGGGGGGGCCAATCGCCTAACGGAAATGCTTTGGAAAACGCTAACGCTTACGATTTTATTTTGTTATTTCTGGCCGCCTGCGGTATTCAAATGCCTCGCGCTCTTTCTTTTTCTTTTGCATTGGTAATAACAATATTAAAAAAAATGTGCGTGAGGTATTCGAAAACCTCAGGCGGCTAGAAATAACAATATAAAATCGTAAGCGTTAGCGTTTCCCAAAGCATTCGATTTTATTTCTGACCTTGGAAGGTTTTCAAATACCTCACGCTCATTTTCTTTAATATTGTTATGACCAATGCAAAAGAAAAAACAAAAAACCTTCGGTGGTCAGAAATAACAAATTGAAATCGTAAACGATAGCGTTAGCCATAGCTATCAGCGTAGGCGATTAGCCCCCAGGCTGCAGACAGGACTTGAACCGGTCAGTGCATCCGGATAGAGAAGGGTGCGGGTTCGAATCCTGTCTGCAGCCTTGACCGCGTGGATTTTTTACTAAATTTTTTTTTATAAATATTTTTTTTTGGAATAGAGCAAAGACAGAAAATCTACAGAAAATTCATTTATATAATATCTTAATATACGTTGGATTATTATAAAATAATTTGATATTTGCATGCTAATGAAGCGAATCATGTTTGAGCATCATATTTATTGTAACATCTAATTACTGTACCATGTTTCTTGTAAATAAATTTATGAATGAATGAAAGAGTGCGGGTTCGAGTCCCGTCTGCTGCCCGGACCGCGTGAAATTTTTACTTGTAATTGTAGCAGTTAAATATTTAAAAATTTAAAAGTATTTTATAAAATATTTCATGTAAAATGAGGGTCTTAAATAGGGTTGCCAGGCCATAAAATGCAGAGGCCGGACTGCGCACTATATAAGGCCTGACATTTTGCCGTAAAAGCCGGACATATTTATTATATCAGACAGCGGGACGGGGTAGTCACGCGCCACACGCGCAAACAGTTTGCTGTCTTGTCCGCTCGGACGCTCGTCCGCCCATCGTCATACGAATCGCCACTCTGACAAAAAGCCTGACAAAAGCCGGACAGGCCAAACACGTACATATTTGGCCGCACGCGACCGCAAAAAGCCAAACATGTCCGGCTAAAGCCGGACACCTGGCAAGCCTAGTCTTAAATGACTTCTTTGGTGGAAACATAAAAAATATGTTTGGTTTCAGTTTCATGATTAAAATTGCCATATATACATTCTCATATAAGTCTGTTAAATTGGAATATAATTTTATGTTAAGTTCTTTTGATATATCATTCAATATTGTACCTTCATCTTCGTCATCAAGGATTTGAAAAAAAAAAACAATTTAAAAAGATGCAATCACGCTATTTTAGTAGGTACTCATTGACCAATTATGCTACCACGGCCCTGATGGCCGCGTCGAAATTGTTCCTAGCCTTAAGCTGCAAGGCAGCGCCATCTCTTAGCATTGTAGATAACCCACAATGTCAAATGAATACTTTTTCAAGTATTAAACACTGCACTGCCTTGCAGCTTAAGGCTATGAAAAATTTCGACGCGGCCATCAGGGCCATAATTGGTAGCATAATTGGTCAGTGCATTCGCCCGGATGGCGAAGGGTGCGGGTTCGAGTCCCGTCCGCTGCCTGGTCCGCGTGGTTTTTTTTTCTAGTAAATCCTTTTCTTTAGATCTAAACATCTAGCAGTTAAATGCATAAAAACATAAGGTACTCATTTCTTTATTTAATCACAATGTTTAATCTATATTCATAAGTGGATGGAGTCATTTGTTAGAGAGAAGGCGAACAATCGCTGTAGAAAATAGTGTCCCAGAAATATGGACAAAATAAGTGAGGCGCTGCGATCGCTAAGTTGTCTCAATAAAAGCGAGCTGTTGTGCGCTATTTTGAAATGCCCAATGCCGCGAAGAAAATTTGTACAATATTCAACTAACTTCATCTGCTTGTACTCATAAACAGCTAACTTCACAGATACTACTTACCGACGGCAGCGCGGCTGGTGGCTGAAAAATGAACTATAAATTCTGCAAATTTTCAAGGTTAGGCGGGATAATGCTATAGTACGTAGCGATCATTCTCATTATCTCTAACCTCCATGGTTGGACCTATCTATAAAATAAAATAAAGAACATTATATAACCTTAATTTCACCATTCTATAGTTGAATCCAGCTCAGCATCTGATACTGAATCAGATTACTCCACTTTGGACGACGCAAACCCGGACAAGGAACCGTACCGTTTAGGTGGAAAACTGTGCGTCGCTAACCTGGCCAGGTAAGAAGAACTAAAAAATAAAAATAGAAATCTATAATAATATTATGGAGAGGAAAGATTAGTATTATTGTATGTTTGTAGTGAAGAAATTAAAAATCACCCGTATACTAAACTGATGTATAAAAAACGAGTGTGCTTATGACCACACGACTGAAGTGAAACTTAATTAAAAATTTGTCATACGAGGGCGGAATGATAAGTAACCTAGCCTCTGCTATTTAAAAAGTTTAAATTTAAAAAAAATATATGATATATGTAATTTTTAAATTCGTATCTCTGACCACCTGTGTTCTAAATTTGAATTTGGTGGCGCGAAAATTTTATTGATTTTTTGTCATTTGAAAATATATTTCGTCAACTGTTTTCAAAATGGATGAAATTGGACATTGAGTCCATTGTTTCGATTGAATTTTTGATTCTGGAGTGTAATGATGAACCCATGTTTCATCTGTTGTTACAAATCGACGTAAAAAATCGGCCTTATTACTCTAAAAACGGTCCAGACATTCTTTTGAGCTTTGCACCCGAATTCTTTTTTTATCGTGCGTAAGCAAGTGACGAACGAACGTTGACGAAGTATATTTTCAAATGACAAAAATTCAATAAAATTTTCGCGCCACCAAATACAAATTTAAAACACAGGTGGCCAGAGATACGAATCTAAAAATGACATATATATTTTTAAAATTTTAACTTTTTAAATAGCAGAGGCTAGTTACTTATCATCCCGCCCTCGTACAATGAACAGAGACATGGAGTAAATAAGTCATGCGTAGTCTTCGTTTATAAATAAGGGGGTGTAAGTATTTTTTTTGTATTATTTTTTCTAGGTGTCCACCTCGGGTATTGTCCAATCGTTCTAACATGTATCTATGGAATGTTCTAACCGTTATGGTTTTCTACACCCTGCCCGTTATACAACTGGTTATCACATACCAAAGGGTAAGTGGATTTTAGGTAGATAAATGAATAGATTTCAGATATTTTTTAGGAATTTTGTGGTTGCAGTGATTGTTCGTTTAGGGGTTTTCTATATGGATAATGTTATGTTGACTGCTTAGAGTATTGAAGAACTTACAATATTTTTATTGTATTCTGTAAAATTTTGAACAGTTACAAGATGATTCCGCTTTTAACTACTTATCTATAAAAGTATATATTAATACTTAGTATGTAAAGTAAGTCGGTCAAAAATCCAGTATATTTTAAGTTTTTTTCTTTCTTTTACATATTCCATGTTTTTTTTTTAACTTAAAAAAAAAATAAAAAAATAACACCTGGTTTCTGAAAAGCAGTTTAGCGATAAAAATCAACTAAAGCAAGCAAGCCGTCAAATCTAAAGTGAACTGTCAATTGAGCTGAAAACATTTGTTAGAAAACTTAGTCATTTTTGCAGGCCGGCAGTGAGGATGGTTGGTGTGGCAGTTTATAACTGCTGTACCAGCTATCTTCACGTTTGGTCTTTACCACCACTTAACATCAGGTGGGGTAGAGTTATTTGCCTACCTCGCTATAAAAAAAAACCTAATCAACTAATCACGTTGAGAGCTGTCAAATTTAGTTCAAAAATTGTTAGGCCAAGTGCCATTTTGGATGTGTAGAATTTTTCGCCAACCTCCTATTGATAGCCAGATACCAAAATTGAGTTTACACTGTTGTTAAATTGACAGGCATGTGTGTTGAATAATGATTTTAAAGAATGAATCAGAAACCGGGCGTTTGTTTCACGGTTTTCAATCACAATGGGCTATTTGACAGGATGAAAAATAAAGTACCAATTTATTGGCATGTGTGTTTAACATGAAGCGATTTCACTATTCCGACCACAAAACTTAGTCGGTAACATTACTGAAACTCATGAAATAGAAAAGATTTTTTAATCTATTGTTACGTGATCGAAAGCGCCTAGGATTGGCGGAGCCTTCAATGACTTCACCTACTTGTAAACATCCTGACGAAGCGACATAACTTTGTACGGTTTGATGTTTTAATGAGAGCCGTGTGACGTCACCTGCCTGTAAGGCACACACACGCCATATTTGCAAGATTAACGTTTCCGGAACATATTTGAAAACAATTTTTTTATTTTAGTTTTTTTTTACTTATATACGCAACAGAATTATAAATATCCTTTCTTTAGTTTTACGTTGAGATAAACATGCCAGAATCAAGTTTTCAAAATTTTGTCAAGTAGCCCATTCAGAAGGTTATATTTTAACTGATTTTCAATCCCAATTTAGAACGAATATTTTTTTTGAGGAGCTCGATGGCGCAGGTGATTAGCGCGTTCAGCTGCGATCGTTGAAGTAAAGCACCTTTAGCAGTGGTCGGTCATTGGATGGGTGACCAAAAATCTTCTATCTCGAGTTCCTCCGTGCTTCGGTAGGCACGTTAAGCCGTTGGCCCCGGCTGCATCTGCAGTCGTTAGCACCCCGCCAATCCTCACAGGGCCCGCGCGGTGGGTCACGGCCCAATCTCCCTATTCCATTCATAGGGAAGGCTTGTGCCCCAGCAGTGGGCTAATAGGCTGATGATGATTCATATTTCATGTATTCTTTTCAGCTACTCAACCAATCTGGTAACCAAGACCTGTGCTATTTCAACTTCCTATGTGCGCATCCCTTAATGTTCCTGTCGGACTTTAACCATGTATACTCGAATCTGGGATACGTTCTATTGGGACTATTGTTCTTGATGCAAGTATGGAGAAGACATAAGAACCATAGGGAGAAGACGCCTGCTCAGGTATATAATTTACTAATAATTATATCAATGAATCATGGATAGAGTCTGTGCGGAAAGAGAATGGGCGTGGCGAAAAACGGAACTAACATTAAGATTTTTAGTTGGCAAGCGAACCCAGCAATCTGTAAAACTTCAAAGTTTTGTATTGATACGGATTTGTTTCTTGTTGTGATTTATTGCGGTTTTTTGTATTGAATCATGTCTAAAAGGGGTAAAACCTTACAAATACGGTAGAAAAGCACTACAGCGCCCTCTAATCTAAATCCCATTCTCTTTCCGCACAGTCTCTATGAGTAAATTTCTCTACACACATAGTTTACTCTCTGCAGCTGAAGGATACATAAGCAATGTTCAGTTATAGCAAATTTTGACGACTTATTATATTTATACGCCGGGTTTCATGGTGTCGCCGACTTGAAAGATCCCGGGTTCGAATCCCAATTTGTACTCCAGTTATTTATGTTTAATATGTATTTCTATATAAATATACTTATATGTGTATGTATTTCTATATAAATATACGTGTATGTGCACAGTATATCTATTCTATCCGTTACCCTAGGAACCCATAACACAAGCCTTACAGTGCTTACTTTGGGGCTAGGCTAATTGGTGTGAGTGTTAGAAATATTTATTTATTTTACGATTCTCTGTTTGTCTATAGAAAGAGCTGGGTATACCGCAACACTTTGGTTTAATGTACGCGATGGGAGTGGCGCTAGTGAGCGAAGGAATATTGTCAGCTGCATACCACGTGTGTCCTAACAGTATGAACTTTCAGTTTGGTGAGTAATAAATATAAGCCAATTGTGTACGTTTCCACTTCTTCCACTGTCATGTTTTGTGTCTTACTTCTTCCACAGTCATGATTTATGTCTTACTTCTTCCACTGTCATGTTTTATGTCTTACTTCTTCCACAGTCATAGTTTATGTCTTAGTTCTTCCACTGTCATGTTTTATGTCTTACTTCTTCCACAGTCATAGTTTATGTCTTACTTCTTCCACTGTCATGTTTTATGTCTTACTTCTTCCACAGTCATAATTTATGTCTTACTTATTCCACAGTCATGTTTTATGTCTTATGTATGTGAGGTGTATGTCAATAAAGAATATTATTATTAATATTAGAAATGAAATGAAAATTAATCTTAATCGGAATTACTTCTCACAAATCATTTTTTTTTGTTTGGGTACGGGATTGTTACCTTGTACAAGGTAGGTACAAGGTAACAATTCCTAGTTATCGAGTTTCCTTAGATTAAAACAAAACGGGGAAGATACGGTACGCTCATACTAGCATCAAATAAAATATGCTCCGACTCAACTACATAAGCAACGATCTATACGAACAACGCAGAGCGAGCAAAACGGCGAGTCCGCATTAGAGTCTGAACGGCTGAGCTGTATTGTTATCCTTTTCCTGATAACAAGATTGCGATCACGTATATAACATTCACGACAAACCGTGATTTTTGATAAAAAATGTTTTTTAAAACAGTTTTACTAATGAAAAATGTTGCCGAGGCTTTTTTGAACTATTTATGTTCTTTATAAAAGCATCCAAGCCATTGTTTTATATTTATAACACATAATATTGAGTGCACATGCAGCGTGTTCGAATGTCCAGTTGTGACTAAAGCGGATTGTGGTCATGCACCACAATTTAAGCGGATCACTTTTGAGCCGCGAGTGCCGTATCTTCCCTTTTGGTTTAATCTAAGCGAGTTTCCGATATTTCGGCACTGTTGCAAGCGCCATGATCACGGAGTAACTGAAGTAATTGCGGGTAGGCTGTTATTGGGAGACATATCGGTCTACCCTCCGACGAAGTCTTTTTATTGCGTTCGATACCCGTACTGTTGCACTGTTCACATTCTCACTATTCACTCGCAACTGTTCTCGACACACAACATTCACAGTATCGAATCGCTACACGATACGTTTTTTGACTATTTCGGTTTCCGGAAATATCGGAAACTCGCTAAAAACAAGGTACATGGTAACAATCCCATAAATAACATTAATTACTATAGAGTTGAATTGAGTTTCTCATTAAGTATCGATATAATTATTATTACGTATATTGTCCGTAGACACGTCCTTCATGTATGTACGTGACTTCAGTACTTGTGTACGGTGAAGATCTATCAATTGCGATATTCCAACATTAACGCTTCAGTTCATTTATAATCATTTATAATATTCATGTAGACAAAAATGTTACCTTTCTGTACTAACAATAAACTTTGATATGCAAAAATTTCATACTCCTACCAGCTTTTAAAGGAGGACAGAGGATTTTCCTGAAATCCTAACCAATATTTAAAATTGAAAAAGTGATTTGCTTGTAACGTTTTCGCTGGTTAACCGCTCAATCGATTATGTTACGTAATGAAACAAAGGAGTCTGGCAAACAACTGATTTATTGATACCCACATTATGTTAATTACAAAATACCCACAACTTCCCCTTAGTTTTAAATCAAGACGTAATTACAAATTGCCTTATTATAATTTAGCAAACAATAAAAGGAAATTACTTTATTTGCAATTTCTTGCTTTATTTCGAGTTAAAGGAGGAGAGAAGTCTCCTTGACAATCGGATGCTTCCTCATCTGAAAGCACATATTCTTCGTCTGAAACATCACGATAATCCTCATGTGCAGTATCATCATAACTAGCTCCAGCATTAGTTTCATTAAATTTCGTATCGGATATTTCAGATTCATCCATACACACTGCCTTAATTAGATGTCGACGATTACGGCGATAAATGCCTCTTTTGTTCTTAATTACGTACGATCGCGGTGTTGGCGCCTTCTCAACAACGGTACCTCTAATTATTTTGTTATTGTTTTCTAACATAATCACGTTATCCCCGACATCCAACTCCGGCAGTGGTTTACAATGTTTATCATAATAATATTTACTTTTTATTTGCTTTTTTAACAACTTTTTATGGTTTTCTTTATCGTCACAATATTTTCGTTTCAATAAATCAGGATGGACTGGGAGTCTACATTGTAATCTTCGACCCATCATAAGCTGTGCAGGAGAATCCAAATCATCGCGAGGTGTATTTCTATAGCTTAATAAATTTAAGTAAAAATCAGAATCACTTTCAATGGACTTTTTTAATATCCTTTTTATAGTTTGCACAGCCCTTTCACTTCTTCCATTAGATTGAGCATAATAAGGAGATGATGTGATATGGTCAAATCCCCACTCAGTAGCAAATTTTTTAAAACTGCGACATGAATATTGCGGCCCGTTATCACTTAACACTACTCCCGTATACCATATAGAGCAAAATTTTCCTTCATGACAATTATAACCGATTTAGACGTGCAATCTTTTAATTGGGACACTTCTATAAACCCTGAAAAATAATCTACTAAAACCAAGTAAACTTTCTTGCCGTACTCGAATAAATCGGTGCCAACTTTATTCCAGGGTAAATCTGGAATTGGAATTGCAATCAAAGGTTGTTTTGCGGGTTTATTTGTATTCTCCTGACACGTCCTACATTTTCTAACATAAGTTTCAATATCCTCATTGATACCCGGCCAGAACAACACTTCCCGCGCTCGCCTCTTGCAACGGTCCATTCCCAAGTGGCCATCATGAATAATTTTCAACATTTCGGATTTCAATGATGATGATATCAGAATTTGTTTGTTCTTTAATATCACCCCATCAACGCAATATAACTCTTCTTTCATAGAATAAAAGTATTTTAAAGAATTTGGTAAATCGTATTTATGTAAAGGCCACCCATTATTAATGAATAAAATTAATTCCTTCAACGTATTATCTTTGGCGGTCTCTTTTTTTATAATTGTAAGTTTATTTTTTGAAATAGGCATATTCTCTATTAACATTTGTACTTGATACAAAATCGAGTTACTGATCTCATCATCACACAATTCCGGCAGATGCGCACGCGACAAAGTGTCCGGTATGAACATATATTTTCCTGGCTTATAAGTGACTACCAAGTCATAGCCTTGTAATTTAAGCATCATTCTTTGCAAGCGCGCTGGGATCGAATCTAATGATTTTTTGAAAATACTTTCTAACGGCTTGTGGTCCGTTTCAATCACTACTTTATTCTTACCATATAAATATTGGCGGAACCTTTCACATGCAAAAACAATTGCTAGCATTTCCTTTTCTATTTGTGCGTACCTAACCTGCGTATCTGTGAGCGTGCGTGATGCATATTCTATTGGACGCCCCCCTTGCAGCAGCACCGCGCCTAGTGCCACACTGCTAGCGTCTACTGATACTACGACTGAGCCGCTCATATCATACAATGCCAACACAGGCGAATGACATAAAAGCTGTTTTAATTGTTCAAATGCACATTTATGCCCATGCTCTCAACTCCACATGGTACCTTTTTTTAATAATCTAGTGAGAACATAAGTTTGTTCTGAATAGTTAGGTATAGTATATAGTAGGGGTACAAAGTTTTCCACGTAACATGTAACGTATATTGCCCGTAGACACGTCCTTCATGTACGTGACTTCGGTATTGTGTATGGTGAAGATTTACCAATCGCGTCATCCCGACATCAATGCGAGAGCACACGCCACGTTTGGAGTATTGGCGCTTATAATATTTATCGGTAAGTTTATTTATTTATAATATAATAATAATAATAATAAATAATAAATATTTCCGACACTCACACCAATTAGCCTAGCCCCAAAGTAAGCACTATAAGGCTTGTGTTATGGGATGCTAGGGTAACGGATAGAATACATATACTGTACATATATAAGTATATTTATATAAATACATATTAAACATCCATGACTGGAGTACAAATGCACGTATTCATCACACAAACATCTGCCCCCACCGGGATTCGAACCCGGGACCTCTCGAGTCGGCGACAGCCATGAAACCCGGCGTACAAACCACTCGGCCACGGAGGTCGTCTGATAATTGGTCAGAGCATTCGCCCGGATTGCGAAGGGTGCGGGTTCGAGTCCCGTCTGCTGCCTGGTCCGCGTGGAATTTTTTCTAGTTATATTTTCTTTAGATTTAAACATCAAGCAGTTACATGCTTTAAAAAAATAAAAAAATATAATTTTATTTATTTATTTAAGGATCACCAGTGAATGATACAAATAATAGTTAACATCAAACACAATTTCACAAACAAGAAACAGTGTACATTCTATAAGGGCGACCACAACATGCAATATATGAGCAGACATGTTTTTATTTTAATTTACATTTATTCATCTTAATTAATAAAAACGTAGTAAAAATCAAAATTAAATTGAATTTACACAAATATACTAAACGTAGGAATACATAACATTGATTGAATTAAATTTAATGCTTTAATTTTTTTTCTATATCATCATCATCAGCCGATTAATGTCCCCACTGCTGGGGCACAGGCCTTCCCTATGGATGGAATAGGGAGATTGGGCCATGACCCCCCACGGGGGCCCAGTGCGGATTGGTGGGTGCTAACGACTGCAGATGCAGCCGGGACCAAAGGCTTAACGTGCCTTCCGAAGCACGGAGGAGCTCGAGATTGTAATTTTTGGTCACCCATCCAATGACCGACCACTGCGAAAGTTGCTTAAGTTCAACGATCGCGCTGACCACTTGCGCCATCGAGCTCCTCATTTCTATATAAATATTCTTATATATGTACAGTATATCTATTCTAACCGTTACCCTAGTATCCCATAACACAAGCCTTACAGTGCTTACTTTGGGGCTAGGCTAATAGGGTATTTGACAAGTTTTAGAAAACGATCTCACGTTATTGAATAATGTTTATGGAGTCCGTAAAAAGTGGATATTCATCATTCTGTTGTGTATTTCAGTAAAAATAACCAAATCAAAAACTCCATTTTCAAGTTGCCGCGAAAACATTTTTCTGGACAATATGGATAATATATAAAAATAGTAAAATCTCCTGCCAATATTCTTTCTAAACACAGATGCTAACCATTGGCACTTTATTTTTAATACTGTCAAATACCCTATTGGTGTGAGTGTTAGAAATATTAATTTATTTTATTAATTTCTTAGATACTAAAAGATTAATTTATATTACCTGTACCATAAAGAAAGTAATTTCATTGGCCAGGTCTGATGGGTGTGCTGAACGCTAACTTCTTCTTCTGGATATTCTTCACCGTTCTGCATTTAGTCACCTGCCTGGTGATGACCTTCCAGATCTACTACCTTGGCAGGTTCCGGCTTGGTGAGTTACATTTTAAAGGTTGTCTGGAAGAGATCGCTTTTAGCGATAAGGCCGCCCATTGCATCACTTGTGCTTAATTGTTTTGTGCTTAATGTTCAATGTTTTTCTTGGTGTACAATATAGTGTTTTTGTATTGTACTTATACTTAGGGGCTACACATAAATAACTGTTTTTTTTTTACATTATTTGAGCACAGAAATCTAGGAATTACGCACTCAGATACGTCAAGATTAACATACTTTGCAAAGCACTGCAGTACCCTGCAAACCAATATCGAATTCGTATCGTTTGCGAGACCGAAATGTCATTGTTAAATGTGTACTGATTTTCAATTCTCGTTACGTACGTTATGGCGCTGCTGTTCAAGTTTTCATACAAAATTTGACAATGACTTTTCGGACTCGCAAACTATTCGAATTCGATAATGTATCGTGCTAAAGGTACAGTTAAAAACATAACGAGTATTTTCTGGAACAACGGCAGGCGCCAGGTGGCAGCACTGAGACGAAAGGTCTACTCATCTGTCAAATCGCGTATGTCGTCATAGTCTATGGAACAATGAGGGCTACCGTTTTTTGTCTCACCAGATGGCGCCACTGTTGAGTGAGGTCCTGAATTGTAACTTTTAATGTTTATTAATACGCGCGTGAAATCAAAGTATACATTTAAATCATATTTTAATACAAAAGAACCGTATTCTAAACATAATTGGCCATACCACAGTGTTTCGCAGCTCCATTTTGTACGGCAAAAAGGAGGACATAATTATTTTTCTTAGCTCCGCTTTTAAATAACTGACTTTCAATGCCACGTAACTCATATTTGCTATAATTAAGCCGAGTTATTACTAAATATTCACAACATTATTGTAATTAGAAATAAACCCGCGTAGTCAACCCACAACCAATAACATTTGACATTTCGGAGACCTCACGCTACACAAGCGCCTCTAGCGGCGGATTCATACGCGATAGCCCTCATTGAAATGCTCGTTGGGTTAATTCCCGCCAAAAACTTCATACAAAAGACCTCACGTCACAGTAATGCCAACTGGTGGCGTAAATTTTCCTAAATTCATTGTTGTCTTTGTGTATGACGGCATGAAGCTTTTGTCTCCTCCGTTGTCATAATAGACTATTTGGCACTTAGATTAAAACAAAAAGGGAAGATACGGTACGCTCATACTAGCATCAAACAAAATATGCGCCGACTCAACTACATAAGCAACTCTCACACACGCACACGTCTGTAAATAACATTCAATCGAGCGAGCGAGACAGAACTGTACGCTTCAACGCAGCGCGAGCGAAATGGCGGATCAACTTCCGAGTGCGAACCGCTGACCTGGAGGCCTAGCCTCTATTTCAACGAAAAACGAAATTTCGCACGTTCCTTACTCTGTTTCTATTTCCTTCTGAAAATTCGTTCGTCCGAAAATAGTTTGACATTTAAATTCTCTGAGCCTACTCTAATTCACAAAACTTTTGAACTAAAAGTTGAATTTGACAGATAAATTGTTCGAAATTTTAATCTCAAATTGACGAAATGAAAAGTGTTACCTTTTCATTTTCGTTTTGGGATTTTTGTTTAAGTTACACCTAAAAATTTTTACAAAGAGCATTTTTAATTAAGTCTGCTTGGCGTGAGGAACATTTTTTAGTATAAAAAATTTACAAATGAATCTTAATTTTTGTTTATTTATTGTATTGCCAATACTTCAAAGTGTTACACGACAAATTTAGGTTGACATACATTCGATTGCTTAAACTCTACAAATTAGTCGGCTTACACTGTCAAAAGAGGTTGTTTTAATGTAATCAAAAATGTTCTCATAAAGTAATATTGTTTTGAAGTAAAAAACGTTATCTAAAAAGTGTAGACAAAAAGAACTCTCAAACATAACTCATTCCATTCGTTCACGATAATTGTCTGTGATTCCGAACTTTATGTGCATGTTCGAAGATGAAATAGAGTAGTCACTGTCGTAATTTCGTTTAAAAATCGTTCGGTGCCGAAATTTCGTTTCGGAGAAAGAGAGTAGAGCTCCTGTATTGTTGTCCCTTTGTTCATAAATAACATTCACGACAAACCGTGATTTTTGAGAAAAAAATGATTTTACAGTTTTACGAATGAAAAGTTTTGCCGAGGCATTTGTTATTTGATTTTGAACTACTTGTGTTCTTTATAAAAGCATCGAAGGCATTGTTTTATCTTTATAACACAGAATATACGCAATATTGTTATATTGAGTGTGCATGCAGCGAGTTTGAATGTCCAATTGTGACTACAGCGAATTGTGGTCATGCACCACAATTTAAGCGGATCACTTTTGAGCCGCGAGTGCCGTATCATCTACCCTTTTTGTTTTAATCTAAGATTTGGCAATATGAAAATTAAAGTACCAATTGTTGGCATCCGTATTAAAATTAATATTAGCAGCGATTTTACTACTCTGAGAGAACAAATAGTTAATCACTTTTCTAAATAAAAAACCATCAATTAGAGATTATTATATATTTGAAGTGAAAACTTCTTTAGCGGCGTTGTACACTTTTTTGTCGTCATCCAAAAAACGCGTCAGGTTAAACAGCCCACCTGTTTAACCTGATCGCATCAGGACACACAATAAAATTGGAAAGGTTGTTGACTTTCAATATATTGGACGAGACATAGTAATATTTAATTTTACCGTATCTGTTATCTATTAGACAAGTCCGTCCGTCCGTCTGTGGTGCTGTTTCAGCGGCCAAATCGTAAGAGATAGATAAAGAGAATATTTAAGATATAAGTTAAGAATAGCCTGATAAGACTACAAACCGGATTTGAGTAACGTAGCACTTCCGGTTTTCGAGAAATCACGAATTTCAAACGAATCTACACAAAATCTCCGAAGTTCTCAATTAATTAAATACATTTTTTTTAAATCAGTTTTTGGTGAACATTTGGTTCACTGGTTTGCTAGTTATAATAATAAGTCTCTATCTAGGACGTCCACGTGGCAGCTTTATTGCGAAGAAAATGCATTTTTTTTACAATAAATGTCGCTAGGTGCGTTTAAATGTGATTCATGTAAGTTGATTTTGCTGAGAGATAAACTTTTTTAATGTAATATAAATTGTCATGTTTGTGCACAATGGCGCGATAAATAAATATTGTATTCTACCACATACACGATAGTACTTTTAAGCTGATAATTAAAGCAATTCGTGCAAAATGATTCCCTAACCATTCCAAAATATCAGAAATGCACAACGTTAATATTCAAGTTTTCACTTCTGCCGGCACTCCCGGAGATTGGCGAAGACTAAAGTGACGTCACACGCTAGTAAACTTCTGCTCAAAGTGACATAACATTGTATGGGTTAACCTTTTATACAGGGTGTTACAAAAATAGAAATAAAGCTTGAAGGGCGTTGAAGTACATCATGTAAGGAGTCTTCTCTAATTTTGTGCTAGGGGTACTGTTCTACTACTCTACCCTGTCTACTAATACTGTTTACTTCTATTGGAAATAGTCAAAATCTTTTCTAACCGCGGAGGCGCTCAAAAATTACGATTTTTTTGCAAAAAATGTGAAAGGGCTCTGAACTTTGTAAAAATGTTGAGGCAAATAAATATTTTTTTTTATAATAAATAATCCTCCCCATACAGACGCTCGTCTCGTATCGCGTGCGGCTCGCGAGTTGCTAGCTGCTCCGCTGGCTGCAGTCACGCCGACGCACTGTGGTCGATGCGTGTTGTTAGCTCTGGCTAACTTGGCCAATTGGGCGGTCGCTGCTTATGGGTGAGACATTTATCATCATCATCATCATCATCATCGTCCTATTAATGTCCCCACTGTAGGAAGGTCAGCCAAAGGGGAAGGTCTTCCTCCGAACTGGATGATGGTAGCTCGGGGGCCGCGGCCCGACTGATGTTGGTCGGGCATCGTATACAGGTTGTTACAAAAATACAAATAAAGCTTGAAGAGCGTTGAAGTACATCATATAAGGAGTCTTCTCTAATTTTCATAAAATATTTGCATGAAGTTTATAAAAACAGTTATTTTTAATGATCCTCGAACTAGTGGCGTGTCTTAAAATGATCGATATTTTATTAATCATTAAAAATAACTGTTTTTATAAAAAGTTAAAACTTCATGCAAAAATTTTAAGAAAATTAGAGAAGACTCCTTATATGATGTACTTCAACGCCCTTCAAGCTTTATTGTATTTTTGTAACAACCTGTATATTGAGTGCTTAACTCTGAATTTCTCTTGCGCGATGTAGGCTTCCATACGTTGTGAACGCAGCGCCGACAGTGCCATCTCTTGGGGAAGCGAGTGACTATTTCCTCCATGTTGATTATATGTGGGGCATGTAGATGTCGCCGCCACACCCACTGCTGTGGCCAATAGCTGGAATAGGGAGATTGGGCCATAGACGCCCGCCTCGTATCGCACGGGCCCGGTAGTTGCTAGTGGCCGCAAAACACTCAATCCTAAATCCCTTATCAGTTCTATCGCTTTTCATTCTAATTTTACCGTCTTCTTTATAATTTTAGTAGCTTGCCACCATTTTTATGTGATTTATTCACGATGGAAGCGCATCAAACAATGTTACTATATCGTCATCAACAGCCTATTAAAGTCCCTACTGCTGGGGCTTATAGCTGGAATAGGGAGATTGGGCCATGACCCACCACGCGGGCCCAGTACGGTTTGGTGGGTGGTAACTACTGCGAATGCAGCCAGACAACAGTTGAATGATGAATTTGGAAACATTTCGAAAAGTGCACGTCTACAGCCAGTGATAGAGCGGCGAATAGGGGTGATGACGGGGAACAGTAAACGAATTTTTATTTAGTCCGTCAGTTAGATGATCAAAAAATAATGGACACTTATTTTTCTTTGGACAATCAACCAAAAAATGACAAAGTTATAGCGCGTCAAAGTTTGGGAGTAGCGGCTCGTGACGTCACTTTTTAGTGAATTTACACTTAAAAGTGTACTAAAACATGACGCCATGCGACTTTTCAAATCAACATATCTCTGTTATGTTTATATTATGTGAAAAAATACGTGTCCAATACTTTTTGATATTCTACCTGATAAACGAAGAAAAAAAAATAGTCATCATCCCTATTGTGAATATTGTAGAAAAAGGGTACTTGTATTTGAATAAATATATATTAACTGACATTTTCAACCATTAACTTTAAACTAATAACTGTTTTTCAAATATTAACGCCACCCCTAGTTTGAATATTTACGTGACTTGTGACTCTAATGCCATTTGTAATACAATAAACAGATACAAAACATGGAGTTATGAATGCTTATGATTATATTTACACACATTTATTATATTAATGTATTGTAATATTGATTAACGTAAGAAAATATGGTACTCATGTTATTTATATGGCTACATTGCTAAAAATTGGGGAAGGGCGCTGAAGCCAAAATACAGAATGAAATTCCTAGTTTGACTGATGCGTGAAATAATGGCCTTAGTTTTAACATATTTATAAGAATATTACCATGTACAATTATTAACAAATAAATATTATTATTATTATTACTAATCCAAAGGACATGGTAAAGTTTCGTATGAGCCACTGCCCTGGCAATGTATAAATACTGTATTTAGTAATAGTGGTAAATGGCTAAGTATTTATGATTTCTATGAAAAAAGGCTCAAGAACTTTTGATAAAGTCACAATCTTGAAAATTATGAGAACTCCTACTATGTCATTACCTTACTAAAGTTGATAAAAGATGTTGTCAATTATTTACAGAGTGATCAATTTCGCATTTTCTTAGAATCTTTCTTCCCATTTCCCTGATTAACTCTTCACAAAAAGTTTTTTTAAAGCAAAAATAAATACAAATGGTTTGTTATCGTCGGCCTGACAGGAAATCTGTGAAGTTTTATTGTGTCCATTTGCAAAAATTAAAGGATTAATTATCATACAGCCTTGTCTCAAACCTAATCAGAATAATAAAATCAATTATTTTAGGCCTTCCGTGATTTGTCGCAACAAAAATTAGGGCCAAATATGTGTATATTTTGAAGGAGTTTAGAAATCATATTGTTTATTTCGATATACTTACACAGATATTTTTTGTGTACATTTTATTGTTCATTTATTTTGTAAAACGGAACATTTTGCTTTTGAAACAGACATGGAAGTCAAATTTTATACTTTTAAATACTTGATTATTTCACGAAAGTTGTATGAGAATAAACACGTAATAATTAATAAAAAAATATTGCAAAGTTACTGGCTAGTGCGAAATATTTATACACGTTAAGGGCAGTTTCATAGCCATGTCCTTTATTCTTCGTTTATTAATAAAAGGGTAATTGATTTGTTTCATATGTCCAGACTATCGCAACACAGCCGCGACTTCGCATCTCATCTACTCCTGGTTCTGATGAGCAACCTGTTCTTGTACACTTTGTTCTACATAGTCATGAAACTGCTGCATCGCGAGTCCATAAGGTGGTATAGGTGAGTTAATAAAAAACGAGTGTGCTTATGACCACACGACTGAAGTGAAACTTCTTTAGCTCCATCTGTATATATATCTTTATATATATAATTCTTCTGTGAGTGTGTATGTCACTGAACTTCTCTTAAACGACTGGACCGATTTTGATGAAATTTTTTGTATGTGTTCAAGGGGATCTGAGAATGGTTTAGATTCACAATTTTGTCCGCTGGACAACCCCTATTTTTTTAGGGCGAAAAGAAGTTCGCTGGGTCAGCTAGTAAATATATATAGGGTGAAATTGATTGATTGATTGAATAGAGTATGCCTGATTTTTGTCGGATTTTTTTGAAGTATTTTTTTCATGTATTTATTTATAATTTGTGTATTTTTTTTGTCCTTTCCTCCTTTTGAGTAGTTATTCATATTAAACAAACATGCTTACATATCCAGTGAAAAACAACTAATAAATAAGCACTTCTAAAAAACGGAAAAACAGTAAAATTCCACCGCGGGTCAACGACCGACCGCGCCCGCCAGCCGTTGAGTGAGTAGGTACTGTAGCGTCCTCGACGTTGCAGCCTCCTTGTTTAGGTAAACTCTTTGCTTTTGCAATGCCTACGGTTGGCAGTTATATTAAAAAGTTAATGTCATGATTTTAAGATTTGAAATGAGGAATCGTCTGTCTTTTGATAGAAGGTTCCATTCAAGATTAGATCTTCAGGCGCCAAGAATTCCTCTCGTATTTAGATAAAATACTTTTATATTAGCCTGAATGATAAAACTAAATAAATAACTTATGTCTATCAGTATCTTTCAATTAACATCTACGCTCCCAGGTTCTATCCCTTCTGGGTAGAACTCTATATGGTGGAGGCGCCGGGTAGGTTTCAAGTACCGCGAGTGAAAAATAATTTTAAATCAAGAAAGAAGTAGTTTTATGAAGATGGAGACCAGGACCACATTCAACGGAAAAGGTGATGTAACCGATTTCTTTCGTCAATTTAATATCATCGCCGCCATCAATAATTTCAACGAGGATACAAAAAGAGTTGTGTTGTCGGCATATTTAAGTGGACCTGCATTGTTGTTCTATAAAAAAATTAATGAGTCTTGTGAGAATTTTCAGATTCTAGAAAAGAAAATTTGTGATGAATTTCCATCATCGATAAATGCGCTGGAAAAATTTTTCTCACGAAGACAAGGCTTGTCAGAAGAGCCATTGACTTTTTTTTATATATTGGATGAGCTGGCCACAAAAGCGGGAGCTGTCATCGATGACAAATGCTTTATTAGACAGTTCTTGAAAAATGCGAATTTGAATACAAAAAATCTTTTCGCATTTCAATTATATAATAATAGAGTGCATCTAAAGGAAGTTTTGCGACAAGCGCAGGACATTTTTGGGGATGAAAATGATGAAATTTGTTGGAATCTGCCGATCCAACCATCGTTTGTTACACCAATGACAAACTTCGACTATAATAAGGCATGAAGAAGAACAAGAGAAGGAAATCAACTTCATTTCCTCCCAAAGTGTCCTTTCTCATCCCATTGTCCCTCCCGAACACATGATTCCCCGCACTTTTTGTTCCAGTAACACGAACAAAAAGAAGTATAAATCAAAGAAGAAGAAGCATCCAAAGAAAATTTTTTATGAAGAAAATGTTATGAAGATGGCTGATAATAGTTATTTATTATACAAGAGTGGAAAGTTCCTTTTTAACCGCGTGCTCGATTTGGATGACCGAGCAAGCGAAGGATTCTAAAGTTGAATCACGAGCGCAGCGAGTGATTCTAAATTAGAATCCTGAGCGTCAGCGAGGGAAACAAACGAGCACAAGGTGAAAAATCTTTCCACTCGAGTGCAATACGTAACTTTTCATCCCACCTCAGCGAGGAAATGACAAAATGAAAAAGAAAACAATTTATAATGACAAAATATTTTTATTTCAATTAAAACACATTAAGATAATCTATAAATTGAAGAAAATAATAAGAAGTAGAAAATAATTAAGAAATATTAAATGTAACGTTGCTACAGTTACTTATGTTAAGTTTAATATTTTTGTTAGGTAATGTTATGTTGGTGTTTGTGAATTGTGCGCTGTTTTGTGGTAAACTACTCGTATCAGTAATTTTAAATAGTTGTGCCGATTCATTGGATTCTATTGGCGTAAATGTTGGCGAGAGAGGGCTATTGTTTCCAATCTTATGGGGGCTCATTTTAGATGTAGAAGGGCGAGACCAAGAATCTGACAGAGGTTCTTTCAGCGTTATGGCCTCCACGATACTATTACAAATTTTTGATTTACTTTGGATTGAATCCTCTATGTATCCCTCTACAACCGAATTAGACTTCCAGCCTCCATGGCGCTTAAGCGATAGAAGATCAGCCCCTGATTCGGCCAAAAGTGTGGCTGAGGTTCTTCTAAAACAGTGACCGGTGTATAACGGGGGTTCTAAAAGTCCGAGAAAAGTTGCTATTTCTCGTGGAATACTGCCAATTTTATTCTGACCCATAGGTTGTCGGATACACTTTCCGTTGCGATATTGTAGAAAAAATCGTTCAATTGGGGTGTTAGAAGGACGTAAAGCTTGATATTTCTGAACAATGTTTACATATTCCTTGCGAATAACGAAGTTGCGGTCTTTTTTTGTCTTGGTATTTAGTACATTAATTAATAGCAATTCATCAGAATTATGAGAATATTTTGATACGTTATTGACATTAAGTAGTGTAAGTTCATTTGTTCGACATGCTCCGGTTATACCAATAATAAGAACAACCTGTAACAAAAGAAGTATTTATAATCGTAAATAAATTAATCAAATTAAAAATATTGTAAGTACTATGTACAATTTTATCAACAACAAAAAATTACACGTATTGACTTACTTTTGCCGCTAAATATACGGAATCAGGTGCTTCATTAATAAACTTTGCAATTTCAGATGCTGTGAAAACCTTCGATTTTTTTGGTTTATAACCAGATGAGGCTCTTTTTAAAAATGCCACTAATTTATGATAGGTGTCGATATGAACGTCTTTCTTCATCTTAATTGTTAATTTTAGCATTGAATACGTACTCCATAGCGTGCTTGCTTTCTTGGTCTCAGATAATTCTATAAAATATGCCAGCAAAACGTTTTCGGAGAAAGTTTTTGCTCCTTTAGCTAGTCGCCACATGTTAAATATATCGTACTGTTTCAAATACTTCTCTCGTGATTGCTGAGGGAGAAGGCTCATTTGCGCATTATTAACTGTTTCAGTTAACTCAGTTGGCGTTAGATAAACTTCATCGTCGCTAATGTCACTCATTTTAGTTGATTTTTTTGTACAGTTTTTAGGTTATGTTAATTATATTAAGCAATAAAACGTGAAAAACTAGAATGGCGCGAAGCACGCAAATAAAACAAAGAAACCAAGAAGGTTCCAAATTTAAATTTTTTCACAATTTAAAAAGTTCTAATCATAAATTTGGCACCATAGAGGTTACATTAAATAGGTTTAATGACGTTTTGAATTTACAATTATATTGAGTACTCATTATATGTGATGTTCTAAATTCAAATCTACTTTGCCGCTCAAGCGAATAAAATAGAATTTTCCAGCCAGATTTCGAAGCGCAAAATTACACTTTCCGAGGTGGTGGGATGAAAAGAAATTCACCATTCACAGCCGTCAGAAAACAACAATCAGCATACAAGTGAGTCCAAACCTTTAGTTAATATAACGTGTCGTGATAAGGAGTTTGTAGGGCTCATTGATAGTGGTGCTGCAGTGTCTGTGGTGTCGAAGGACACAGTTAATAGAATTCATCAACGAATTGATGAAAGCGATATGAAGTTGAAAGCTGTCGATGGTAAAGAATTGTCTGTTATAGGGAAAGTTAACCTTAAATTATTGATAGACAATGTGTTATTCATTCACGATTTTCTTGTGGTAGAGAATATTAGGCATAACCTCATCTTAGGACAGGATTTCTTACTTCGAAATAATGCGATAGTAGACTTTTATAATGAACAATTAATAATCAAACATATTAAGTGCAAGTTTAAAAGACAATATACACAAAAGAATAATGAAAGGAATAGTGATAATTCGGTGTATGATGAAAATTTATATTATGTCAAATAGGTTCATAGTATTATAATATTGTGTAACTAATGAGATTTTATTTCAGTTTATTGTTTATATGAATGTTTTAAAGCAATGGTGGTATGTAAATAAGGTTCAATACAATAGTCATTTTAGAATTTTATTTCAAAAGCATATTAAATATAACTTTGTCATTTTATTAGAAATTGTTCTTCAATACACATATTATAAGGAACTTTTACACATTTTGTTTATGACAGATCAATGGGTAGTTTCATTAAAGTATTTTCATTTCTTTTAATTGTTAGCTTTAGTGTAATTTGTTGAGTAGGTGGATTATAGATATGGTAATAACCATAAGAATGATAGGTAACAGGTTCGATTCTCTGTTCAAATTATTCAATTGACTTTGAATATGATCATTGATAGGATTAATTCAGTATTAGGATAGAATATATATAGTTAGTAATGTATAATAGGATAATATAGGTCCATAAAGAAAATTCCCTTATTATAAAAAAGGAAACGGGTTCGATTCCCTGTAAGGTTAAAAAATAAATAAATGAATAATAATGTTAAATATTGAAAATTTATCCAGCTATGAAAAGATGGTATAAAGACTTATCATAAACTTAATGTTTTCATGAATATTAACTTACCCGACTGAAGAAAAATGGTGTAAAGAATTTTACTAATATTTTCTTGATTGTTTTATGTACTACCACATGATGCGGACTTCCCGAGAGAGAGCAGGCTGGCGCTCATGCAGACGTCAGCGATACTGACGATGATCCACCCTGAAGATGATGGAGACACCCTCTACGAATTCGCGTCGTTTTCGTTTCAATTTGGTCGCGTCGCGTTCGTCGAAATCGTCACTTGTAGTAGTTTGACTTGGGGGTAGGGAACCCTTAGTATTCCATGGGAATTGGGTTTAATCTTGTTTGATGCTAGATGTCCTTACCCAAAATTTCTATTACGTTTGCGCATCATGGGTGTCTAATAAAGTACAAGACAATAAAGTGGTGGACCACGTCTGTATCTTTATTAAATATGTACGAAAGTAAACATTAATTATAAATTCTTTTAGGTTTTGCTCAAATCCAGTTAATGTTTACGAATCTTAGGAAATAGTTTGAATTTCGTTTCGTACATCTACTTAGTATGGGAAGTAATGAAGTTTCAAAATATAAATTTTCTTGATATTTCATGGTTTAATAAATGGGATAGGGTAAAGTTTTGCTGATAGATGGGATAAAAAAAAAATTGCTTGGGTAATTTAAGGTATAGCTAGGGTTAGCTTTGTTTTTTTGTTTTTGCCGACTGATGTCGATGTAAAGTAAAGTAAAGTTAAGGTTAGGAGGGAGATGTGCGAGGGATTTTGTTAAAGTTTTGCTCCCGTAAAGTCTTTGCAATAAAACTTTGCAAACAGTTAGGGTTCTTTTCCCGTAAAGTTTTTTTTTTTTTGCAAGTTTTGCAAACTTATTGTGAGGGCTAGTCTGTAGTAAAGGCCACCTCCCAGTTGTATTTATGTCCTTAAGCAGGTAGGGATTTTAGATAGGACCGTCGAACCCTCTTGATGTAGTAGGTAGGAAAAAAATTTTGTTCGGTCATCTGGTATGACAAAACAATTTTTTTTTTTAGAGGTGCCGGAGGGATGTAGCGTCCTCGACGTTGCAGCCTCCTTATTTAGGTAAACTCTTTGCTTTTGCAATGCCTACGGTTGGCAGTTATATTAAAAAAGTTAATGTCATGATTTTAAGATTTGAAATGAGGAATCGTCTGTCTTTTGATAGAAGGTTCCATTCAAGATTAGATCTTCAGGCGCCAAGAATTCCTCTCGTATTTAGATAAAATACTTTTATATTAGCCTGAATGATAAAACTAAATAAATAACTTATGTCTATCAGTATCTTTCAATTAACATCTACGCTCCCAGGTTCTATCCCTTCTGGGTAGAACTCTATAGTACGTACACAGAGCTCAGCTGACTCGTTTGATTCCACACAATACAATAAAATCGTCTTAGATGCCTTTATTGAAATTGAAATAATAAGCACAAATGTCATCTTCTCTTAAGCAGAGAAAAACTTAAAAAGTTAATAATAATTTTGTCACGATTGGAAATAGGCAAAAGTTAAACAAAAAGAAATACTTATTGCAGTTCAATACTTGGGTCAGAATGAAATTTATTACCAGGTATTCAAAAGTACTTACGAGACCGATGTACCTATTAATTTTTTTCACTATAACTTCCCAATCAATCACCAAACCTACTTTCGTAAAGCCTTGTGGCTCTGCTGAGTATTCCGTGACACTCGCAATAACAACACACCATATCCAAATTCTTATATTGAGGGCACAGAACAAGAACTAATCAAGGCATTATTTGCAAAACTTGTCACAAATTTAAAAGATACGCACGCGCGCTTGAGACTCCGCTCGCTCACTGCGCTGTGCACCGCGCATACCTAGATAGGTATGGTATAGGCAGGAAGGTATTCAACAAGGGAGCGGTCATTGCTCCCGGCCGCCCGTCTCCTGTTTTTACGTCTTTTTTAGTAGTGCTTATTACTTGGTTTTTACTTACTCTGTATGCATGTTTTAAAAGAATAATTATTTAGTACCCAAAAGGAGGAAAGGACTTAAAATATAACAAAAAAAAAACAAAATTTTATTTTAAATCATTTTTTAAAAAATCCGAAAAAATTCAGAGATACTCTATATACGTAACCCAACATTCCCACGAAGTTTCATTAAAACATTCAATTTCACCCTGTATATATACTAGCTGACCCAGCGAACTTCGTACCGCCATAAAAAAATAGGGGTTGGTGGTAGAAAGTTGAAAATTTAAAGATGTATGTATTTTTGTATGATGTATCATAAAAAAAATTAAAAAAATAATATCTAAAATTAAAAAAAAATTAGGGGTGGATTACCCTTAACATTTAGGGGGATGAAAAATAGATTACATCCGATTCTCAGACCTACTGAATATGCATACGAAAATCGGTCGAGCCGTTTCGGAGGAGTTTAACCACAAACACCGCGACACGAGAATTTTATATATTAGATATTGTTCAAACTTAAACAATGTTTCTGGTTTTGATATGTATTTAGTACCATTTGGTTACGAAAGATGGTGCTAATAAAATGTGTCAAATGTTTGGGTATATGTTCAAAATCGCGCTGTCGAAATTATTTTATGTATATGTTACGCTCAAAGATCGAAAACGCTCAGTGAGCGGAAAAATAGCTCACAACGCGTTGTGGTCACAGTAAAACATCCACATGGCGAAATTTGTGATATGGCTCCAATGAACGCGCACGACGCGTTGTGGCAATCACAGAAAGCCCAAATAGCGAAATTCGTGTCGTGGCTGACATGTAGCGGTGGGTCGTTCTCAAATTTTCTAACGACGAAACGCAACCGTTTTCACTTAAACGAAAACTAGTCCTCGAAACGGTTCTCGTTCGCAACTGGTTTTGGTTGCGGCTGGGTGACGCAACGAAACGACACGCGACAGTCGAACGAATGTAACGCAACGAAACTGAACTAAATGAAATCTTATTAACGTTCGTTTCGTTGCTGCAAACGAGACGACGAAACATCAATGTAGTGTTATACGATAATCGACTTTAAGTGTTCAATAATAAAGGTTATATTATTGTAAAATCAAAGCTTAATTATCATAGAACGAAACGGCCTCATATCATTGCGTTCTATTATAGACTGTATTTACTTCATCATAAAGAACATATTGGCGTGCAGACAATCCGAGGACTAGTTTTTCGACGAAGACTGTTTTGATCCGAAACGTGAAACGGTTCTATCGTCGCGGAACACAAAACGGTCCTTGAAACCGGTTCGTCTTTAGAACGTTCAAGGCCAAATAGCGAAATTCGTGTCGTGGCTGACATGCTATTCGATCTCAACGCGTTATGGAAATGAAGAAAAGCCATGACGCGGTCTGAGCATTCTTGTTTTAACCATATCACGACGGACAGGTTGTAAGTTAAGTTAATAGAGGACGTGCAGCACCCAGGAATGTTATGTGTGTTATGAGCATTAATCCATCAGGTCTCTACCAGTTAGGAAACAAGGAAGATACATTCGATAGACTTATGTATATATATTCGAAATTCGACTCCCGTTCGCCGCGCCCAATCACACTTTTCGTAACGCATTCGCCAGCTTACCCCCCCCCCCCCCCCCCAAGTCAAGCGTGCGTAAAGAAGTTAAACTTTAAAAGTCAAAGTGAAAATGTCATTGTACAAAATGGAAGCATTATACTTTTTAATCGTTTATTTTTTTAAATCCAAAGAAAATATAACTAGAAAAATATCTCCGCGGACCAGGCAGCAGACGGGACTCGAACCCGCACACTTCGCAATCCGAGCGAATGCACTAACCAATTATTCTACCGCGGCCCTGACGGCCGCTTCGAAATTCTTCTAGCCATCCCATCCAGTTGCTTAACTTCAACGATCCCAGCCGAACGCGCTAACCACTTGCGCCATGGAGCTCCCCCTTCGAGATATTAATTTAATTTATTCCATTATTTAATATATATTTACTTACTTTTTTATTGCAGTTGGGTGTTCATAGTACTGACTTACTCGACGTGGTTCGGCTCGAGTTATTTTTACCTGGATCAGAGTACCAACTGGGCGGTGAGTACCTAAATACTTTTTATAACATTTAACTTCAAACTAGCGCTGTTTTGTATTAAAAAAAAGCGAGTGTTCTTATGACCACACGACTTGAAACTTCTTTAGCTCCATTGATCTGAAAATCATAAACTTAACCTGAAGATTTGTTGATAGAAAAAAAACGCGCTGGGTCCGTTGTTACCCACCAATCCGCGCTGGGTCCGTTATCACCCACCAATCCGCGCTGGGTCCGTTATCACCCACCTAACCGCGTTGGGTCCGTTATTACCCACCAATCCGCGCTGGGTCCGTTATCACACACCTAACCGCGTTGGGTCCGTTATTACCTACCAATCCGCGCTGGGTCCGTTATCACCCACCAATCCGCGCTGGGTCCGTTATCACCCACCAATCCGCGCTGGGTCCGTTATCACCCACCAATGCACGCTGGGTCCGTTATTACCCACCAATCCGCGCTGGGTCCGTTATCACCCACCAATCCGCGCTGGGTCCGTTATCACCCACCAATCCGCGCTGGGTCCGTTATCACCCACCAATCCGCGCTGGGTCCGTTATCACCCACCAATGCGCGCTGGGTCCGTTATCATCCACCAATGCGCGCTGGGTCCGTTATCACCCACCAATCCGCGCTGGGTCCGTTATCACCCACCAATCCGCACTGGGTCCGTTATCACCCACCAATCCGCGCTGGGTCCGTTATCACCCACCAATGCGCGCTGGGTCCGTTATCATCCACCAATGCGCGCTGGGTCCGTTATCACCCACCAATCCGCGCTGGGTCCGTTATCACCCACCAATCCGCACTGGGTCCGTTATCACCCACCAATCCGCGCTGGGTCCGTTATCACCCACCAATGCGCGCTGGGTCCGTTATCATCCACCAATGCGCGCTGGGTCCGTTATCACCCACCTAACCGCGTTGGGTCCGTTATTATCCACCAATCCGCGCTGGGTCCGTTATCACCCACCAAGCGCTAGTTTCATGTATTTTGTGACGGGTATTGTTCATTGTTTACCGATGGGTCACCGTTACGCGCGTAACGCAAAAATCGTCAGTTTACCCCCCAAGTCAAGCGTGCCTAAAGAAGTTTTACTTCAAAAAAACAAATTCTTCGGGCATATTACTCGTAATGTAATTACTCATTAAAACCTGTATGTATTCATATTTATTGTTTGATATGTATTTATCATTCATGTGCAATATACCTATATCGTCGTTGCGACTTCAAGACCTCCTATGTGTCATTTTTGTCGAAATACCTTTTTATACGGGTTCATTTCAAATTTTGGCGCTACATTGAAAGCAAGAACTCTCATGCGATTACGTCTTTTCAATTACTATTTATTTACTATATTCAATATATCCTAAGTGCTTGCTCAAGTAAAGTTGGCATTTAAAATATCTTATGTGTAAAAGCGCTAGATAGGTAAAAATTGTTATTGGTCAAATTTCAAACTAACTGACCATTAGAAGCACTGGAATGAGAGGGATGCATAGATCGCGTGATTATTTTCCGATTGTAGGTGTTAGATGGGGGTAGTAATATAAAAATTACGTTAAATTCGACGGGTTCTCGGCTCTGTGGTTATAACAGTCGATGTGCAAAGTGTATTGCTTGCTCCAAAGCTATTGGCAAGTGTCCTGTTCTATAAATTGAAGTTACAATGTCATAATTTCACTGTTTATGATGTTTTATCTAAAAATGTATCAATTTACTGCTGGCAGGAAGCAGACGGTAATGTAACTGCTAATGAATTTACATCTTGCTTAATAGACCATTGTCAAAATTTACCAACTACGATTGAGTGTATTATTATTATTATGTTTGTAGAACAGAAACCGAATTTTGTCGAGTGCCCTAAATGATTTGGCACAACGAAGGCAATTGAATATCGAACAACTGTATTTAGAGAAAGGGCATCAATGATCTGTACCTTACTCCCGGTATCTTTGGGTATGCAGACGACAGCACAGTCTCGGAGAGATATCTGCCTGATGTGAAGTCTGATGCAGACGTCCGATCTTTAAGGGAGGTGAGGTGAGGTGTTGTGGAGGGAGTGAATGCAACCCTGGAAGCTGTTTCCCTCTGGGGTGAAGCCAACTTGGTTGGGTTCAATCCTTCTAAAACACAGGCCAGTCTCTTCTCGGCGATACGGAGTCCATTCCATCTGACTCCGACTTTCCGAAATGTCTCCGTGCCGGTTACAGACCATCTCGAGCTCTTAGGTCTGGACATCTCATTCAGCCTCAATTTCGGTCGCTACATCGAGTCCATTGCTAAAACCGCTGCCAATAAACTTGGAATACTTTCTAAGGTCAGGCGATATTTTACATCTGAGCAGCTCCTTAACCTTTACTGAGCCCAAGTTCGCTCTCGCTTGGAGTACTGTTGTCACCTTTGGGATGGATCTGCTCGGTATCAGCTGGATGCACTGGACTCGGTGGAACACCGTGCGAAGAGACTCATAGGCGATGACGCTCTCGTTGAGGCTAATCTCCAGAGCCTTGACCACCGAAGATGTGTAGCTTGCCTCTCGGTGTTTTATCGGTTACATTTCGGAGAGGGTGCGGAGGTACTACACAATTTGATCCCCCCTTCCCTTCCACCACCGGACGACCAGACGCGGCGAGGGCTTTCACCCTTATGTTGTCCAAGTTCCTCCCATTCACACGAAGCGATTTACTTCAGCTTTCATTATGCGAACGGCTAGGGAGTGGAACTCCTTACCGAGGTCTGTTTTCCCGGACCAATATAATCCGGCCATCCTCAAGGCCAGAGTAAACAGGCATCTTCTAGGCAGGCGTGTAACATCCTAGGCCTCACCATCGCTTTCCATCAGGCGAGATTTTGGTCAAACGCCTTGCCTATTAAACATAAAAAAGGGCACACCATGATGGAGGTGGACAGTGTTCACTCCACTATTGAAAAATCCATAAACACACTATTATATACTATTGTCATTGCAATGATAAATTTAAAAAACAAATAACTTCTATAATTAAAAGTCATGTGTTTTGAATCTCAATCCCTTTTACATACTTATATTCTCTAATGTGATACAAAACGCGCAATCAAAACCTCTTATGTGTCACATTGAATTGTTTTTTATTTATTTTACTACAATTACGGTTTTTATTTAAAACGACAAGAGCAAAATAAAAATCATAAAACCCTCTAGTTATCACTTGTATTTTTTGTTATATTTAGTTTCCTTATATTTTTTTCAGTAGACGGTTTTTATTGAATATCTGGCATTGAAGAATTTTACACATGGGAGGTCTTAAAGTCGCAACGACGATATATGGTATATGCATATAAATGTCCCAGTGCCTTCATTTTATATTGTGTTGCGTTCAGGTTAAAACGTATTAATTTTAATTAAAAAATTAGGTTTTATATGTAATATCGACGTTTCATGAAAATACGCGGCAAAACAAAGAAATACAGAATACAGTTTTTTCTTTATTTATTTAAATTCGGAATAACGCTTTTACTGACTTAATTAAGCTGGCCAGCTACAAGTACGTTAAAAAAGTTTGTGTTATGTTCCCATAGCGAGCAGTGTCTAAACTACTAACGAACTATTTTTGTCCCACATTGTAAGAATACAACGTCGTGTATGGTTTAATAACATTTAAACTGGATTAAATACCAATTTTAGCTAATGTTAGCAGCATAAGTAATTTTTTTGTGGTTAATTAGGGGGTATCTTTAATTATGTGACCACCACTGTATATATAAAGTATTTATTTGTTATGTTTGTACACAGCTTTCACCGGCCCAGTCACGACAAAGCAATCGACCTTGCTCTCTGCTAAGACTGTATGATATGCATGACGTTTGGCATTTCCTATCTGCGGTCGCCATGTTTGTATCCCTAAACATGTACTTGACCATAGACGACAACTTGTCTTCAGTGCCCAGAGACCAAATCATGGTGTTCTAGACTAAGTTATTAACAGTTTTAGAAGAAGTCTGAAATTTACAGTGGCACTTTAGTGTTTAAAAATGTACAGTGGCACTTAAATGTTGGATAATTTACAGTTACACTTTAAATTTTAGAAATGTAAATTGACAATTTACAGTTTTAAAACTTAGTGTTATAAACAGTTTAAAAATGTACAGTAGCACTTAACAGTTTAAAAATTTACAGTGTCAATGGACAGTTCTAAATTTACAGTGGCACTAAACAGTATCAAAGTTTACAGTGGCACTTAACAGTTTAAAAATTTACAGTGGTACTGGACAGTTCTAAATTTACAGTGGCACTAAACAGTTTCAAAGTTTACAGTGGCACTTAACAGTTTAAATTTTTACACTGGTACAGTTCTAAATTTACAGTGGCACTAAACAGTTTTAAAGTTTACAGTGGCACTTAACAGTTTAAAAGTTTACACTAGTACAGTTCTAAATTTACAGTGGCACTAAACAGTTTTAAAATTTACATTGGCACTTGACATCTTTAAAATTTACAGTAGCACTAAATTGTTTTAACATGAAGTGACACTTTGAAAGCAAAATGTTGGAGAATATGTCGTGAATGATTGAAAACGTTGTCGCAATCGTTATCACTAGATGTGCAAAGTGAAATTGTATTATGTTCATTTTAAATAGTAATTTGTAATGTTGTAAATATCGGGCAAATAACTTGAAGCGGCAAATATTTTTTGATAGTGACTTGTCGTTTTGTTAACAATATTTTTTCTTATCAGTTTTTTTTATAAATATTTATATATTTTTTGCAGAATAGTATTATTTTCTGAATAGCTACCAAGTTACTTTGTTCTTAACAAAGCTACAATATTTTGACACTGTTAAATGGTAGCAATTATGAAATGAAATTCTCGTATATTTGTGACTATGAAATGCCCTAATATCATATTTTGCCAAGGTATTCATTATTTGTTTCTTAGGATCTCACGCACATCACTCATTAAATAAAACTAGTTTTTCACGGGTTAATGCACGAAACTTTATTTATTTATTGACGTTTCGCAGCCTTTACAGGCTGCTTCGTCGGAATCAATTTTTTTTATTTAATTTTGTCGAGCTACTTTCGAAAAACTTTAATTGAGCGTTCGGTTATTTCATTGTTCGATTTTTAAAGTTTTATTGTCTATGTATGAATTTGTTACTTAATTTAGTTAATAAAGTACTTTATTTAAAATTCTTTTTTGTAATTTTGAGTTTATTTATTTGACCCTAACTACCATAAATAAATAAAGTTTCGTGCATTAACCCGTGGATAACTAGTTTTATTTAATGTATTCATTACTTTCAAGTTATTTGCCAGGATCTATACGATAATATGTAAATAAATAGTTTTTTTAATATGTTTCCATTTCTGAATAAAGACATTCAATGAAGATTATGAAATGTATGTATATTTCGAATTTATCACGAACCAATATCAAATTCGATTAGTTTGCGAGTCCGGAATGTCATTGTCAAATTTGGTATGGAAACTTGTATGAAAACAGCAGCGACACAATGGACGTAACGAGAACTAAAACTCAGCAAATATTTGACAGGGAAATTTCGCACTCGCAAACTATTCGAATTCGATATTGGTTCGTGCTAGGAGTGTATTCAATTACAATGTTTTATAAAGTTACAATTATTTAGGTTTTAACTAATGAAGAATGAATTTACTTGGCTTACGAAATACAACACGTAACTTTTGATGTGAATCTATTGATTAAAGTTTTTTCCTTGAGTATCTAAAGAGCGCCATTAGAACAATCTGTCTATACTGTAACAATTTGCTAAATGTGATTTTCAAAAAGCTTTTGAGATTTTATTCAACAGTTAAGATTGATATTAATACTCAATTGGGACTTACAATTAGGGTTGCCACCATTTTTTGTTCAAGTAAAGTACATTGGAAATTAAAGTTAGAAAAAAAAAGTACAATGTGTCCAAAATAAAGTACCTACTTTTTATTCCACTTTATTAGAAAGCTTAAAAATATATTTTATGTTGCTTCGAGAAACTTTTAAGAAATAATTTGTGGCTACTAAATGTCTGTAGTTCTTTTTGGCAAAGGGAAAAGTCTTGGTACAAAGCCATACAGCCACGAAAACGTCGCAGGAATGAGCATAACATATTCTACATACTGTCGGTGCGTTTTATGCAATAATTCTTCCTATCAATCTCTTTTATGTAAAATTATGCCGCGAGTAATCAAACCACATTAAATAAAGCACTTTCGCGTACTTTATTGTTGGCATAAAATATAGAGTACAATAACCCGAAATAACGTACAATACTTTATTATAAAGTACGGTTGGCAACCCTACTTACAATTTCCCACTTATTTATTACGTAAAAAATAAATAATACTATTGATTCCCACAGATCTCATGTAACTCCATACATAATTGTCCTAACCTAACCTAACCCAACCTAGCAATATGATTTTACTTAAAGTGCGCAAGCATTGTCCGATAAATTTACATTATTCTTCTATTAGAACAAAGAAATAAAATACTGTGTAAATTTTACAGTTTGACTTAAATGAAATTACCTAGTGTAAGAACTAGCTTCGTACAATGCATTTTACCCGCATCAGCCCCTTTAAATGTTGCACAAAATTATTTTTAAAGTTCAATCAACAAGCTACCATAGCGCGCGTACTCATACCATTGACAATTAGCAAATACTCTATTTTTAGTATTTTCCTCAAATAAACCATTTATACCAATAAAAATTTTTGGTTCCTAGAGACGGGAGATGAGGTATTAAACAGCCAGTGTGTCGCTTGGTAACTAAGAGCAATATTCATTTTTGTTTACATCTTAAATACTAATTTTCCTAACTAATATTTATGTGCGTCAGCTATAAATCGTGAGCTAAGTGTTCTAGATTTAAAGTCCATGCTGACGCTGCAAATTTTTATCATTTATCGGGGCAGCCTAAGCATTGGTCCTTCGAGCAGGATATGAACCAGCGATCTATGGATGTGGTACGAGCTAGCTTCGTACATCTAGTAACATTAAAGTTGAGAGAAGAGAGAATATGATAAAAAGTATCCTTATTACAAAATTTTAGAAATAGATCGCTTTGTTATTATCGTTGGAAAAGAGATAGCTCATATAGCAAATAAATAAAGGAAAAGATATAGAAAATTATTGTTCTTTATTTTTAAAATTGTATGTAATATTTTTTCATATTTTTTTTCAAAATCAATTTGCTGTACCAATATATAATTCTCAAACTTGGCCTAGCAGCGTACAGCAGAACCCAACTGTTGATAATTCTAATAACTTATAATGCTTGAAATACCAAAAATGTATTATAAATTAACTTTAAAATTATTGATTATTATGTATAAGTGTAAAAATTGGTGCTAAAAAGAGAAACTGCAATTTTACTGGACTAAGAGAAATTATTGCTCGGTGCAGTTTTAAAAAGTGAATTGTGACTGCAAAGATGACTGCGCAGTCGATTTGCAGTCAGTATTGACTGCATTAAAACTAAAATTTGTAGTTAGTAAAAAGGTTATTCTCTAGACACGAGATAAAATTTTTAATTGAAACCATAAAAAGGTTTTGGTATTATCATAATTGTAGTGTTGATTTAGTATTTGTAATTGCCTACTAATGAAAATAATAAGTTCATTATTAAAATATACTCTTGTCTTGAACCATTTTAAACAAATAGAAGAAACATAGAAGAATAGAGTGGGGAAGGCGGCTCTAAAAATGTCCGTCTAGTAGAAAGAGAAAGAAGATGAGAGACCGCTAGCTATCTCTCTCTCTTGTGACGCATGGCATCCAATGGCATCACATCGAAATAGTAAGAAGCTTACGGTTGCCAATGCGCATGCGCGATTAGAGAGAGAAAGCTATCGGTCTCTCATCTTCTTTCTCTTTCTATTAGAGGGACACTTCCACTTGTAGTAGAGTCTATATCTTCCCTACTGTATTCTTATACCATAATGATTGTAAAGCTGTTTGACGTAAAAAGGTTTTTAATTTTGGAAATTGGTGGTGACATCTATTGACATTGTAGAAAAATCTTTTTCGTTCTTTATTCCAACCTAAGTATTGCTAAAACAAATTTGTAGTTTGTTTTTATTATGAAAATTGCGCAATTTTTGCTTTATAGTAAAATGTTAATTACTATTAGTAAGATATATGGCACATATATACTGCATTTCTGAATTTGTAAATTAATGAAGTGTTTAATTTTAGGTATCGTTGAAGTTTGAGAATGAGTGCATTAAGAATGTGATCCGTAGTCTCAATTATTATGTAAAATAAAAACGCTTTTGTAACAAGTTGTTTCATTTTTAGTTTTTTTTTAGTTGACTTTCATTCCTAGAAGATACGCAAGTTTGGGGCCATCCACAAATTATGCGACCCGAACTTCATGATTTTTGGAATAGTAAATAACATTTATTTCAATATGACCACTAACTGTGTTCTTTGTATTTATAAAATAAATAAAATAAAATTCATTTATTTCGAGCAACATAACTCATAATCATAATAACAATACATAATCAATTATTATAGAAATAGCCACATGTCACTAAAAAATACACCTAATCATTTATTTAATTTAATACATTACATAATTTAAATTTAATAATTTTCATCAAATAAAATAATTAAAAATCAAAGGTCAAGTTAGGTTAGGTTATAATGTCATACACAAAATGGTCTGAAGTGCCTAGTGTGACGGCACACATATTGCATTTTTTACACCTAGAAGAAACGTAGCACTCGCCTTTCGTTACTTAGATTAAAACAAAAAGGGAAGATACGGTACGCTCATACTAACAACAAATAAAATATGCGCCGACTCAACTACATAAGCAACTGTCACGCACGCACACGTCTGTAAATAAACATTCAATCGAGCGAGTGAGACAGAACTGTACCCCTAACACGAACCATTATCGAATTCGTATCGTTTGCGAGTTTTCATGCTTCGGAAGGC